GTGGCTGGAACTGTTCTGGGGAATAAAACTTGAAGATAATGGAAATCATCTTAACCCAGATGACTATGGCACCCTACAACTGGATGAAAGCTTTGATAAATCAAATCTGTTCAGTCCAGCTGGTCAAAATTTCCTCCGTTACTTGTGTCAGTCCATTGAAAAGCAACCATTTTTTGTAACTTTTCCTTCAGGTGATACATGCCCTATAGAAGCATTCATTAAAGCTTGTACCTCACCAAAAACAGCATGTTGTGGGGTTAATGCTAGTTTTCCATTTCCAGCTGATACTGCAGAGGGCTGTTTGAGAACAGCTTTATTCATGCCTAATTCTACTGGAGTTAGGCTTTTGTTTGACCAACAAGGGAAAGTGATTGGTTTTCATTTGCAAATAATCACAGTTCAATCATTTACCACCAGCTTTACTGTTATGGATGACTTCTGGAAGAAAGTGACAGATTGGTTTGACAAAGAAATGGCTAAGGCTCCAACAGGATTGGAGAATGGATGGGTAGGATGCTGGAACTTAGACTTCTATGCTCTGCAGATGGGACTGTCAGAAGGAACATACTCTTCTTTGGGAATCTCTGTGGCTGTATCGTTTGGAGTCATGCTGCTTACAACCCTCAACATCTTAATCAGCATCTACGCAATCATTACCATCATTGGAATTATTTCCATAACCATTGGGTGTCTTGTGCTGGCTGGCTGGCAATTGAATATTTTAGAGTCCATTGTGGTGTCAGTTGCAGTGGGTCTGTCCATTGATTTCACAATGCATTATGGTGTGGCTTACAGACTTGCACCAGACAAAAGTCAGACAAATAGCAGGGTGCGTTACTCTTTGAAGCACATTGGATCTGCCATAACAATGGCTGCTCTTACAACATTTTTCACAGGTAGGCAATTCCTAGTTACGATGATTATCTTAAAGGTTAAATCTTGAAGAAGTTTTTTTTATTACTATTATCATATGAACTGTAAAGTTTCCTTTATCTCTTATTCAAAACATTATAAAAATAAGAATGAAAAAAAAAAGGGAAAAGAAAGGAAGAAACAGGAAGCTCAGCATCACACAAAATAGGAACCAACTGAGCTGGGTGGGGCTGGACTAGAAAATATTTGGTTTGAGGTCTTAAACAAAATCATCTCCATTCTGGCTTGAGCTAACTCAATCAACAAGTTCATATTCTAAATATGCTGATCAGTGAATATCAAGTCTAACAGTTGCACTTTTGTATAATTTAGGTGTGATGATGATGCCAGCCACAGTCTTAGCATACTTTCAGCTTGGACAGTTCCTAATGTTGGTTATGGTCTTCAGTTGGCTTTTTTCAACTTTTGGCTTCTTGTCTATTTGCTCTGTGATTGGTCCAAAGAATAACTTTGCAGAATTGAGCTTTAGTCATATCCTCAGCATTTTTTCTTCACGCCGAAATAAACCTGTGAAAAGGCAAGAAACTAAACCAGAGGAAGGAGCTAAAGACATCACTACATCCTTTTAAAGACATCCCTCTAAAGTGTACAGCAAAACTAAAGTACACCTTAGTTACTATATATCTTGGAAAGGTGTTGTGAGGCAGGTTGATCCTAGTAAGCTGAGTTGTGTCATAAAGTAAATAGAAACAGATATTGCCACCAAATAAACATTTCAGGATGTGCTTGTTGCTTCATATGCTAAGTTCTGTCAAGTAAGAGATCCTATAATCAAATCTGCTTTCATGGCATTGAACAGAGTTAAGAGCTGTAATGTGTGTTTTCATGTAGAATATTCATAGATGCCATAATTTTAGAGAGTAGTGGTAAATATGAGAGCATAGAGTGCTCTCACCTGTCCATTCCTAGGAGTGACCAAAAAGGAATTTCTCTTCACAAAATACATACATATTGAAGCTGAAAAGTTACGAGAAGAGAGGAATACCCTCAATGGAATGTGCTTCCTGGCAACAATTTTATGATGATAGGTTGCTAAGTGGTGACTTAAAAAATTTGACATTGCAGTCATATAGTTTGTCCAGGTCTTGAAATCCAGTTCTGTTAGTCTTAGTTTAGGAAACTGATACATCTGTCCATTTTGCTATGGGTACAGTATAAAATCTTATTATATTCCATCCATACCATCCAGTAAATGCTGTCTTTGGTGCAGCCCTTTGATAATTATTGAATAATATTTCCTATTTTCCTGGAGTAACCTTTAGATAAGGTGTAAAATATTCTCTTCAGAACATTAGATGTATTTGTTATAGTTATTAGTTGTTTGGCCTATTGTTATATTCTTAAGTTATCTCAAATTCTGTAAAGTTAAATATATTTTAAAGTGGGATCAGTTAGATTGCTGTCAAAACAAATTTTTAAATTAAGTATTTGGATTCTAAACCTGTAAGCCACAACAAATATTGTCTATATTGTTAAGGATTTGGGCAGGCTTTAATTCTTTAAATGCAAATTATGATAAAAAAAAGAGCGTTAAATATAAATGTAAAAATTTCAAGCAGGCTATGTACAAAGTGCTAAAATTGCAAAAATTGGAAATTTGCACACTTATTTATTTGGTATTCATTTTTAAGGTTGGAAAAGAAGAGGAAAATGTGGAGGAAACTGTATAAAATTTGCGGTAGAATGTTGACAGTTGCTCTCTTGCTCCATGATTTGATTCATAGCTTTGAATGAGAGAGAGAGTCTTAAATTTTTCATATTAAAACGTGTGTGAACCCTACTGAATTAATATTTAGCTCACTAGATTTGGTTTTGGGTATTAAAGATGTGACCTTCAAAGTTCAAAGCAGCTTTAATAATGATTAGAATTGTGACTTGTTTAATTTTTGTGAATAAATGTTGTTAACCATTTTAGTGTGCTGGATTATCCATGTGTCAGTATGTATGTCTGTGGAGCAAAACTTGTCTTCCAAAATTCAATCCAGGTTAACAAATGTGAGAAAATGGCTTAGTAACACAGGACCTAGCATAGTCACAATTGTCATCTGATGCATCATCTTATGCAAATCTGCTATGCTGTAAGAGGGTAATTCCAAGATAACAACAAAAACCTATTTTTAAATCATTCATGCTGAAAGCAATGAATGAGGTATTGTGGTGATGTTGACGGAAGTTGTCGACCGTGGACGGAAGTTGTATTTCGGAGACGGAAGTTGCATTGTGGACCGTGAACGGAAGTAGTCTCGTATGCTACCCCTCCCCACTTAGTGAAAGTCAAAATTAGTTTCGATGAAGCTCAGAAACTCACGTGGAAAGAAATAAAATGTTTGTATGGTTTAATAAAAATAATAACCTCAAATTACATTTCCGAACTTCTAAAAATGCAACTTGAATCGAGAAGCCGAAATTTTCACACCTAGGGGACCCGTAGCGGGTTCATTTCAACACACGCTGTGACCAAGCAGAGGAGCATCAGAGGCAGCTATATTGGTAAGCTGCGCATTTGCGTTCGTCCTCAGTTGGTATAAAGTAATCATTCCCTATCATTGTGCTTGTCCTCGGGAGCTCTTGGCAAAGTTTCCGCACAGCCCCATACTTCATTATGCATAAGTCTTTTGTTAAAAGAAAACAATAGCGCAAACAATAGATTACCTTTGGGACTATTCGCTTTGTTCTCAAAAAGTTGAATTTTTTCTAAGTCTTTTTTCAAACCTACAAAATGCAGACTGAGAATTTATCCTGTGTTTTCGTCAGATACGTGATAACATGTCCTCTTACAACTTACCAAACGTCACCCAATCGTTTTTCCGCGATCATCTTTCACGAATATTTACATTTACATGTAATGGGTCGGTAAAATCGTTAAGATATCACACCAACCGTAAAAATGAAAACAAACAGATAAGTAAGTAAATAAAATAAGTAAATGAATAATATACAGATATAACAACATATAAAATAATGATATAAAAGTTAAATAAAGAAAACTATGGGTGCGTTCCTTTGGGAGGATCCGGATTTGGATTTGTGATCCAAGATCACACAGATCACGGTGCATGAAAGGAAAGGAGTTTTAGACGAGCTCTCTGAGAATTCCGAAAAGTGCACTATTTTAAGACTTGTGTATGCACGTGGGTTATTGAGCTTTTCCTTGAATGGCTCATCGAACTGCATTTAGACGTTACCAAAGCTTTCGACAAGGTCCCTCATAGGCGACTCTTAAGGAAGCCGCTGCAGCACTATGGAATCCAAAATCCGTGTGGATAGATGAGCTCTGAATAGCCTTTGCCATGTCGTGTAATTTAGGTGAGAATTAGCTGCATCTCTGTGGATCTCTTTGCCCTAAAACCATGCTGACAGTCTGTGAAGATGTTATGGTCGTTTAGATGTTTCATAATAAAGCTGTGGACCGTGATATTCTTGAGGATCTTCGATGCAACACAAGTAAGAGATATAGGTCTATAGTTGGCTGGGTTGGATTTCTCTCCTTTTTCTCCTCCTGATATATTTTCAACGTTCAGGGGTGTACACAAACTGATTTTCACATGTGCCTTATATTGTTAATGGCTTACGTGAGGAACCGGCGAATTCTTTTGGGGAAAAGCGAAGCGTTGCTCTCGTGACTGGCCATTTGTTTAATTTTCTGGTTGTTTTATCTCTCATCTGTTTGGTGACCACGCAAATATTAATATGTGAAAATCAGACTATGTGAAGGCTTGAAATTCTATTAAGAACGATTGTGGCCGCTCTGTTAAAAACCAAATGCAATGGCCGCTTTGTTAAAAACAAAAGAGCAACATTTGATGCCTGATTATGCCCATGCAGCCCACCTTCAGCCCTGCAAACACACACACACACACACCCCAACAAAAAGGACACTCTGCCTAATGACCTCTGCCCATCCCACCTCCAGCCCACACAACCTTTTTTCAGTTCCCATCACAACAAATGCACAAGTTTTCTTATCACACAACTGCCCAAAACATAAAAGAAAATTTATTCCAGAAGTCTTGAAAGTTCAAGTAAACCAAATTCAACACACAAGTCCAAGAAATCACACACAAATAATGATTGAACTTGGTTAGAGCTAAATATGGAGATTTATTAGGATATTGCACATCAAGGGAAGGGGAAGGGAAGGTGAGAAGATTTCTATTGCCTCACCCCCTCCCCCTCCTTTTGACTGTCTCTCACTCCCTTGGTATAGGATTCTTTCCATTCCTAGCCTTCCCCTGCTGTTAAAAAATCAAGGATGGCAGTTATGATTTGTACCAGGAAAATACTGAGCGCTCACTCATCAAAATTATGCTTTCTCTACCAACCACAGGTTAGAAGACTTTTCAAACTCTTGCATTAACATGTGAATCTTAATTAGTGATTGGGTAAAATTTTAATTGTTGTTGTAAAACCTTATCATGTCTCTCTTTTGAGTACTTAGGTCCACTGGTCTGCTTGAAAAAAGAAAGTCATATTCTACATCTCAATAGTATAGCTCGACAAAAGTCAACTCTCTTTTAGAGTGTATTTTTTCTTTGCTTTGACTTGTACCAATTTCCTATTAGCCCAGATACCGTCTTCTATTAAGATGCCAGTCAGATAATTCCCATACACACATCCAGAGTCAATCCCAGTCGCATACTTGTATTGCTGCACACCTCGGCGAGCATCGTGTCCAAATACTACATGCTGAGGACCACTCCACGTTGACGCCCATGGCAAGCCTTCCTCAATTCCTGCTGTTCCTTGGAACTTCTCTGGAATGTAGTTTCTGATGAACATCATACCCAAAGGATCTTGTTGTTGTACAGGTATTCCCGGCAGCAGTCCGCCATGAACCACTAGGACATTGAATGAAGGTACACTTATCGTGAAAGGTAGATTTTGCAAGAAATCTTCGTCCTCTTGAGTCAAATCGTACACAAACTTGCGTTTCTCTCGCACAGGTTCGTTTCTTCTTTTGTGAAGGATTTCGGTTAAAATAGATTGTTCATGATTCCCTCTGACGGAAAACGAGCCTGTCTCTCTAACAAAACGTATAACTTCTAGAGTCTTAGGTCCTTTAAACACGAGATCACCCACGAAAATTAACAGAGTTTCCTTGCTGGGATCTGTACATTCATTGTACAGCTCTTGCAGTTCGTCAAAACAGCCATGGACATCCCCGACGAACAGAACTCTCTTGCCCTCGAGAAATTGCGGATTTATCGTAACATGAGACTTTGATGGAGGCAGTGTTGTTTTGTGACCTTTACCAACCTTGTAGCTTAAGAAAGATCCAATATCTCTCTTATAAATTAGCCCGACCTTGTCCAAATGATCGACAAGGAATTTTAGTACAATATTCATAAACCCAGCCATACTTCCGCCATTTTCAATCGATGTATCACGTTGTGTATCTAACCTTCAAATGTCCTGTCAAGGTAAGATCAGCAGAGTACACTATACTTGAATATGATCACGTTTTATTACTGTTTTAATACTCAAGTGGCAGCAGTAGAGTAAAACGTTAATTCTCGTCGAGATGAAGCGAAAAGCTCAACCCCCTTACAAATTTTCTGAATTCCACTATTAGTGCCAGATCCCTTGTAGATCTCTCCTAATCTGCCTTTTCTCAAGGCCTTGAATAGCTTACTTTGTGGGCAAAGATATACCATGAGGGCCTACTTGCAGGATACAGGTTAATAAAACAACTACAGACTTGTGAGTCTACCATAGAGCACATTTTTTCTGTCTTATTTAATAGTATAGTTTGATTTCTGGGATGTTTTTCTTTTCACTGTAGAGACATCTCACATTGACAGCCGAAGAGGCTTGTTGTTACTCTTTGACTTGTTTTTTTATTAGCCTTCCTAGACTTGTGGACACGTTTAATGTAATTTATTTCCACATGATAATGAGGGAAAGAAGATGAAGTGACATGCAAATTAATCAATAAAATAATTTTAAAAGATCTCAGCCATATATGAAAGAATTCATGTGGCAAATAATAGTCTACTGATAAATATAAAATAATTTCAATTGATAACTAGGAACTTTTATCATTGTTATGTGAGGCTCTGGGTTTCATATTCAAAGTTTGCACCTCTTTTTCAGTCATAGTTATTTGGGCTTCATTTAGCTCAGGATGTCAGTCAGGATGTATGTTATGTCAATGAGAAAGTCGGTTAGACAAACGTCGGCACATTTGCCACCCTCCAGGACTCAAAAGTGACATGGCGTCTTGTAGCATGATAAGTTTTTTCAACTGGAGTCATTTTAATTCAAGTTTATACCGTCATTTTGGTAAAAGTCGTGTCTCAATAACGCGTAATGGCGGCTGTGTCTTTGATAGTCCCAGTAAGTCTGTACTTTCTTGGCGTATTTTGCACACATTTACTCTGGCCAGATGTATACTTCGCTGGCAGAGTCATCAGTGAATCTAATGGCTTCGAAACTCGGCCGACTCTCGCTTCATTTAACGTGAATTTGGTGATATTCTTCGACATTCGTCGCCACATGGCTATCCGCCATATTGGATTTTACAAACCATCAACCGCTTACTTTGCAGCAAGGGTCAAGCGATATTCGAACTCAGAGTCGACTTTTCAGCTGGAAAGGTTAGCAGTCAGTGGCGATATTTCACCAAATCCAGGGCCTGATAAATGCAGCACATGCTTAAGATCTATCGCTCGTAATCATCGTGTATTATGCTGTGCTTCATGTTCAAGTGAGTACCACATTAAATGTGGTGGTGTGAAGCCTTTCGAGTACAAACGCATGCAGCAGTTTGCAAACCAAGTTTGGATCTGCCCAATGTGTATTTCTAGACATTTAATGGAACAGCTACCATTCTATGATGTGAGCAATTATATTACTGAATCGTTGGCAATTTCGGAGGAGGTAGTGGAGACTGACTTGGAACAGGAGGACGCTACACTGATGATTGACCCACTTCAAACTGCCAGACAAAAGAATGGCAAGGATTTATTGGTGTGTCATTTAAATATAAACAGTATCCAGAATAAATTTGAGGAATTGAAGGATATTATTCTCAAATCAACTGTGCAAATTATGGCTGTAAGTGAGACAAAAATTGACGGATCGTACCCAGATTGTCAGTTTCTCATACCGGGTTATTATTTACACCGGAATGATAGGAAGAAAGGAGGTGGTGGAGTTCTCATGTTTGTTTCTTCCAAGATACAATCTAAGAGGATATCCATTGAAAGGAAATACAAAACAATCGAGCCTCTGGCACTAGAGATTGGCCTTAAATCAAGAAATGCAATAGTCGTGGCTATCTATAGGCCACCAAAGAAAGTCACTGGAAGTTATCAACTATTGCTAGAAGAAGAACTGAGCCATATTTCCAACTGGGCTGGATTGCAGTACTCAACTGTTATAATGACTGGTGACTTGAATTTGAATAGGCTTAAGCCAGATAGCACTGAGGGTAAACTACTGCTTGACCTTGAAGTGGAACAGGGATTTGACTGTATGATAACCACACCTACAAGGATACAAATGCAAGGATCAATTACTACACACAGTCTGATAGATGTTATTCTCACCAACCAACCACAATTGTTTGGTGACTGTGGAGTATATAACCCAGAGATCAGTGATCATGCACTTGTATATGGGTTCTTGAATGAGAAGGTAAAACCTCAAAAAGGCAAGATTGTTAAATTTAGATCATTTAAACATCTTGACGCAGAAAAGTATAAGGACGAACTGATGCAGGCTCCCTGGCATGTAGGTGAAATTTTTGATACTGCTGATGATAAGACCAGTTTTTTGGAAACATTGTTATCTAGTATTGTTGATGAGCATCTTCCGGAAAAGAAAATGAGAGTGAGGACTCAAGATGTCCCTTATATGACAAACGAATGGAAAAAAGCCATTAGGGCTAAGAGAAGAGCAGCAAAGAAATATCTGAAGGTGCAAAACAGAGAGAATTGGGAGGCTAAACGTAAAGCAAGAAACGAGGCCACTAGACTCAGGAGAAAGGCGATAAGGGAGTATTGGAAAGATCAAACTACTAAATTGAAATGTAAGCCTGGTGAGTTCTATAAAACATTTATGCCCTTCTTGAGTGAAAAGAGGAATAAGGGTACCACTAATGAGTTGAGCTTAAACATTGAAGGAGCGATAAGTCATGATCAAAGTAAGATTGCAAATCATCTATGTCACTATTTTTCTACCATTGCTGATGGTATTGGTGACACAGAAGGCATTACTGACTCTTCTTTTGTGACTCATTCAAGTGTTCGGAATATCACAGAGAATATGATAGGCCATCAAGACTTCCAGTTTCGGAATCTGGAGATACTTGAGGTGGAGACCGCACTGGAAAGTATTAACCCCAGAAAGAGTACTGGTTGGGATGGTGTCCCCCCCAAAGCATTTAAGCTGGGTGCTAGAGAACTATCAGGGCCTCTGACAGCATTATACAATTCATGTATAACATTGGGTGAGTGGCCTGCGGTGTGGAAGAAAGGAGAGTGGACACCAGTATTTAAGAAAGAGGACCCCCATGAGAAAAAGAACTATAGGCCCATAACTGTACAAGTTACTACAAATAAGATTTTTGAACAGTTACTTAGTAAACAGCTTAATTATAGTTTCAATGATAAATTATGTGATAAACTGACAGCCTACAGGAAAAATCATAGCTGCGAAACAGCTCTACTGGCTATGACAGAGAATTGGAAGATATCTTTAGATGAACATAAAGTGGTAGGTGTTCTTTCTACGGACATGAGTAAAGCCTTTGATTCCCTCTACTATCCACTCACACTTGCTAAATTAAAGGCTTATGGTATTCGGGGGAACAGTCTAAAATTGTTGGACTCCTACTTCACTGATCGGTACAATAGGGTGAAGTTGGGATCCACAGTGAGTGAGTGGGAGAGGGGGTCAAGGGGATGTCCACAGGGCTCCGCATTTGGACCATTGATATGGAACATGTTCCAAAATGATCTGACATACAGTGTAAATTCTAATTCTAATATCAATATGTATGCAGACGACCACCAGTTCCATGCTGCAGGCAGTAATGTTACTGAGGTGCATGATAAGTTAATAGCAAGTGCCGAATTAGCCTCCAGATGGTATAGATCGAATTTCTTAAAAGGGAACTATGACAAGTATCAGACAATGACACTTGGGAATAAAAATAATGATATGGATAGTATTATAATTGATGACAATGAAGTTAAATCTACCAAGTGTTTAAAACTTCTTGGGGTATATATAGACAATAGGCTTCAATTTGATGAACACATTGCTAACATTTGTAAGAGGAGTAGCCAGCGTGTTGGAGTCCTGATGAGGCTCAGGAATATGATACCAACAGACACCAAGCTGAAGTTGTTTAAGGCAGCCATTCTTCCGTATTTAACATACAGCCATCTTGTCTGGCATTTTTGTAGGGCGAGTGATACTAGAAAATTGGAACGTATTCAAGAAAGGGCACTTAGGGCAGTTTACTGTGATAAGGGGAGTAGTTATGATAAATTATTAGACATGGCTAACCTAAGTACACTGCAGAACAGAAGACTACAGGACATAGCCATTCTTATGTATAAGGTAAAGAACAATTTATCTCCTAATTACATATGTAGCCTTTTTCAAATTCCACAACTTAGGTACACACTGCGTAATAATGATTTTGGTATACCTAGATTTAATACTGTCACTTTTGGAAAACATTCGCTTAGATATATGGGACCCAAAATATGGGCAATTGTACCAAGAAATGTAAGAGAACTGACATCCATATCATCTTTTAAATGTAACATACGTAGAATAGACCTTGTTTCTAAATTGACTGATAGTAAATGTGAAAACTGCCTTTTATGTAAGACTTAGGTTAGATTTTAAATTGTACATATATATTGTTTTATTTTTAAATTTCTCAAATTTTTAGGTAGTATTTAGTGTCCCCAGTTAGTGGTTGTATAACTGCTATTTTAGATTTGACACATAAATAAAGGTTGATGATGATGATGATTAGCTACATCTTCAGTATTTGATATATGTTAAAATGTCCCTAGGTGGAAACTTTTATGATCAGAAAAAATACTTACAATTCCTAGAATAATTCAGTGATAAGAAAGGTACAAAATGCTCAGTTTTTATTAGTGCTGAATTTTTTAAGAATTTCAGGATGAAAAAGCTATCTTTAAATGCCACCAGCTGGCATGACAGATTTCAAGATAGCATGCATCTTTAATCAGTGTCTTCCATCATGGGTTCTGTATTTGATAAGGGCCTTTTTTGTTCATGATCTGCCAGTAAATCTTTAATGTGACTTGTAATAAACCAAACCTGTTAAAATATTATCAAAGTACCATTTACTCATTGACATAACCATTCTAGCACATTAATAAATCATTACTGAGTCACAACATTGAACCAGCTTTTTGTCCCTCAGCTATTTCTACACTGAAATTGGTTGAGTAGTAATTTAAGGTTGAGATACGACATTGACACAATTGAAAATTATATTGGGAATCTTCCTATTTCAGTTAATTTTCATTTTAGTTGATCAGTCAGTCAGTTAGTCAGTCAGTCGGTTGGTTGGTAGGTCAGTCAGCAAGTCAGGGAGTGAGGGAGTGAGGGAGTGAGTCAGCCATTTAGTCAGTCAGTAAGCTGGTCAGCTGGGCAGTCAGTCAGTCAGTCAATTGGTCAGCCAGCCGGTCAGCTGATCAGTAAGTCAGTTATTCAGTTGATTGGTCAGTTGATGGGTTGTTCAGTCATTCAGTCACTGAGTCAGTATTCTGTTGGTCAAACATTGATTGCTCAGCCATTAGGTTGATCAGTCAGTCAGTCAACCAGTTGGCCAGTTGATCAGTTTCTGAGTTTGTCTACAAAGCTCCTGTGTGAGGTTATCAGTTGCAACTACTCTTACCTCAACTCCCATGCACAAGGCTCTACCAGACACTAAAATTCCAGTGACTCCCAACTGTAAGTGATGTGACATGAATGGTGACCACATGTGTTTATTCATACCATACAACCACACAGGGAGCCCATGAAGACCACAGATTGCAAATGCTCCTGCAGGTGTTTTAAATCCTGAGAAAGAAACCTTAACCTTCATTTATTTCAGTTTTTTTTTTGTAACTAGATTTCTTTGCTAAACCTTATCTATACCTCAAAACAAACATTCTGATAGCACTTTTAAATGTAATTTATTGTTTCATTAGTTTTATTACTACTGTAACCATAGAAGCTGGGAGTCATAAAAGATATTTAAACAAAAGGCACATTTTTAAAGTTTTACCATGGATTGTCATTACGGGCTAAAGCTATTAATAATAATTGATTGTAACAGTTGAGTGATGGAAAGACTTCACCTAATGATTAAAGCACAAAGTTAATTAATAACTGTCATAACAAACCTTTAGCCATAACAAGTTGAACCCATGAAGGTGGGTTGGATTGAGCACTCTTCCAATGTGCTCCAAGTGAATGTGTACACACAAATACCATCCACTCCACTGCACTGATAAAGTATCCCCACTGTTAAAAAGAATGCAGACAATTAAATAAATCTCCCAGTGATTAGCTATAAATGGTTAGAAGTATTTTACCTTATAAAGCAAGGTCCAAAGCATTCCTCTGCCGAGATTGTCTGTAGCAACATCCAACTTAAAAAGAAATCACATAAAATTAAATTTAGACCACAACACTTGCTGTCATTTTTTTCCTACCTCCAAATGAGGGGCTTTAATCACAGGTTGAACCTAAGGCTCGACCAAGGAACTTGAAATTCTAAAAATCATTATATTAACAGGTGTGGTTGAGACCCAACTCTACCACACCTAGTTGCACCATTGTTATGCACCATTATGCACCATTGGTGCATATTAAACTGTTGGGTTAACTTTGATTACGGATTGTTGATAGGTTGCTGAGACCCTTTTAACAGGGAGGTCAGTATCACTAAGCTGTGATCATCCATTGCTAGCTCTTTGCACCCTAACATCAGTATCTCTATTCTCCATACTGTTTTCTATACATTTCCCAAAGTGCTGATGAAGAGGATTTGTTTAACAATCAAGAACTTATTTAGTTGGTGATCATTTCCTTTATCCTTGTGACCTTAACGTCTGATTCAGGAGTGATATTGTGAGGAGAAATTAGATGTTAGTCACTCTAAGAGGGTCAAAGGGTTGAATTTTGGGGAACTCGTCAAGATTTTTCTGTCTGCCATCCATCTAAAGGGAGTAACTTTGAAAGCAAAATGAGACTTCTTATTCAAGGAATCACACTTTTGGTGCTTGTTGATCACATCAGGAAATACTCTGTGGAAGAAATAAACAACTACAAATAGAATTATCCTAAATTCCAAGCAAAGAAAAGTATGCTAAGTACCCATGCTCCAAATGCTGATGTTTGATTCAATTGCCGAGCAACGATTCCATCTAGACCTGGAATTAAAGAAACAATAACCAAAATTACCAAACCACATCTCAAAATCTGTCACAAACATTGTATCAAATACAATTTTTATGGCAATATTTGTGGTATGTGAGGTAATACTATGACCTAAAGACCACTAAAAGCTCAGGAATTACACAGTGTGTACTAAGGCTAGTTTTGTAATAACTTAGTACAATTACCTACACATTCAAAAGCCATGAAGTTTAGGCTTAATGCAAATTGTTATTACAGAAAAATTTAGTTACCACACTCACCATCCAGCAAGACTGAAGCTGTGTAAAAGCACAGGAAGAGGACTGGATTGTTGAAGAAGATCCACGATGCAAATAAAAGGATAACCCGCACATACCCTTTGGAATTAAAACATTTGTGCTTGTGAACTGAAATTTGTGTCAAAGTGTGTCCTATGCATTTCAGTCTGCATATTTGCAATCAATCAGGTGACTAATTCAGCCTTTTTTGCTGTTAATTCAGCTCCAATTATTCATCGGGCTGGTATATCAGCCTATATCAAATATTTAATTAAATTAGTTTTACTAGCTACAAGAAGTAATGCTCTAAACCAAGTAAGAATCCAAGCATCCACTTGGATGTAATACGGAAGACAAACATGTCTTACCTATTAAGTTGGGTATGAAAAGGAGGACATTTTCTCTTCTGCATATTAAATCATCCATGATTTCACGTGCACCAGCATAGTCAGCTGAGATTTATCCCTTTCTTTGGTCGGTGACATAACAAAGCCGCTGTCGAGTGTGCCAGGAACCATCTGCTTGAAAATGAGGCTAGGTTCCAATCTTTTACTGTGAAAAAGTGAAAATTAACCGGAAGTCGAAAATCCTGTACCCTCGGCTTGAAGTAGAGGCTAGAGGATCTCAGAAATGGAGTGGAGACTGGGTACGAACAGTCTCCTCACGTGTATGGTTGGCATCATCATGGCGGCCAAGCCACAATGAAGGAACCATGGATTTCTACTCGTAACTTTGCGAAATTACTGTCGGAATATTTGCCTTTGGTTGGAAGTGTTTGTTTTCCTATCAAAATTAAGTGCGGTCAGTTTAACAGCTTTTACCTCAAGCTGCTGGAAACTTTTTGACACCAGTGTCCACTATCACAGCTGATCACAATGAGCGGTGTTATTGGTCAGACAAGAAACGTTTTACCATTGTTTAGAACTTCATTTACGTGGAGATTTAAAAGTGACTATCTGTACAAATTATCTTCACAAAGTGTGTCATCTTCACGGTGTGTTTGTTGCGGTATTTCATGTCTAAAACAGAAAAGCATTTTATGCAAAATATCGGATCCGAAGATGTCATCTGTATTGCGGTATTCTACATCAAGTGAAGTGTATCCTCCGGTACGTGATAATCTCAATGATATTTAGCTCGAACGGGATATAAGATAATGAAAAGTAATCAAGGTATTTAACCCTGGAAACATGTAAGATGTTCCCTAATGTTCCAAACTTGACCTAAGGGAAGGGGGACTGGGGAGGAAGGAGGGGTTGGGAGGGGTTGGTAGGGAGAAGGTGACATTTTGGGATTCCAGATTTAGAATAAGGTATCCACTTTAAAAACAATATTTTAGACATTTAAAATACACACAACAGGGTGAAATTTCAATGGTACAAAAGCCTAAGTGCATAGACTTTTGATCATTAGTTGATTTAAATGATAGATAACTCACTATCCTCAACTCTTAATCCTCATGTTTTTAAGACTCCTAGTGTTGTTCCTTTTTTGGGTTATAACCTTTGAGCACCCATATGGCAGTTTAGATGGCGTTCAGTGTAAATGAGTAATGAAAAATTTCCAGGGAAGGCTGATGAAATATTGGGATGTAACTAGTGATGGACTCAGTGGCCTCACATCCTGGAGAAATGGAAATATACTTTGTGTTATAGAAATCAGGATGAGTTTCTTAAGTTTGGACCTCTTTGTTAATATGCTGGACTAAACTATTTGTTATGTCTTAAATGTTATGAAATTTCCTAGTATTGATTACATCTCATACTAGGTTCATATCATTTAAACTTTCTACCATACTCTTATAACTGATTTGTACCTAGTTTTTGTCTGTGTGCAAGGTGTTATGGTATGGAAGACTAAAAATTTAAGGAATCATCAGAAATCACAATCAAATGGTCCTTAACTGCTCTTCTTAACTTTAAATTATTATTTTTTCTTTTTTTCTTTATGAAGGAGGCAAAGGTCCAACAAAGCAAAGTCCCTCTGACAAACAAAGGTATTAACACAAATTTTGTCTGGACCATATTTGACAAATTAAATCATATCCTTCAGTCTTGAATAAAGGAGTATAGTTTGTTGTTTTTGTTACAGGAAAAAAATTTTCATGTTTAGGTAAATTATCAAGATGGGTTTATTTTGTGATATTATCAACCAAGTCTTAAGATCATGATAGTGTATCCCTTTTAAGCACTACAAGGCTTTTTGATGTAAATCACTTTGAAATAACATTGAGTTTTGTAAATTTTTTTTATAAGAGTTCACTCTAATCCCTACTTGAATTATGTGATTTTTTGGGAGTATTAAGACATTTTCATTAAATGGTGAGATTCAATGTAATTTGAGGCCAATTGTTCAAAATAGCACAATGAAATAATATCAGTAACCCTGCAATTCTGCCATGATATGGTTATTACAATTAAAATTTTACCTCCTTTGTATTAAATTCTGTTGATGGACACAGTGCAAAGAAATAAAAAAATCATACTGGATTAAAACATTTGAATCACAGTAAATGTCAATGTTTTAACTGTGTGACTTTGTGGATCAATGTCAGTATCTAAGCAACTCCCCTCCCCTAAACCAAGATTAACCCTTGGTTGTTATCAGTTGACTGTTGTTGATCCCATTTTTCTTTAGCTTTCAGGGAAAATATTGTCAAATTTGCCACTCAGCTCAATGTGGATATTTCAGAAGAAAGAAATCTTTTAGCAGCATTCACTCATGAGTCATTCCTTCTACAAAATGCCAACAAACTATCAGGGTCATTTGGATTTAATGAAAAGCTTGCTTTTATTGGTAAGACTCAACACTGATGAAACACTTCCGTTGTTTCGTCTATAAATACAAAGATGCAGTAAGTTGCTTTAACTCTTTGACCCCTAAGAGTGATTAGCATCTAATTTCTCCCAACAAGATCACCCCTGAATTACACATAAAGAGCAGGAGAATAAGGTAACAATCCCCAACTCAAAAAGCTCATGCAGGGCGTGAAATTAACTTTTTTTTCTGATAGCCACTTGGCTCCTAAATTCTTCAAAGTGGTAGCTAATTCAAAAAAAGTTGGTCGCCATTTTCAAAGACAAACAAAATCTTTCTTTACGCTGTCAGCGTTCTAGATAGGCCCTCCAAAATCAAGTTAGGGAAAAGATCTTTAACGTGCTACAAATTGGACAGTAGGATGGATGATATACAACGTTCAGGCTTATCTAAATCCAAGATGGTGTCTAGTTATCGATCGAGATACATGTGCTACGTTTTGGAAACAAACTTAATGAGGAAGTTTGCCGTAGATTTATCTTTGCAAATTTTTAAAATGCTCTATATCTCTTGGTAAGGTTATAATGAAATGTTCTAGTCGCCAATTTGGCGACTAACTTTCAGGATTTGGTCGCCAAAGTGAAAAATTTAGTCACATTGGCGCCTGTATTAGGCGCAATTTCACGCCCTGTCATGAATGTTAATTATATTCTCCTTGTCAGCACATTAGGTAATATAGAGAACAGTATGGAGAACATGTATGCTGATGTTAGGGTGTAAAGGGTTAATGCGATAAAGACTATGGATCTATAATAACAAGCTCACTATCCAATTTATAGGAGCACAAACTGCAAGAAAGAGCTTCACTGAGTACCTGTTTGAAAACTTTCCTCAACTTTCAGCTGCAGAGATTTGGTAAGGGTAAGATATATCACTTGCTTGTGCTCTTAAATCAACACAATCTGTCAAATTAGCACATTTATTTAACATTTAAATCACCATCATGTAATATGATTAAGAGTTTGGAGTCCTTACAACATTTATGTTTCCTTTGTATTGCTTAATTTGAATATCTTCTTAGTTAATTTACAGATACAGATTGATCATTATACCCTCTTAATTGTGTTTTGATTTGGTCTCAGGGATCTACAGAACAGTTTTTTAGAAGATTTTATAATGCAAAAGGCAGTAGAATGGGACATTATGCAAAAAACTCTCTACTATGTGAGTGTAAAATCTGACTCAGTTCAATACTAATCTCTACTGACTGATTTGTCTACTTCCATAAGAAGATAGTTGTGAACCACTTAAGATATCTTGTGCTGCAGACGTTCACTCTTATTTTACTTTCTAGTTTTCTATCCCTAAGCTCTTAGTTGTTGGAGGTTTGATAACCCAATCAGACTGTGTCTTTTGGGGATAAATATGTTGAACTTATGTGACCTAAAATGCATATATAGCTCCTAGCAAAGGCATTTCTTTTTTCAATCATTCAACACCCGTCTTTGTTCTTTTGTATTATTTCTGTTGTATAGTGCTTGTCTTAACCCTTTTAATTCCCATAAGTGACCAAGACAGAATTTCTCCTAACCCTAACCCTAAACCCTAAGTGAAATATTGAGTAGACGAGTGACAAGAACAGAGAAAAATATATCAAAAACCAAGTTCTTCAAACTAATATCATAAGAATTGTATAGCAGACAAAAAGGAGAATTACTAATGAAATCTTGGGAGTACATGGGTTAATAAATCTTGTGGATGCACAATGACACCTTTACTTTTTTATGTTTAGCGACAATCTAAAGAACTGATGCAGAGACAAACTGTGCTTGCTCTGGTGGGAGTAGTTTATACTCATCAGGTCAGTGATGGATTTTGTGTAACATGTTAAGTTTTCTAAACAGTTGGCCACAGTTTCTGTTGGTTTATTGGGTAATAAGCCTTTCAGATGTTTTAAGCACACACAAAATTTTTCGAATATCTAATCTCTAAATGGATATAAGTGATAAGTTAATGATAAAGACATATTTATTTTCCAAAGTGAGATATGGTGATGTAGGAAATTCTCTTATTTTGAAGATTTTCTTCTTTATTAGAGTCCTAAGAATGCAGATGCATTCGTGAAGACTCATCTTATACCTGAGCTAACTAAAGAGAAGGTTGAAGAGATGGTGAAACTCCAACACCCCAAGTTCATTCTTCAGCAAATATCTGTTGAAAAGGGATACTTTCCTTTAAAAGTAAAGTAAGTAATTTCTCCATACAATATCACCCTTGAATCAAACATTGAAGTTATGTTACCACATTATGATTAACTTACAACTGGTATAATTGTACTCATAATTTCTATTTCAAGTCATGTGATAAGACTGCTGAGAGTTGCCATTCTTTCAAATTTCCACTTATTTGTAAGCAAACGTGGGCAAATTTTATGAAAGAAGAACCTAGAAATTCCTTTGAGACCTGAACTGGTTGAACAAAACATACAAGCTAATGGGGTCTATTGCTAAAATACATTGAATAAGTTACGAAGAAAATGAAACCAGGAGATAAAAGCTATCTGTTCTAACTTTTGCTTATTTATGATCCAGTCTTCCCATTTGAATCAGAGAAACCCTACTATTGATATTAAGATGTTGGTAATAGTGAATCATTTGTAAGTTTAATTTAAAGAAAATAATTTTTTATCCCCAGACTTGATTTCCAAGAGAAAAGCAAGTCCAAGTATAATGTGAACAACCCATTCATCTATGGTGTCATTGTGACAAGGGGTGAAAATAGGGAAATTTTAGGGAAAGGTAAGACTCTTGTCAGGACAGTCTTTCAGTTTTCAGTCAGTGAAAGTGACTGTCATTTAATGTCTCTTTAGCTTCTGTTTTGTTTGTAAATTTTAGGTTTGGTTGATGTGTTGATGAAAGATGTACTTTTAACGAATTAATAAGTCATTCTGGTTAAAATCTCCCTGTTTACTTCTCCACAAAGAAGTGCAACTTCCAGGTTTTGTTCTTGGGTTGTGATTACTTGCTCATTATGACGCTGTGTGGCTTTTAGAGCTGCAATGTAATCCTGTCACTCACTGATTCCTCCCTAGATGTATCTTGCCCATTGGTGTCTTTTCCTTCTCTGCTTAACCAAGTTGTGATCAGTAAATCAGTGCCTTTCTGTTTGCCAGGTGTGAATCCTTTAACTCCCAGTAGTGATTAACATGTAACTTCTCCCTGTAATATCCACACATTAGCCAACAAATAGGTAATGAGAATAATCAAACTTGTTGGGTAGAAGCTGTTATCTTGATGTAACACCAAATTCTTGAAACTAATTTACAAGGAAATTTGTAGCAGTGTGATGGGAGAATTAGCAATCAGATCTTGGGAGTTCAAGGATTAATGGTGCTAAATAACTATGGACATGGTAAAATAGATGTAAATGCTATCATTCTCTAAAATATCACGTGACCAAACAGGATTCAGACATGCTGTGTTCATGATTTTGAATAACATTTGTGTCTCTAGGTGTCTGCCACTCACTTGTATCAGCAGAGAAAAAGGTAAACTGAGTTTGTATCAAACAACTAAGTCATTCTTGTACAGATTACATTGCGTAAGATAATGAGCATTTTACATCTAATATGGCAAGTTAGAATATAATCTAATCTATTAATTAACCAATCAGATCATATGAGTAAAGAAGTTAGGACATTTTATTCTATAAACTGTGGTGTTTTACAAGTATTTCTAGCACTGAGAAAAGTGTGTTTATAAAGGAAACAAAAGAACACATGGTTGCTTTTTGACACAGAATTAATTTTCTCTTTTCATGTTCAACTCAATATCCCACAAGTGAGCAAAGCGATTGAGTGAAATATTGAGTTGTTCATGAAAAGAAAAATTCTATATCTAAGCAATTCTATATTTAATCCTCCATTTATTTTTCACTCCAGGCATGTCAGAGGGCTTTACTAGATCACTATCCTGATGAATTCAACAAGTTTCAGTTAGCTCTTGATGGGGATGATTTTGTAAAAGAAGAAAATATTGATCTTGGTTTGACTGTTGCTGAACAGAGAGTAGTTGAGTTGGAGAAGGTACGCTTTAAAAATTTGGGTTGTAATGTTTGTAACCTAAGTCAGATTATTGTTAGTGGTTTTTGATAGCATTGCTAAAACCATTTAATACTTTTTTTCTTGAAACTGGTTTTAAATTTTTGATAAATTGTATGATTGAAAACAAACTTCCAGTGGTGTTCCAGAGAGTTTTTGCATCCTTGTTGATTAGATTCATCATTATTCTGTCTGAAACTTCAGCAGACCATGGTAATGCTTTCATCTCTAGGGGTGACAGAAAAGAAGTTTCTCCTCATGATGTCTATTTATTTTTAAGTTGTAAGAAGATAGTACAGCATTAGTTTAGGGATATTGTTTGATTCAATTATAAATTCTCAGAGTTAATACCGTAAGAATGGTATGGGAGACAGAATGAAGAAGTGATTTAAAGATCTTGGTAGAGAAAGGGTCAGATTCTTTACAATTGTGAGGTAATAAAGGAAACTGAAAGTATAACTCTGTTTCTGATACTTATTGAAAGGAAACTGGTCTTAACCCTTTTACTCCCAGATCAAATTTGTCATTCTCCTTACTATCAACTGTACAATTCTCATAGTGTTAGTTCAGAGAATTTAGCTATGGATCATCTAATCCCAAATTGGTATTTTTCTTTTTTCTCATCACTAATCCAGTTGATATTGTATTGATATTGTAAGGAGAAATTCTGTCTTGGTCATTCATGAGAGTTGAAGGGTTAACAATCATGTGGGTTTTGGACAAAGGGAGTGGTAATTATAAATGCCAATCACAGGCAAATGAGCACATTGGTAACCAGTCAACTCGCCGACGGACCAACTCGCCGACGCCAACTCGCCGACGTATAAAATCGAGTAAAGACGTCGGCGAGTTGGTCGTCAATCCAATACAACTTATTAGAAGTTAAACATACAGAGAAGTAAACGATATTTAGTAAAAAAACACTGGCGAACATTGGTGAACATCAAACAGAAGCTTAAACATCGGTGAACATTGGTGAACATCACCAATGACTATAACAAACGAGTTATTGTGCGACAACAACACCGTAAAGACTCATCTTGTCAATCGCTCAGATTTTTTAACGAAAACTTGGCTTTCTAGACGAGATCTTTAGTAAAATGCAATTATTTTTATTTGCAACAAAGTTTATAAGGATCTTAAGGCGAATAAAGCGAAGTAAACCTCACCAACGACTCTAACAGCTTCAGACGCGAACGAGTTATTGTGTGACAACAACACCGTTAAGACTCAGCATGTCAATCGCTCAGTTTTTTTAACGAAAACTTGGCTTTCTAGACAAGATCTTTAGTAAAAAGCATTTCTTTTTATTAGACAATTACAGAGTAAGGTGTTTGGATTATGGGAGAAATATGAAAATGGTGAAAGAACAGCGGCCCAATTATTGAAATCGATGTCGAGATTAAACGGACCTACAAGAGCAGAGTAATTGCATGATATACATTACTTTCACATGTTCATCTGATCTTTATAATAAATGGAATTTTATCGTTTTTATCGTAAATCAAACGTTCTCGATCATGAATAAATCTTTCTCTAAAGTTAAAAAAAAACCATGTGGTTCCGCGTGGTTGCTATGGTTGTCACACAATAACTCGTTCGTGTCTGAAGCTGTTAGAGTCATTGGTGAGGTTTACTTCGCTTTATTCGCCTTAAGATCCTTATAAACTTTGTTGCAAATAAAAAGAATTGCTTTTTACTAAAGATCTTGTCTAGAAAGCCAAGTTTTCGTGAAAAAAACTGAGCGATTGACATGATGAGTTTTTACGGTGTTGTTGTCACACAACTCGTTCGCGTCTGAAGCTGTTAGAGTCATTGGTGAGGTTTACTTCGCTTTATTCGCCTTAAGATCCTTATAAACTTTGTTGCAAATAAAAAGAAACGCTTTTTACTAAAGATCTTGTCTAGAAAACCAAGTTTTCGTTAAAAAAAACTGAGCGATTGACATGATGAGTCTTTACGGTGTTGTTGTCACACAATAACTCGTTCGCGTCTGAAGCTGTTAGAGTCGTTGGTGAGGTTTACTTCGCTTTATTCGCCTTAAGATCCTTATAAACTATGTTGCAAATAAAAAGAAATACTTTTTACCATAGATCTTGTGTAGAAAGCCAAGTTTTCGTTAAAAAATCTGACCGATTGTCATGATGAGTCTACAGTGTTGTTGTCATACAATAACTCGTTCGTGTTTGAAGCTGTTAGAGTCATTGGTGATGTTTACTTTACTTTATTCGCCTTGAGATCCTTATAAACTTTGTTGCAAATAAAAATAATTGCTTTTTACTAAAGATCTTGACTAGAAAGCCAAGTTTCCTTTAAAATCTGACCGATTGTCATGATGAGTCTTTACGGTGTTGTTGTCACACAATAACTCGTTCGCGTCTTAAGCTGTTAGAGTCGTTGGTGAGGTTTACTTCGCTTTATTCGCCTTAAGATCCTTATAAACTTTGTTGCAAATAAAAAGAAATGCTTTTTACTAAAGATCTCGTCTAGAAAGCCACGTTTTCGTTAAAAAATCTGAGCGATTGACATGATGAGTCTTTACGGTGTTGTTGTCGCACAATAACTCGTTCGCGTCTTAAGCTGTTATAGTCATTGGTGATGTTCACCAATGTTCACCGATGTTTAAGCTTCTGTTTGATGTTCACCAATGTCCAATGTTTTTTTACTAAATATCGTTTAATTTTCTGTATGTTTAGCTTCTAATAAGTTGTATTGGATTGACGACCAACTCGCCGACGTCTCAACTCGATTTTATACGTCGGCGAGTTGGTGTCGGCGAGTTGGTCCGTCGGCGAGTTGACCGTAAACCGAGCACATTAATGGAAAGGGTTTTAAATGACACTTCTTGTTTTTGTCTTATCAGGAAAATGACAGTTTTGGATTCCACATAAGGGGAGGAGAGATGAAGAAAAAACAGACAGACAAGTTTCTTGAGTGTTATTACATGTCACCAGTGTTTATATCTCACATAGTGAAAGACAGTATTGCGGACAAGTGAGTATACTTCTTTGTTTAAACATGGTAATTATACCAATAACAAAATGAGTATTTACCCTTTTCACCCTAATATCATCAGGCAGATTCTCCTTGCTGGTCTCTGCACATATCCTATAGTGCTGACAAGGAGAATTTGTTGAACAATCCAGAGCTTCTTCAGCTATTGATAATTTCCTTTACTCTTGTGTTTGTTTCACCCATGATGTCTAATGATTAAAAGGAGAAATAAGATGCTACTCACTGTGAGGAGTTAAAAGGTTAATTGAGGTAGCTCTCATGGTTTTGGACACATTTTCTAGTAGAAAGGAGTGTTGTCTTGATTTACAAGTTGGAGTAGCCCCATCTAATCTACCAGAATCTCTTTTAATTATCAAGTTTATTGCTTAAAATGAACTGAAAAAGTAAATCAAGGATAAAAAGCCACAAGTCAGCAGGTCATGTCATGTCAAAGAATTGTTGTTGCCTTTTTTTTTTTTTCCAAGGAGAAGGTTTTTTATTTTTTTCACGTCTTTTTTTGTAGACATGGAGGACTTAAGGTTGGAGATAAAATTCTTGCCATAAATGACAGAGTAAGTAAAATAATAACTACTCTTGTTATTGATTATCATTATTTTTTAGTTGGCATAATGAAATGGAAAGAAGACTGCATCAGGCAGAAAACTTTCTAGCAAATTGATAAATGGGGTTAAATTGAAATCTGGGGTTTGTTTTTGTTAGTCAACTGAACAGAATGGTAGCTATATGTTTCTTGCTCTACTGAGAAACAGTGGAACTAATGTGTATTTCTCTTTGAGTTTTGGGGTATAGTGATCACACTGAATTCCTCTTAATGTTTTGTCTTTTGTTTAGAGTGTGGAAGGACTTGATCACAAGCGTGTTGTGAAGCTTTTGAAATCTGTTTCAGGTGAGATAATGTAATGAATTGTGGTATTCACTAATGATGTAATCAAAAGAAAAAGGCAGGTGGAATAGTAAGCTTGTGATAGGTAATATGTTTACAAGCTGGCTTCTCAGACCTTTTTGTCACAAGCTGTAAATAATTAACAGTAAAATCCTCTTTTTTTTCTTTTTCAGGCCCTGTGTCATTTACTGTTACACACTGCAGAGAAAGTATGTTTTTTTTTTATAGTTTTAGGGTACTTTTAAATAACAGTTTGTATATCAAGTTGCAAAGAAAGGTGTGAGATAACAGATCATGACAGGGGTATCCCCTCTCCTTCTCATTGAAAAAGAAAAATAGGGGAAAAAAACAGGTCAAGTCTTTCCTCTAGCTAACTGACCTGCAGCACAAAACTTATCTGGTTTTCCACAGCATAAAGTAACCATGAGTATTATAGCTACCCTCCTTACCCCTGGATGGCATTTTAGTCCATTACAAGTCCTTCCCCCCCCTCCCCCCTTGTTTTGTCAAGTTTCCCTGGTAGGTCAGCAACATCCTTAGTAGAGAGGGTACTGTCAGAGTATAGAATCTTTCCCAAGACTACAACTCAATGACCTTCCCCTAAAATCAAGTGCTGTGGCAATTTGCCCACTTCACCTCCCACTTCTCAGTGGTAATCATGATTTGATTTTCATTTTCTAATGTTGCAAAGTTAACAGAACTCATTACATCCATCTTTTCTTGCAGCTTTAATAGCCGACAAGCTTGAGCAGAGGTTTATAGAAATAAGGCGTAAGAAACGTCTGGCAGAGTTATCATCTGATGTGTGGTCAGAATGGCACCAAGCACAGTCTGACAAGGCTCCATCACAGTACAAAGATGTCCTTAAATATCACAAGAACCCATCATCTTAGTATGGCTGAAAATATGTTAACTAAGGAAAAGTTGTGTCCAACTCAGAAGGCTCTCTCTGGCTGAAATAAATGGTTTGGTGTTTGTATCACAAGCCTTTTTGTTGTATCTGCTGTGTGGGTTGATTTCATTGTTTACACCATTACATCAGCTTGCATTTTCTCCCAACTGTACTCTATACATTTCCTTAGGTTCTGTCAAGGATAATTTGACAATCAAGTTTCTTTAGGTAGTGATAATTTTATTCTTGTAACCTTGTCATTTGGGGGTGATTGAGCCAAAATTAGATGCTAGGGGTCCACGAACGTCAACATTAAAGAGTTTGCAAAGTGAACTGATCAAAGCCAGTGTCATTCCTGTGTAACTAGATTCCACAGTCTCTCAACTTTTACCTTCAAGATAGAGAAGAAGTTGTGAGCCACTGGAAGGGGAGATTCGTTTGTGACATAATTCATCAACAAGAACTATTTTGAAAAATTTAGAACATTTTATTGACAATTCAAGCAGTACAGTGAAGGATGAGTTTAACACAAGTGATAAGAAGCAACAGGACCTAAGAATTGAAATTCTTAAATGGTTGCCAGAACTGTTTCTGTAACTTTCTCATCTTTGTAAAAACTAGTCTAGGTATCTTCAGAAACAACTGTGTCACTAAAGTGGACTACATTGAGCTACCATTGGAGAGTTTTACCAGTCTGAATGAAAAAATACTTGCTCTTTAAATGGAGCATGCAGCACATATTTTTCCAATTTTTCTCTTTTTCTATTAAAATGCGACACTTCCTGTATTTTGGGTCCTTTACTTTACTTTAATTTGTCAAGGTTTCTTTTAGTCTCTTTCCTACTATCAAATTTCAACACCAACAACATTGGTATATGGTGATTCCCACAGATTGTTGGGACATTACATACAGAACCAAGTTAACTTTACTTGCAAGTATGGATTTAAAACATTTCCAGCCTTACATAGTCCTCAAACTACACCTGGTCCATGGAAGGTTGCACAAACTAAATCCTCTTCATGATTCCACCTGACCTTGCCTACCAATGGGACCAGGCTTTACAAACTTTGTTTTCAATAATTTTTGGGGTAGGATTAAATGTCTAATCCTTAAAAAAAAAATGTTATGTTTTTTTCTTTTTGTAAACATTTAGTAAAAATAAATTCTAATTGTGGACCTAACATAGGTGAAATAAGTATAATTGATTGATCAGTTCACACCTATCATTGGTTCCCCTTGTTATAAACAAATTATGTATAATAAATATTTTTTTCCCATATAATCTTTGTACAGATTCAACAAGTTTCTCAGGATTTTTAAACATGTCATATTGAAAATCAGAGAGAATTTGATCCTTATATTTAATGAGTTGCATGAATGTGTTTGAACAACCAAGACTAAGATTTTGTAAAGCCACAATGAAAAATATTCAGATGATCATATAGCTCACCCAAATCAATTAAACTAACAATTAAATTCAAGAGTTTTCAATACTCACTAAATTTTAGTCCTTGACAGAACATGGGCTGTCTCATGGACAAATGTTAATGTCATTGATAAAATTACCTGCAGACCTTAGAGCTGCTTTTAATTTCAATAGCAGTTTTTTTTTTTAAAGTGATATTTTTCCACTTGAATTATTTTATTAGTTTCTTTCTTTGAAGAGCAGACAGCCACTTGCTAATATGTGTGGTCCACATAATCAACACAGCCCTCCACAAAAACAACTTAATGATAACTAAACCATAGAGATATTGACAAGATTTCCATATAACCCCATACTTCATTATGCACACAGTAATTTGGTAAAAGAAAACAATGGTAAGACAAAAGATTTCTCTTAAGATCATGTTTTTTGGGTATATGGAAATCTTGAGTGTTTGAAGTTTCAGAAGAAGATTTAGAAAGAGCTCTCATGTTTAAATATCCCAAGAAAACAAAAATACATGTATCTCCACCTCAAAAATTAGCTACATTGATAATTTGTCTAATCTGTATCTTCTCTTGAAGATCCCACTGGTTCGCCATATTTCAGTTTCTGTCCAGGTTGCACATCAAATTTAAAGTCTGTGGGGGCCTCAAATATCAGGACAATTGTTGATCCAAGGTTAAATGCTCCCATTCTTTCACCACGCACAAGGGATACTCCATTAGGTTCATCACTAATATAATCACACTCATCAAATGATCCTTCTGAATATCTCCCTGGACAATTTGTCTTCAAATCCTGTCAAATTATATGGAAATGGTTAAGTTCAAGATGGAAAAAAGTCATTGACACCACCCTTGCATCTTTTACAAATGCTAAGTCTTTGTTCTGTGTAGCTTGAAAGAAAGTGGAGGATTAATGGAAGCAAAGAACTGCTCGATTTATCCAAGGAAAAAATACTTGGCATCTCTTAATTTCAGAAAGGGAATGCAAATCTAGATGCATTTTCTAAAAGATGTATTAACTAGTAAGCAGCTCAAAAAGAGGTATTCTCTATATTTTAGTTGATTAGGCCTTAGCCATGGGATGAAGATGCAATACACTTAAGCCTCAGTTTACACTGACAAGGAAAAAAAGAGAAATAAACTGAATGGACTTGGTCAAGTCAAAGATGGATATAAGTTAGGGAATAATTTGTCACCTGATCAAACTTGAGGTTGATAGATCCAACATTGTAAGCTCCAACGGCAGTAAAACTAAAAAATCCATGTTTCCATGTACCAGTAAGAACAACACGCTCATTGTGGTTGAAAAGACCAGCAACCATACGAGCTATTCCTGGATGCACAGAAAACAAATCTCCTGGAAAAAGGAGAACAACGATGAGAATGATAATTACAGAAGGTTTCCTTTTAAAGAGAAAGATTTACCTTCTTAAAAGAAAAGTAACTGTGTTGTAAGTTGTCACACGAGGCTAGCTACAGGAAAATATTGTACCCTACTAAGTGAAAACTTTAGCCTTCTTGGTCTAATCATGAAAAAGAAGTATGCATGAAAAGATGACAAACCTGGAAAATGTCTTCTTTGCTTTACATTCCATTCACTTGGTGAATGAAAGGAGTGGTAGTCACCGGGTCCAAGATAAATAACACAGTGATAAAGCTTTTTATTGTCATTAGACTCTAGTTCTTTGTAGGTGGAAGCAGATGGTTGATTAGGTCCAAGGAAAGTTTTCATTGAATAAGTTATTCCTTTGACTTGTTCCACTAAGTCATTTTGCACCTCACCAAAATGCAGAACAGTACCATCTGCAGGGCTCACCTAGGAAGAGTGAATGAAATTTAACAAGGTTTCAAACAGGATTACTCCTCCAGCTCCAGAAAATTAGTTGTAGTTTGACCATTAATTTATAACTGACCCATTTAAAAAGATCCTATGAAAAGGAAATAAATGTTTGAAGAAATGACACCTTCCTACTGACAAATCATAAAATAAAATGAGCACTTACGATACAACTTGCATCACAGATTCTTCTTGCATCAGGTTTAAGTTGTCTTCTGAAGAAGGCTCCGAGACTTGAATAGTTAACAATTTCTTCCTCTACAGCTTCAGTAACATTACAGGCAAAATACCACGAATACGAGCCAATGATGGGTTTACGTAACCATGGTGGCAAGTCAATATCACAAACTGCTCCTAAAGCACGTGAACAAGCTCTTGTGGGCAATTTCTTGAACAATGCAACCTGAAATGATTACAAAGTGGGTAATTTAGCTAAAAATTCACCCGTTTAAGTGAAACTCGAACTCGCGTGACACCAAGAGACGTCTCAGTTACGCAACCTCACCTGCCATTGACTAGGTTCAAGAGATTCACCAGCATGTAATTTACGTTTTTCTCTCTCCCTGATGTGCCAGAATTGTTGATAACAAACGTAAGCGAAGCCAACACTCGCTGGGATACTGAACCATCGGAGGGTTCGCATGTAACTTCTTACAGCGGTTCCAAGTCTTCGGGCGCCTGAAGATGAAAAGAAACAATTTCAATTTCTCCTCAACTTATTTGAAAATTATGAGCAGCGAAAGATTTATCAGACTCCGTTCGCTCAATAGGCGTCAAGGTAAAGATTAGCTAGGAGTTAAGAGGGTACAGGTTTCGCGTGGGCATGTGACTAAAATCGATTAGTTTCTCGCTCTCGGCCATGGCTTTCCCAGAGTTGCAAGGTAACCTCCCTTCTGTGTACCGATTGCCTTACCTCTTTGAGAATGCGAAAACGAACGATAGAATCCAAGGATTGTAACTTTACTGTACAGAATAGGTAATCGAGTCGACACTCCTTCAAACGATTTGCCGACAATCGTCGAGGATATAGAGTAGGAATTGTACGACAGCGTCTTCGCTGATCCTCGAAAAATACTATGCATCGTTATCAGATGCAATTACGCTATTGCTCTTCTCTCAATTTAATTCTTTGTAATGGAAAAGACATGTCACAGAATGCGTTGAGAAATTACACTTGAAAATCGCGACATCCACGTTGGAGCGTTGACGCGTGCGGAGGCCCATGGGAAGGATTCGCTCTTATCCTAGGGGAAGGGAGGCTTAGGCCACGTCCTTTTCAGCCCTGATCACGTGCCCAGTGATATTTCGTCGGTATCTAGCTTACTGCTCTCGCTTTTTTCATAAATTTAGCGGTAAGAGAGAGAATATGAAAGTTCTATCGAAGTAGAAAAATGTTGATTCCCACACGTCAGATGAGCCGAATCTCCGCATGACGAGATACATATCAGGTTCAAAAGCTATTTCGGGACAAATAGAGGTTTCTCATGTTTGACCAGGTTACCTTTTAAATGAAAGACTTAATTTCTATTGGTAGCCTCACAGATTGTCACACGAGTCTCCATACACTTTGTACCAGAGCTAACTTGCCGTTCACGTGACATCCTAAGAGAAACGCCCCAGTACTTTTACGGTCCAACGGCAAAATTCGATGAAAAAAAACTTTGCTATGTTGTGGCAGGATCCCATTATTTGGATGAATATCTCCCCCTTTAAAACATCTACTTTCCTCGTCAAACAAAATTCGTTTCTCAAGTAGAAAATTATAAACATAATTTCGAACGTGTTTCAACGACACTACTGCCAACTTCCGATAGGAACCTGTTGACAATCGAAAATTACTATGTACTAGACCACGAAACCAAGCCATATTGCGATTTTGAAACCACTCGATCAAAACCCCTATCGATTCTAAAATTGCAGGTTGCTTTCTACAGTTATCACAATAACACCAGGCGGTATTTTTCAACTTCTTGAAATGATTGTTTATTATGGATATTTCCAGGGTGAACCCACCACAGCCAGACAGGCTGGTTTTAATGGGGCCCTGTGTCAGGCTTGGAATTATTTATTTCACAGTGCTTTCAACCATGCATATAAAGGACATATGAATCTCACAACTAACCCTTTGGTCTGGCAAAATCAGTTGTGTTTTTAAACTATTTGCGAGAATGATTTAAGCCACCAACATACTCATTTCCCAACACCTTCAGCGTAAACAATTACGAAATATTCGCTTGAAAATGTGATTCCATGAAATTTAAATGTCAATTTTCTGCCCTTACAATTTTACTCATGAAAAGAGGTCTTCCCTCGTCTAACCCCTGGAAAAATTCTTAAAATGATCAATAAATGAGACCAATTCCTTTCACAACACTAGGGAATGTGACCGAAGATGAGAAGACACCAGGGTCAACTGAACAACAACACTTCATTACTTTCCTACAAAAGAGCAGATAATCGATCGCCTTTCTCTCTAAATACTCCATTTATATATCAAATAAGACGTTTCACTCCATTGTTGGTGGAGGAGACTGGAAACGTGCCGCTTCGACTGGTTACAAACCCGATGAAACCGGTTTGGCCGCGACGGTCGAGCGGACGCGATGACAAAATGCTAATTTTCAGTTGAACATTTGTACATTACCAGGATGACGACTCGTTAACCCGTACCTCTCCTCGTTGTCTTGTGTAGTAGTGTATCCGAATTTTCCTTTACCGGCCAAACGATACCGTAGCTTGCAAACGCAACCACCACGACAAGACAGATTGCCGAGTGGGCATAAAGAACACAAGATGTTATCCAAGCGGAATCATGTCTGAGATCGTTCAGTTGTCGATAGCCGGAAAATGAAAGATCATCATCAGCGTGCACTCGCATGATAAGGAGAATTAAGTACGGTCGAGGACGTTTAATGTAATGTCGCTATAAATCTTCTATGCCTTGCAGACACAAAATTGACAAGCTTTCGGATAGCTCTCACGACAAACACGACAACTCCCTTCAGTACTTTCACACTGAAAGGAAGAAGGAACGGCATTTACATAGCTTTGGTGGTATGTTACATCCGGGAATTTTTTCCTAAGATTTCATTGGCTACTGAATGATACCCGTCTTCTGTGCACGTGCGAGCGAATGTCAGCTAGCTTATGCAACATATTACGTTACCACGGAAATTTAAAAATCACGCAGCGAAAGAAGCTCGTTTTTTTCGGTGAAGTATTCAAAAGCTTCAAACATAAGGGCCTTAAATCTTTTTCTACCATGGAGGTTGTATCTAATTTAATTAATACGTACCTAACTGATATATTTTTTATGTGACAAACCTATGAATAATGGCTTTTATGGTCACGCACGATTAACTCTTGCGTAAGGCGTGACAAGAGAATATATTAAAGGCAATGCGGTAAAGGGTAAGATTTAAAAAAAAAAAAATTTTTTTATATATATATATAAATAAAGTACTTCAGGTGCATGTCACATAAGTGTTTCTATGATATCCAGAAAAATAATCGCAATTAGAGAGAAAAATGTTTCTGTGAGGTTTGCAGTTTCAAGGACGTAAAATAAGAATTGTGAAAAGAGATGCTTTGTTGAACATTTCCCAATCCTCAGTAATTTCACGCAATGCTCACAAACTCGGTTGTCTGCCTCACCACACCGTGACCATAACCGTGACCATGACCGTGACCGCTCTTATGTAAGAATCTGAACAATTTGGGCATGTCGACTATGAGTAAAGGCGGTGTTCTCTGCAAGTTTTTACGTCTACACGCCAAACAGGGCCTTGCAAAGTAAAGAGCGTACCTACTTTACCTTTTTATTTTACTGAGTGGAATATTTAACAAGCTTTACGAGCGAGTGATCGAAGTTTTCTAACGAACGTGGTTTAGAGAAGAAAATTGGCCCAAAGAAAAGAGGTACCGCCAAGGAAAGATTAAACAATATGTGTTTCCAAATACTTGTGCTTTACATGTTTTTAACGGCGTAAACAAAAGAAAAACAAACGCCATCTGTTTGAAGGAAAAATCTTCCTAGGCCGTCTCTGAATCAAAAACCTCACCAATTAGATCATAAGTTTATGCCGATACTGAAGCCTTTTACATAAGAGACGATATCACTCATGGCGCAAGTTCGATGAAGAACTTGTTTGAATTAATAATGACCACAGCAATCAAAAGTGACGAGCTTAAACAGTTCAGCAGACTCCAAGTAAGAATTTTAGTGCTGTTTATGCGGGTTTTGACACCTTACACCCTGACATAAGTGTAAAGATTCTCCACACTGTTCCCTACACAGTTACCAAGAAACTTACAAGGAGTATTTTATTTAATAATCAAGAGCTTCTTAAGTTGAGAATTATTTTCTTGGTTCTCATAGCCTTATTTTTGATTTGATGGTGATTAGTCACTCTTAGGGGTTAAAGGGTTAATTTTTCTTATTTTACTTTTGGCCAACAGAGCTGAAATTACTTTAATTTAGCTGGTCTCTTTGTAAAACGTTGAGGCATAAAAAACTTCAAATACAAACTAAATGTTTCGCCATGCGTCTATTCGTCAAGTTTGTAAATTTCATGCTGTTTGCCTTTCAAATGATGTTAATTTTTGTTTGATCAGCAGATCAGCTGGGCAAAACAAACACTTGTTTTTACTCAGCTGTTTAGCTTTTGGCCAAACGCGCTTTTTTTCTGCTTAACTTAAAATGAACAGTAACATTTTACTTTTCTTTTCTTTTCAAACTTCATGCATTTGTTTATCTAACAGTAGCCCTCTGATCCTCATCATCCCAACATCAGTATGCATATTCTCCATACAGTTCTGTATCCATTTCATGAGGTGCTGACAAGAAGAATTTGTTTAACAATCAAGTGCTTTTTAAGTTGGTGATCATTTCCTTCATTCTCATGACCCTAATGTTTGAATCAGGGGTGATATTGTGAGGAGAAATTAGATGCTAATCTCTTGTAGGGGTCCAAGGGTTAAAGCTCGGACGTGAGTTTTGTCCTTTTGTCTGGTAACTGTCATAGTTAGCGGCAGACATATCGTGCTATATTAGCAATTTTTAACAAAAGTGTTTACCTTTCTTAATGAAGACTAACCGTTAAATGTTCATTGTTGATATTTGCCCTCACAACGTTAAGAAAAATCAGAATTTTATGAGTAGATTTTAGCCTTTTTTCTTAACATTTCTTAAGGAAACATTCCTCAGACCCCCATTCAAACCCTCCTCCTTTTTCGGATCCTAATGTCTATTTTCCGTTCGACAGTCGTTGCGTTTAATATACAAAAGGCATAGCCTTGATGATTTACTAAAAAATTTGCAAACCACACTTCGCTGCGCATCAGTTAGTCTGTTACTGAAATTAACATATCAAAAAATATTGAACAAACTTGGAAATTCCTAATTGCATTTAACGTGTAAATATTCCAAACACTAACTCGCTTTGAGTGACGAAAGGGCGATTGTGATCAGAAAGTTTTTATTTCTGAATGGACAATGGTGTTTGCTTTAAGAAGGTGCACACACCTCTCACAAGAACAGCTTTATTTACATTCTTCCAAGCGTGCAATTAGCTTTAGTTTTCTTTTTTTTTTTAGTCACGCAATAAAATTTTGCCTTCCTTTAAACGAGAAATGTCATGAAAATAGTTGATTTGAAGCATGTTCTCAAAATCTTAATCAGAGTCATCCATTGCTATTTTATTTTGCACATTCAAATAACTATGCGAAAATGATCGACCAATGAAAAGTCGAGATTAACATCGTATGATTAAAAAATTTGCATCTGCTTAACTCCGCGTCGGGAAAAGGGCTTGGCGAATTTATTATTACTGTCGTTGATTGTAAAACATACATACGAATCCTTTTTGTACATCGCGAGGAGACGTAACACATTTACTTTCAATTTAGACACTGAAATCTTCGAAGTGCATTTAAAAAAACGTATGTCAACTGTGTTTGGGGAACATACGGTTTGTAGTTTAGTTATAATAAAGACTTCATCTTACCTGGATGGTCAACAACTTGGATATCAACTTGTACACTTTTGATCTTGACGGATCGAAGAATTCCGAGTTTGGTGATAATTATTATGAGAAAAAAGCTGAATATGGTGTGAGTATTGAGAAGAAAGGACATCCATGCTTGATCACTGGCCGTAACTTGAGAGTCGTCCACTCGTAAATGAAACTGCACGTCTATGACAATTTGATCTTCGGAATAAAATATCATAATAAATTTTCCCTCTCAGCTCTTTGCCCACAGCTTGAGCATCACACGCGCGTGGGTGATTCCCTTTAAACAGAATTTATTTTTGAACTCTAGTTTCCTGAAATAGGTGTAATTTGAATTTTGAAGAACTACACGGTGTTCAGAGTGTTGGGTGACATTTGCAAAGACCGGCACTAGGGGCATCCGATGGTGATAAGCACACCCATATTTACATAGAAGGCTTCTGTTGTCACGAAATACGATCTAATTGGTCGATTTTCTCATCACGCAATCACAAAAGCTCTCAGCTGTAACGTTACAGCCGATGTGCAGGTTCTCGAAGAAGGCTAGACTCAAGAGAAAAATTCTGACTCAAAGGGATGAAGTCTGACATAACATAAATTACTCATTTCTTGCCACTTTTACTTATTCCTGATTTATACAATCAAGATCAAACGTTTAAGTTTGGTTAAAAGTGAACCAGTGTAAACTTGGGTGTATTGCACACGCGTGACGCGGGAATCATGTGTAAACAGATGAGGTTCTGCCAATACCGTAGAGCATCGTGGTCACCATCCAACATGGCGTCCATACTGAGGGGTAGTTGTGGTAGACTTACCAAGCTGAGAGGTGTTTCAAGGACAGTTTATAAAATTTATATAAGTACAGATGTAACAAAAAAAGACCGTATTTTAGACAGAGTGAAAAAATTTGTCTTCGGAGAGGGACCACCCGAAGAGGAGGATGAAACACCCGAGAGGTAATTTTGCACGTGTGAGGGATATTAATTTAGTTATGTACTTTGGAGAAAATCTCGAACAATTTTCAAGATTTAGAAACTTGTTGGGGTTGGTATGCTCTTGCAGCTTTGGATGTCAGTCTTGTGCGCAGTTCTACCCAACGTGGCCAGAATTATGTGATTTTAAATGGTCAATGTTCTTTTTCAATCATTTCAGTTATTTTCAATTTGTAAAAGTTGAAAAACCAGCTGTATACAGCATGAAGAAACAGGAAATTGTGGAAAGACTAGAAAATATTGTCACAGAAGTTATGCCTGACGACGAAAATTGGAGAGATCAGTCGGTTAAAGATTTGGTTTTAAAATATAAGGTACGTGTCACCAATAACTCTGCCTGAAAAGTAAAGTAAGTAATTATTTTTGTTCATTTTAGCAGCTTTGAAGGAAAGAAAAGTAGGGCAATATTCCTTGAGGGAGTAGCTACAATATTTTCACAACATGGTTTACAACATGAACCCTTTCACTCCAAGCAGTGAGCAAAACATACTTTCTCCTTTCAAAATCAATACAGTATTGAGCACACAAGTGACGAGAATATTAACAAATGTTAATTAGATTATAATTTGATCCAATACTAAATCCTCTGACCTAAAAGTATGGAGAATTGCTAAAGAGATCTTGGATGTGAAGGGGTTAATGACTGAGGCAAGGTTAATCCCTTATGTGGTGTGTTTTATGTGTTACCTTTTGAAAAATTTCCAGGCATCTTATAGCCAGTCATGAGTATAGAATGTTTTTCATATTGTTCTGTTAATAAATTAAAATGATTGTGCAATTATTGATTATCACTATTTTGATATTTCCCTCTAGATTCTCAACAGATGTTATGAGGAGTTTGGAATTTTGGTTCCCAATTTCCAGTTAAATGAAATGAACATTGTAAGGGATGTTATCAAGTTCTACACTACAGCGAAACCTGAAGACAAAAGGACATTCAAATCTATCAAAAAACAAAATTTACCTCGCAACTTATCCATTGGTGGATCTCTACCCCTTAAGAAAGTGTCTGTAACATGAAATAGGAATATTTGTGTAACCCCAATAATGAGGTACAGGAGAGAAAGAGAGGTGAAGGAGGGGGGGGGATATAGTGGGGTTTTTTAGGTATTTAACATTCTAGACAGATGAAACATTGTAGTAAAGTTGATGTTTAACCTTTTAACTCCCAAGATCTCATAAGTAATTCTCCTTACTGTCTGCCAAATGATTCTCATTATGTTAGTTTGGAGAATTTGGTATCGGATCAATCAGTACTCCCATAGTTGATATTTTTCTTTATTCTCATCATTTTTCAGCATAATATTATATAAATAAACTAACAAGAAATTCTGTCTTGGTCACTCACAGGAGTTAAAGGGTTAAAGGACTGAGTAACTGCATCAGGTTTATTCCTGCAATTAAGTTAAGTTGGCTTTACTGCTAATGTGTTTAGACTGATAGAAGTTATTGACAAGCTTCTTTACAATTATTTCTGGCTTGCTTTTTGTCAAAAAACAGGTGACTACTACTCACAAAATTTTACAAATTAGAGGTTTAGATAAGCAGTTACAATGTCTCTCTTCACCTCAGCCTACTTCAATTTACACAAATGCTATTCACAGTGTGAACAGCCATTTGATCAACCAAATCTCTTCTATGAAAAGTTATTTGCAGCTCTGACAAGATCTTGTGACTAATATTGTAAAATTATAGTCCAACTTGAAGTTTTAGCTCTTTAACTTGATTCACAAGGTCAGAAATCGCTTCACTTCTGCAAAAGATAAGCAAAAGCCTTCATGATGTAAAAATAAAGCTTACAAGTTACATGTATGTGTGTTGTTTCCATCATCAGGAAATAAAAACAAATTTATTTTCAAAATCAAAGTAGAAAGTCGTTGCTAGTTTGTGGCGAGTTGAGGTGTTAATATGCTAAGCATTCAGATGCAGGAAGAACAAAGGATCTTGAATAAGGAAGCAGTGCAGGTTTGAGGAACAGCTGAGTCAAACAGGAAACAATTTTGAAACATGGCTAAATTTCTAATGCTCCTATTTATATAATGATATACATGTACAATGGAAGGGATTTATGATTAATTTTAACTGGCAGTGTACTCACTCTTCAGTCAGCACTTTCCTAATGTTACTCTGCTGTGATGCATTAACAAATGGTGACTTTGAAGATGACCTTCTTGGACTTCTCTTGGAGTAGAAATGTTTCAATTTAATCTGCAACCAAAAACATTTGGCTTTAAGGTATTTACTGTCCAAGCAGAAGGCAGATGGAATCTTCCTTATGTTCAGTATATAATTAATAATTGTGAATCAAAATAAGAAACAAACTTTGTGATCAATGCAAAATGCTTTGAAGAATCTTTGCTCTTCCCCAACCCACCACTCCCACTCCCCTCCCCTCCCTCTGTACCCCAATAAATAAAGAAACGGTAACCGGTCATTTCGCACAAAAGACTTTTAGCACAAGTTTCGGACCGTTCGCACAATTCTTAGTGGTCATTTCGCACAATAATTATAAGTGAGAAACGTCAATATAAAAGGTATACTGAGTGATACTGATAAGACGTTTCACCTTCACATGTCACTTTCAATAAGATCCAACGGTACTAACTTCAACTAGATCGAAATGTAATAATAATTTTTTATTATAGGAATATCCGCACAAACAACGACATTGAGGGTTGGCGAAAAGTCTTTTGTGCGAAATGTCCTGTATTCAAAGAAACAGATTCTGCAACAAAATTAATTTGTGTCAATTGTATGAAGTTATGATAATAGAAATAACATGCTACTTCCTCTTAAATTAAAAATGGAACGTTTCTGAATTTGATAGCACTTCAGACATTTATTAGAACAAAAGAAAGTGTTTGGTGTTATTTTAGGAGAAGTGTTCAAATCAACTGGACTGACTTGGTACACCAACATGGCTCACATTTCATAGTTTATATTGCCAATTTTGGCACACTGACAAACTGTTAGAATTTATTGGACAATCAATGAAGTATGAATTCAGCTTGAAACAGTCTTACCTGTTCTAAAGAGTCCTTGTGAAACCTCAAAAATTTTTCAATGTCCTCTAACTCTTCTTTCATTTTAGTCTCAGCACAGGAGAGAACTGGAATGCCATGGTGAGCATAGCGGTAGAGAGCTTCCAGTCTGCAAACAATATGATAGTTCTTACACTAGGCATGATAACTGTTGAGCACAAAATCATTGAAATCAGATAGCAACCCATGTTCATTTAACTTTCTTATTAGAAATAGGTGATTTGGAAGGGAATTTTGAGGTTACTTCAACCTATGAAAATTCTAATGACAGATAGTTTCAACACCATGAAACTAATTGATTACAGCACTTCAAACAAACAGTACCGGTACATGGTGCAGTTGGATCTTAGCAGAAAGCCTTGGGGCTACCAAAAGTGTCCAAAGAAAAGAGGTATCCTATTTGGGAGGTTAAAAATAGGATTTTTCTTTGCCTGAGGTGTTATTGTGTGTCTGGTTAGAGAACGTTTCTTACAAAAGAAGGTAGATTATACATTAGCCTATCATCAAATGCGATATTGCCTTTGGACAAGTTGCATATGTTTATCTGAAGTATCCACCAGTCTTTCTGCCAGTTTCTCAGCCTGGTCTCTGAGGTAGCTGCTGACATCTTTAAGTTTTCTCAAATCTTGGGTCTGCTGTGCTTTCTGATCTTTTAGGATTGAGATCCTAGAAAAAATTTTTTTCATTTTAAGTACTTAATAAATGGCTGTCAGTAAAATTATGATTTTCTTCTGGATAGCTTTCTCCCTTTCTCCCTATGATTTATATCCTGCATGTCATTTCAGATTTCTGCAGTGTTGCCAATAATTGAGATTACAGTCTTCCAAGTGATATTCTTGTTTGTCTCATTTAACCATTTACACCTTAACATCAATTTATATTCTCCACACTGTTCCTTATACATTTCCTATGATACTGACAAGGAGAATTTGTTTCACAATCACAAGCTGCTTTAGTTTCCGATCATTTTTCCTAATTCTCCTGACCTTAATATTTGATCCAGCAGTGATGTTGTAAGAAGAGCTTAGATCCAAGTCACTTAAAGGAGTTTAAGGGTTAACAGCCAAAATTGTCCTCAAGATTATCTTCCTTTCTGGATACTAAATACCTCTCACCACAACTCTTGTAATCACTGGACTAGTCTAACAACAAAATTGGCCTTAAATTGGAGCACTTACCAATTTCTTTAATTACTGTACATTATTAGTACTCGTGATGCATAATGTTTACCTTTTTTCTATCTCTTCCCTGGCTTCATTTTGTTTTTGAATGTACTGTTTTCTTAGTATTTCTTGCGCTTGTGTAAGCAGCTGATAAAGGTCTTGCTGTGAGATTTTTTCAGATTCTTCACCACCCCTGTAAGATTAATGCCATTTTATATCAGTTAAGATAAAAAACAAAACAAAGAGGAAAAACAAAACAAACATGAGCAAGAAAAACTTCTGAGAATTCCTCTCTAACACTACACTTATTTGAGGGGTGGAGAGGGCCATCATAATTTTAAAACCTGAGTTGCTTATTCACCCTTTACACCCTAACATCAGTATACATATTCTCCAAAATCTCTAAACATTTCCTAAAGTGCTGACAAGGAGAATTTTTTAAAAAAATCAAGAGCATCTTTAGTTGGTGATCATCTCCTTCATTCTTATGTCCTTAAAGTTTGTTCAAGGAGAAATTAGATTCAAGTCACTGTAAGGGGTTTAAGGGTTCATAGATTAATTGTTAGTTATCAATAAAATGTCTTATTTTTGTATATATTTTCATGGCATAATTATGCACTCACTGTAACAATGGTGTTGATGTGTTTCTTAATAGAATTTTCTCAATCTGGCTTTTGAATAATCCAACATTCAGTAGCCTTATTGGTGATGGCCCAGCACTGTAAATAACAAGTTAGGAAGAAGCCCATGAGTAAGATATCACATCCTAACATCAGTTTATAAGTTCTCCATACTGTTCTTTACATGTTTCCTATGGTACTGATAAGGAGAATTTGCATAATAATCGAGAGCTTTTTGACCTTGTGGTCATTTTCTTTATTCTCTTGACCTTAATGTTTGATTCAGGGATGATACTGTTGGGAGAAATTGTGAGCTTATCACTCTAGGGTTAAAGGGTTAATAAATACAATGTTCCATGATCTCAGGTCCCCAGGAATGTCTAATTTGAAGAGAGAAAATATTGAGGAAACTTTTAATCTTTACATAAAACTGACAAACCAACCTTTCATGGCTGGTTTCTAGGTCTGCATCTGTTGTTGGAGGGGAATATGGTCTATCTAACAAACTAAATAGGAAATACAAAGACCAAACTATTTTTAATACAAAAGAAACTGAAAGAATAAACCAGTTTGTAAAGCTGACATTGACAAGAACATGACTGTAAATTTTCTAAAACTTTTCACAAGTAATTTTATCTACTGCATTTAAGGGGTAATTTTGTGAAATATTTTTGATCACCAATGCGCTTTATAATTGATTCACAGTAAACAGAGATATATGTCAATAATTCTTACTTCAAAGGTTGAACAATACATTCCATCTTTGAGGTCAAACATAGTATTGCAGAACCAAGGATTTTGCTATTTATCACACCAACACCAAGCACTGGAGATAGTGCACTGAAACAGCATGTACAAAAAAAAGGATAAACATAATGACAAATAAGTTTACATAATAAACTCGTACATCAAAATAAGCATTCTCAACTTGCCTTAGTTAATACAGCCACCATGAAAAATCCTGAGCATGATTATTTATCACCAAATCCTTACATACCTTGCTGTTGGTGATGTACATATCATGTGATAAACAGTGGCTGCTTCATCAATGTCAAAGTAACTCTTATCATCTGGAAAAGAGTCAAAATTTGGGAAAAAATGCTTCAATTAACTAATAATTTACCTTTTTACATTAACCCTTTAACTCCCAAGATCTCATTAGTAATTCTCCTTACTGTCTGCCATACAATTCATATGATTCTAATTTGGAGAATTTGGTATTGGATCAACCAATAATCCCCTAATTGATATTTTTCTTCATTCTCATTACTTGTCTGCTTGATATCATATTGATAGTGTAAGGAGAAATTCTGTCTTGGTCACTAGTGGGACTTAAAGGGTTAAGAAAAATCTGAAAATCCCCACATGCCACTATCTCTATATGGTAGGCACATATCATAGACATTTTTCCTATATCTTAGAGCTCTTCATGTCACAGAGAAAATATATTTTAGATGCTGTTCCACATGTAAAGAGTATTTTCAATGATGTTTTGTACATACACTGCTTGATTTTGAAATGCTTATTAACACTCTGCAAACTAGTTTTCCATCTGCCCAAATTTACCTTGCACACAAAATCTCTGTAGTTTCTTGGTCCAAGGCAATGAAACAGTGTGTACTCCAGCAATATGAGAACAATGATACAGATAAGGAGACACTGGATCTGAAGAGAAACAAATTTTGAGACTTGGAGCCACTTCAACAAGTTTATAATACAATATTTACCTTCAAAAGACTACAGGGTCTACACTCTTTTCAACTAAAAACATTCCATGACTTTCTGTGATCCACACTCAAATTCCTCAGCTTTCCAGACTTAGAAAATGATGCTAGAAATTTCAACACTTTCAAGGATTTTCAAGAAAAGTACAAACTCTAGATTACCTACTGAAGTTTTTCAGTTTCCTGAGTAAATTCATGGCAGGTTCCATCATTACTAACTAAAAAAGTTGATTATATTATTATGGTTTCACTGAAAGATGTCTGTATACTTGAATGTACACTTAATTTGTTCAGGGCGAATATGAAAAAGTAAATAAATGAATGAATAAACATAGTGTCTAAAAATTCCAACTGGCAGAAGGCAGATTGGTTAGCTAAATACTAAGTGCAGCCAGGGAGTTCAACTTGGGGCAACTGAGAACCAATCAGTGAGTATCAGGGTAGAAGGCTTGAACCTGGGACCACCAGATTACAGACCAGTGCCCTAACCACTTGGCCACACCACCTTCCTACATCTTGTTTGCTATTTGTTATTAAAGAAGATCCCCTAAAGCATGGTATTCCCTGCTATAAAAAATTCACGGGCTGGTACCTCGCTGGAGTCTCAAAATGAACAAGTTTTCATTTTCATCAGACTCCTCTTCTGAAGAGCTCCTATCTGACTGGGATCCTGTTCCATCATTCAGTAAAGACAGCTGGAGTTCAACACATTCATGAACCAAGAGTGAAAGCTTTCCATGAAAGCTATTGGTTTGAGTCTGTTCATGTCTGCTCCAGGAGACTTCTTCCTGAAAATACATCAATTTTTGAACACCTTTGACATACAACTTGATGCTTGTATCATCATCTCATTAAAGTTACGATAAAGTTACCATGGCTACCTAGTAAATAACTAGTTAAAAAACAATTAATAACGTTGAAACACAGGGTTTTTATTGAAAAATGTAGCGGAACAAAAAATACCTCCTCTGCATCATCAGATTCTTCAGATTCCAAAGCAATACAGTGATAAATTTTTCCACTTGCTGTTGCCATGGCAATAACAGGGGGTTGACACTGAAGACACAGTAAAGAGCAAGAATCCTGACCATAATTATCATCTGCTGCAGGGAACATCGTAACGGGACCATAAACTTTTGGTTGTTGCCTGTTAAAATGGAGGAAATAAGATATCATATCTTACTGGTACTTAATACACAAAAGTATAACTTGCATGTAAATCAGCTCAAAACGATATGTAAAAGTACAGATTACAGCACAAGTATATCAACACATTTAAAGTAAAGATAACATCAAAAGTAATACCATCTCAATAGCAGGTGGGTTGGTATGGAGAAGGAAAAGCAAACTATTCTATTCTAGTGAAGGATCCAATACAAAAATACAGTGATACATACATGTAGGTCACTGAAAGAGAATTACATATAAATGAAGTAATATTTCGTGCAGCAATTTCAGAAGCAAATTTTGTTCTCTTTCTAAGGACTATTTGTGTGAAGTATCACTGCTGAAATTTGAGGTCAGCATTACCAAGACTTATAAGTATAAAACTACTGATACAGTTCTGGTTACTATTGAAAAGTAAAGGGTTATGTACCGGATCTGAGAGATTCTGTGAAGAAGATAAAAGATGTCTCCATTTTCTCTCAAAATGAAAACAGGGTAAGCAACATCTGGTTCAGAATCACTAGAGCTTAGTCTTGCTTTTGGGTTGGTATCTCTAACAGCTGGTGCAAAATCAAATGCAATTGCTTTCTCTCCAAGAGCAGCTGCAAATGTCAATGAAGATCCAATAGATATTGACTTCTGACTGTATTCAGCTGTCAGGGAAGAGGACTCCCCTAAGGAAATGGTTTCTTCTGGCGAAGATGGCTTGAGGATGTTGTAAAGTCTGTAAAAGACAACAGATTGTAAAAAGGAAGATAAACCAAATTGATGATGAAATGAAAACAAATTGACAAAAGGAAAATAAACTACACCACTGCTCAGGCTGCCTCCATAAGGAGGTCCATTTATCAAGTTTTTATCAACAAAAATTTGATTTTCAATAATGCTTTGACCCTTAAGAATGATTAGCACCTAATTATTCCCAACAATATCTCCCCTGAATCACACACTTAGGACACGAGAATAAAGAAAATGATCACCAACTAAAGAGCCTCTTGATTGTTAAGCAATTCTCCTTGTCAGCACCTTTAGAAATTTACTGAGAACAGTATGGAGAATATGCATACTGATGCTAGGTGTAAAGCAATAACTAAAACCACAGAATACCTCAAGTTATTGTCTGATGTAAGCACCATAAGATGAGTATCAGTTTGGCTTCCTGGATGCCATTTGACATCAAGGACCTTTAACTTGTGATTTGTAACAAAGAATCTTGAATCAATAGGAATTGTTCTGAAACAAATCATTCATGAACAGGTAAATTAAAGATAACATGTCTGGAGGCAGGAAGTATTGAAAAAAAAAAAAACTATATGACCATTCCAGTTATTTATAAGCACAACTGAATGAAGCAATGGAACTCTCTGGGTAAAATAATACATTTCACTTTAACTTTTCACTCCCATGATCAGATTGACAATTCTCTCTTCTAACTATCTTTAATTTCCATGTAAATTAGTCAAGAAAATTAGGTTTTAAATCAAGTCAGCTCCCTCTACAATGTAGCTGATGAGTTTGTCTATTCTCATCAGCTGTTCACATATTGGACCTAAATGGTTATGTGGTCAGCAAATTCAGAGATTCACAGCTAAAACAGTGTACCTGCAGAGAACTGATTCACTGCCACCATCATACGCAGCAAACTTTCCCCATCTCATTGGCATCTCAAGAACCATTATTCCTCTTTGTCCTACAAGCAAAAGGTACTTTGACGAAGCACTGAACAGCATGGAATGCACATCAAATAAAGGAGCCTCAGTGCATATAAAAGACTGTTGACAAAATTTAAACAGAGATTTTACATTTATAACCTTTTAACACCTGAGAGTGACTGTCATCTTATTTCTCCTTGTGAAATCAACTCTGAATCTATCACTAAGGTCATGAGAATAATGAAAATGATCACTACCTAATAAAGCTATTGATTATCTGACAATTTCTCCTTGTTAATACCACAAAAATGAGTAAAGGAAAGTGTGGAGAATATGCATGTATACTGATGTTAGGGTGTAATGGGCCTAGTGTGGGAACATTTGGACAGGTTTCAGTATATACCACTCTATTCTGTTCTTAACAAAACCCCAGTCCCGAAGCTTATCCATTGTTTTTGCCATTGTCTCCTTTCATCAAAAAACCATATGCAATATGAAGTATAGGATTATATGGAAATCTTGCCAAATATTTTGTGACTTTTTTTTTAATTGGGGTGATTTTGTTCTGACCTTACCAGTAAAGTATTTTAAGTCATAATACATGTTCATAGATCATGTCATAAGGGTTGAAGGAGAAAAATCAGTTAACCATTTAATCAGTCAATGATATTATCAATTAATTGATCAAAGAATCAATCAGAGGTTAAATCTGGCAATTGATCAGTCTTGCTGTCCAACTACTTAATCATTAAATCAGTCAATAATTCTGTCTATCAATCACTCTACTTACCAATCAAACTATCAGTCAATCTATCAATCAATTACTCGACAAACCAATCAGACTATCAGTCAATCTTTTTATCCATCACTCAATCATCCCAGCAACCAGTAAAACTATCAATCGTTCAATCCAATTAGTAAGTCAGTAACCCATTGTCTGTCACTAGTTCACTCAGTTAATTAACAGTCACTCGGTAATTCAATTAGCTAATCAGTCAGTCAACCCTATAGAATCTTAGAGATTTATCAACTTACTTGGAACTTAGCAGACCGTACTTTTTCAAAATGTAAGTTTTTCAGATTAGCTGTCAGAACACGAGTGTTCGAGGAATTCCATAAAAATATTTCACCATCATTTTCTATTAAAATGTTTTTTGATGTCCTTTCCGGCGATTCCTCTCTTTCTCTTGAATTTCCTTCACCAACCCTTGCAGAGAGCTCTCGGAAAACTGGGTGTTTAGGCAAATCAGTTTGCCACTTTCGACTCACATCCGAGTGCATTTTTGCCGCCATGTCCTTGCCTGTTACCTTAAGACTTACATGAAGTAACTCTTAACTCGTAGCAAATGGATTGTGGGCTCAAAAAGTACGTGGCCAAGATGGCGGCCGAGGTAAAGTTTGGAGAGTTTCTAATTTTTTTCCCGTTTACTGCTGATATCCCGGATGCCCACATGTTTTTTACGGTTTATATATTACTTTTTATAGGTGATTGAAATCTTAAAGAAATGCGTCAACAAGATCACAAGTTCCAGTACGAAGGAAAGGCGACACGTTTGTGAGGAACTTCTATTGCCTTGCATCCAGAAACAGGGTATGCTACAATTTGTTGTAATTTCAGTGAACTATGTATGTACAGAAAAATGATCGATCTTAAATATTCACGAGTGTTGTGATAAATATTGAAATGTTATCTTGAATGTCGGGGAAAATAACTTAATTATTGCGTGATTTGTTAATTGCTTTGGAAACTTAGAACGTACTGGTCGAATATTCACGTGGTGCCATAGGTCCAGTTGAATTATTTTGGGACGGGAGAGGGGGGGGGGGTGGCAGCGGCGGTTGTTGTCACTCAGATATATTATGATGAGGAACCTAAAGGTTTTGTTTGGGCTAACATCGATGAAATCTCAAGTACTCGTCGAAGCCATGCATTTTCTAGTGAACACCTTCCTCCTTGGGAAGATTCTATTTGGGGTTTTGCATTGATTTGGCGTAACACCTACCCAAGATGGTCCGGTGGGGGTACTGGAGAGGGATCCTGCGGACCAAAGGAGATGGAATTGATCAAATGATGTTGATCATTGCCTCATTTCACTATTGTTTCGCTCCTCCTTATCAAAATTCTTGCTATTTGATTTTGTAGATTTTTCTGAGGCTGGAGTAAAAGCAGTGATCAAGTTGATATTTTTAACACAACATCGTTACAGGTAATTGATAACCTTTACAAGGCCAGGGTCTGATTATTCAAAGGGTGGATAACACCATCCACTGGATAAATCTCCATCTGGTGGATAGCGCAGTTTGTTTTGTCGACACTTATCTCCTGGATGGCAATTTAAATGTTGTTGATGTGTATTTCTCCAGAAACGATTACCTGTGTTTTATAGAAAATAATGAGTTCTGAAGAAATGACTTACTCCTTGTGTTAGCCTGTGAGTGAAACTTTGAAAATTTTACAATAGTTAAAAGTTGATATTTAGAGCATTAGCCCTTCATTATAGTTACTAACAGTTTTTTTGTTTGTTATGGAATAGTAATTTAGTCAGTTTCTAGATTTCTCCATTATCCTTTGTGCAAAGTGTGGCAGAGCTGTAAGGATGCAAAGGCTATTCTTGCATGTGAAATTGTATGGTGAAAAGGGAAAAAATTGCAAGTGCATCTACCATACTCTGCAGACAAGAATCAGTAGTACATGTAAACATTGTTCTCTCTGTTCTTTACATTTTTGACTTTGCAATAAACTCAGTGGTCGCTAAAAGGTATGGAGGGCTGACCACAAATGTAAATTTCTGAATGAAATGTATTATTTTTAATAATTTCAAGGTTAGATTTGAATGTCAAATGTTTAAAATTTAAAATTAGTAATTACCTCTCTTTATAGAGATAACCAGTCTAGAAGAGGGGTTGAAGAAGTCCTTAGAGTGTTGGCAGAAAAGCAAAGTAGGTGATATTGGGCTCAGAGTTTGGTGATGCATGATTTTTGTTGAACTCAGTATATTTTGCAATTTACCAGTATATACCATCATCATAGCAATTTTTGTCTGTTTTATGTTTTTCATGTTTGAAGTTGGTTATATCTTTTGTATCAGTTTTGAATTTGAATTGAAATCACAAACCCTTGTTTTTTAATTAGGTGTGAATGCTGTCAAATATTTTTGTATGGTGTTTTCTGATGTTGAAAAACATATAACCTCATCAGCGCCAAGGTAAGAATTTTTCTTGGATTTAAACTTTAAAAAAATCAAGTACTTATCCAAGGAGATTTTGAGTTAACTGATTATACCACAATGTGCTGGCTGAACCTGTGAGTCATAGCTGACATAGATTTTTTAAATTTTGGACAAAAAGTGTTGAATTTTCCTTTCAAGCTCTATTTTCTTGAATTTGATTTTGTCTTCATTGAAGGTTTCTCTCTTCAAAAGTTTGAGAGATTTATATATTTTCAAGAAATTCTGAGACACAATGATCTTAAAAGGTCAATTCTCATTAGTTGTGGATAAATACACTTTTTTCATTTGACTGTACAAACAGTGAACATTCAGACATTCAAATAATTGCTTTATTTGAACTTGTAAAGGGATCTTTGGCACTTGCTTGATGCAGGTAGACTTTAATGCTATTTTGAAACTTGAAATGAATGTCCCAGAGGTAGTAGTTATTTCATTTTATTCTAAGCTTGTACAACTTATAATGCTGTTGCTGTTTGTAAAATTAACTTTTAAATCTGTTTTTGTGGATTTGTTGCAGTTATGTGAACAGTGGTTCAAATCTTGTTCTTTTGTGTTGGTCATGTGTCCTTGCCAGACATGTCTACAGCAAGACTGAATTGTGTAAGGATGCACAATGGATCAGACTGGTACAGGTTCAATGTCTGGCACTGCATGGAGTTCTGTCTGCTGGAACAGCTTGTGTTTGTGAAGCAGGAAAGAAAAAATTATACAGAGTCTGGAGAGAGGTACAGTATTGAAAGCTGGCTTGTGATTCTCAGATAGACTATGTTTTTCTTTGTCTTATCATTTTGGATGCAACTTTGAAAGTCACAGGGCAAGGCTTAGAACATAACTTGATTGAAAAGAGATGAAGCCAGATTCCTCTTTTTAACCCCTTCACTCTCAAGATCTGATTATTAATTCTCCCCTCCAGCTGCTACACACCCCCTGTTAATTAGTAATGAGAATTAAGTGTTGGATCAAGAAAATAGTGTTTACCTAATACCTTTGAGTATTCTCATTACTGTTTGGTGAATAATTTATGGATGTTATTGGGAGAAGTTACATGTTGATTGCCTCTGGGGGTTAAAGGGTAAATTAGTTGAGAAAAAGAGTAACAACCCCATATCACCTTTACCACAACAAACAACAAGTGTCAACTTGGCCCAAGGCAAAGCACAGAATATTTGGTTTGATAATGTGATGCTCTTACTGAGTATTTGCTGTCTGGAATGAAGAGATGTGAAATTCATGATCCTGTTTTAGTTAGCTTGATATACTCTTGCCCTTTCATTAAAGGGTTATCTACAATGAATGTGTGAGCACTATTTCATGTAGTTGTCACTATCATCTGAATTTTTTTTGACATATTTTTCCAGGTTCCAGGAATCACATTTAAATATGCAGAAGCCATCAGCAAATTGGAGGCATCACAGGTAAACCTTCATATGGTATATTGCAATGAGATAAATTAAAATGCAGTATAGTATTTTCTTCTCTGTAGTGGTAGATTTTCTTTGACCTGTTGTACAACATAAGATATTTTGATTTTGATGATATTATGAGTCAATAAAGTCGATGAAAAATTACGTCCATTTAGACTATTAGAATGAGTTGTTATGAACACTTATTTCCCTGATCTGATTTTGTTCTTTTTCAGGAAAACTGTTGCTTGACTGGACTGCTATTTAATTTTTGCACCAAAAATAAAGATGTTGAAACAATAGGTAAATTTAAGGTAAGATAGAACAAGAAATGTTCACCATTATCCATATTACCCTTTCTACCCCTCAGAGTAACTAGCATATTATTTTTTATGCTCTCCTTACAATATCACCCCTGAATCACACATCAAGGGCACAAAAATAAAGGAAATGATCACCAAACAAAGAAGCTCTTGATTGTGAAACAAATTCTCCTTGTTAGCATCTTAGGAAATGTATAGAGAACAGTATGGAGAATGTGCATTCTGATGTTAGGGTTTTAAGGGTAATAATGTTATAATGTCTTTTTTGAGCAGAAAACATTGCTGGAAATGTACGTGAAAGCTGTGATCAATAGCAAGACAAGACCCTCCCATCATGTCCTGGTAAGAATAAAATTGTGGAATAGTTGGGCTCAACCCTTGATCTTTCATATAAAATAATTCTGATGAAGTTTGAACAAATGCTGAGTGCAGGAGCAGGGATATACTGTGTATACCCTTTATTACCATTTGGTCTACTACTGTGACTTTTGACCTTTGATTCCTCCAGGTGAACATTTCCCCTTTGCTCAGTCACGTCACCCATGATGACTTCAGCAGTTTAATCTTACCAGCATTACAGAAATCCCTGCTGCGAAATCCAGAGGTGGTTCTTGAAAGTAAGTGATGGATTAATTACATGCTTTTGCTCAGGAATAATTCTCTGAACAAAACTTACAAATTCAATTAAATTCAAATGTAGAGTTCAGTTTCCAGATTGTAAATCCCTATTATAGGCCCCTTGTCATCCTAAATTTGTAGCATGAATAAGGCATCACTGAACTTTGTGTCTGGGAATGAATGACTTGCCAGGATATTGCATTAAACAGTAAACTAAAACAACTTTTCACCAATAGAAGGAGAAGAGTTTAAAGTGTCCTGGGTTGAAATAAGCATTTCATTTCTTAATTATTAACTAAGGTTTAATCTTAACCAAACCAGAGATGGAAACATTTGTTTTTAACCTGGTATATGGGCAGTACTAATAGAGATGCCAAGAAGTTCATATTCATTTATCTTCTTCTTATAATGATTTTTACCATGTGATATTTATGGTCTTCACACAATTATACTGATATATATAAAATTCCTTTTTTTATTCAGGTGCTGCTTATTTAATTTCTTCAGTTTCAATTGATTTATCAAAGTATGCTTTAGACATCTGTAAAAACACTGTTGGTCAGCTGCGTGCTAAAGAAGAGCTCCACAGACAGGAGGCTACGTTAATCTTAAAGAATCTTGCACATCAGTGCAGTGATCCAGGAGCAATGGAGGAACTTATCAACTACTTATTTGCTGTCCTTAATGGTAAGGATTTGTTGAACATTCTCTACCAAACAATATTTTGATTGACAATGTTCTTATGTACAATGTAGAGTGAGAACCCATGACACTGTTCTTATTGGAGTCACAGACTTAAAATTTACAAAATTTGAATTCAATTACAAGAAACAAGCAATGAATTCCATCTAAGTTCTTTGCGAGGTTTGCATGCTTTGGTCTCAAGCAAAAATTGTCACAAGTGAATTGAATTGCATAGTTTGTTTCACAAATGAATTGAATTGGAAAAAATATAGTTTATTATTATATTCCCTGAGATCCTCCCAGTTCATTAGTTTCCTATGATGTCATTTGATATTGGATCAACTGATTATACCTTAGTGGATATTTTTCATTATTCTCATCAATTGTCTCCATCATATTGCATACTGTATTCATTTTGGTATTATAAGGGAAATTCTGCCTAACAGTTACTTACAGGAGTTAACGCATTAAATGTTTCATTTCATATAGTTTATAGCTTTTCTGGATAAAAGTTCCCTACCAGTAGTTAACTGTTACATTGCCTGGTTTAGGTTCAGAAGGCAAACTTACTCAGTGGAATGACAGAGTTGGTGTTCTTCAAGGTTTGTTTAGTTATGTATTCATTAAACAGTTAATGCTACATTATGGCAAACTTCTCTGTTGCCAATTCTCTAACAGTTGTCTATAATAATGCTCTCGACTCCTTTGACTTTCAAATGATTAAAATATTTCTGAATTTTTCTAGGGATAAAGAGTCTGGAGCACCATTCAGTTAGTGGAAATGCATCTGTGCAAGCATTAAGCCAACTTGTCTCTGAAAAACTTGTGAAATATTTACAACAAGAAGGTTTGGAAATACTTCATTATCTGAAGGATCATGAGGATTCTTTTTTGTTAGAATTAAATGTGTGGCCTTATCCTGAGGCCATATGATTTTTAGATTAATATTGTTGTTTTTGCCAGTGAAATTATTTTACCAGACAGTCAACTTCTTCAATGATTTGTGTTGCACTTTGGGACTTTCATCAAGTATCATTCTTTTTAGAGAGATTTTTTCAGAAGAACAATTAGAGTATTGAATTATTGATTAACTTGACTGTGTAGAAATGACAGCTCTAGGTTCCCATTTCACTTATTTCATAAGTATGTGAGACCTAAAGAGAGTTGATTGTACACCTCATGTCTGGGTTATAGGCAATGTTGTAAGTATCTGTGTAGAGAAGTAAAAGAATGATGTTAGGTTTTGCCCTTTTTTTGTTGCTATAAAGAAGATTTTAATCTTTATCAATAATTTGTCATCATTTTTTACTGGAAATTTTCATTAGAGCATTAGGTAGGTTTCCATTCAATAAAATGATTGGTTGTAGAAAAGAAATGATCACCAGCACTAGGTCCAAGTTGTTTGCATTTATAAGATATTTATCTGTGTGAACCTTCTCTGTCTTGATTAATTCATACAGTGCATGAAGGAGCTGTTGTGTATGGCCTATCAGTTTTAAGTCACTGGTGTACCCATTTTTCCACACAAGTACCTAAGGTGCTTGTTGATGCCTTCAAGGTGAGAATAGTCAGAGGAGGAGATAAACCATCTTACTAAAAATTGTTTAGGAATCAGAGGACATTGTTGGTAAACTGTAACCTGACATGAGATTCAAAAATAGCATTCAATTTTCAAATTGTTGATAAATATTCAATTTTTAGCTGTTTCTAAGTTGTAAGGTTAAAGGACTGGTGCAAGAGCAGAGGTTGTAAAAATTATCTGGTCACATCTCTATGCTTCTAGAATTCTTTTGTTGAAGCAGAAATAAAAGAACTAAACCCTTAGTTTATTTTACAAAAACAGAAAAAAGTTGAATGATTGTGTTTGACAGAGCTCAATGTGTTCAGTTGTTGTAAGGCAGCTCAAAGTTTTTTGTTTTTTTTTTTGCCCGAAATGTTATCCCTTAAAAATAAAATTCAAATCAGCAAAAAGGAAAATGACATTTATGTTAACTTTAGGCTACTTGGAAAAAACTATGATGTTTTAGAAGTAATTCTATCAAACATATGATTGTCTTTTTACTGAAACAGAGGTCAGATTTCAATTTCACAAGTACGGTGTGTTGTTATGTTTTACAGAAAGGAATGACCAACAAGAACTCCACCACAGCTGTACGTACTGGGTACTTACAGTGTATGACAGGTGCTTTTCAAGGTATTGATAAATCCCTTTGTTTACCATTGAAAATTCAAGAATTTAGGAGGGTCTGTTATGGTAACACTCAACAGTCTAATATCAGTATGCATATTCTCCATGTTGTTCACTTTACAAGTTCTGTGGCACCCACAAAGAGAATTTGTTTAACAATCAAGAGCTTCTTTTGTTTGTGATCAGTTCCTTTCTTCTTGTGACCTTAACTTTTAATTTTTTGCCATGCCATGAGGAGAGATTTGATACTAGTCACTCTTAGAGATGAGAAGGTTAATTTTGCTTTTGATAATCTTTGATGATAATGCTAAATTTTAATTTTATTCAAGGTAATACCCTTCTCCAAGGGATGGAAATTCTGCCTCAGTTACTGCAAGTAAGGTTTTTACCCATATTTGTCATATACATATAACAGGTACTTTTCCTCTCTCTCCCTGTGTTTTTCTGCAAAACAGGTTTCTTTAAGAATGGAAAGGTCAAGACAAATTGACACAAAACACATATTGATGCAATAACTAGTAGTAGATAATCATTTATTTTATTATGAGATTTCTTCAAGACCAGCAGCATATTATTCATGTATAAATGTTTCAAAGTCTTATTTTTCTGAACCTCTCTAGCAATGAATGCATTTTTGATTGGTATGCTCCATGTTTAGACAATTGAAAAAGCCAGTGGCCAACCAAACCAAGCTGCCATTGTTACAGAAGGACTATTAGCTGCCTCCATACTGATCCGATTATCACTTGCTGATGTACAAGCAGGTAATTGTATATGATAAAGATGTTAACATGTTGCAATAGATAAATAAGAAACCTCCCTAGGAAAGCTAATGTGACACTTTTTGAACCCAAGAAGAGTCAAGAAGATCTTTTAAGATCTTCTTGACTTAAAAGTTGTGGTTCACATACAAATATTACTAATTAAAATGTATAGCTTAGCAACATTGATGACTTTTCTTTCAGAATCTAAACTGGGTTCATTTTGGACAACATTCCTGGATATAAAGAAGCAGCTGTTTGTTTCAGACAAATTTTTAAACTTTGCATCTGAAGAAGGTAAAACATATTTTGGTAATGGCTTTAGACAGTGCACTTACAAAAAGTGACAAAAATTAAAGAAAGATGTTATTCATTAGTTGTGTGTGTGTGTGGTACATCAGAGTCCCCCATGAAGGTTCAAACCCTAGACCTTTGCATTTCCCAAACCGATGCTCTACCACTGAGCCTTGTAGGACTGGTTTGTTATCTCTCTCCCTGATCATATGAACTGCATGCATGTCAAACTTATTTACTTTTGATGATAGTAATTTTTCTGATTTGTCAACAGCTCTTCTGTTACTGGTGTCTGTGATTGAAAGACTCGTCCTCAGTCATGGACAAAGATTAAACAAATCTAATAGCCAGTGAGTCAAGCTCATAATCTTTAGCTAGCTTATAACCAGGAAAGAGGATTTAAAACCTCTTTAAAGCAGAGTGCGTGGGATATGTGATAGCCTATGGTCAGTGTGCTGAGCCCTGTTGTAAGGGCTTTCAAACAAGGTGCCTGTCCCAGACTCTAAGTCAAGTGGTCTGTGTGTGAGACCTGGCTGGATCACTGTGTTGTGTTTCTGGGCAAAAAACATTCATCTCAAAATGCCTCTCTCCACTCAGGATAGTAAAATAGGTATTGATGAACCATCAAGGAAGCCTGATGAAATGCTGGGGGTAACCTGTATTGTCCTAGTGTGTCACCCTGTGGGAGTAACAATGTTCCCAGTCCCTTCATGCCATAGAAAGTTTGGACACCTTGTGAGTTGTGAGCCACTTTTCTGGAGTGCAGACTTTGCCCTTTTACCTTTAGCAGTAGGGTGTGGATATCTTCTATATACATCAGAGTTATACTATGATTTTTGTGTATGTGTTTGAACGTGGTCTGCTGTATTCCTAACTTTTTGCCTCTTGTTTTTTAGACCTTGGTACAGAGCTTTGGTATTTCTACTGACTCACTCAGCTTGGAAGGTCAGGCAGAATGCGCAGTCCTGTGTTCAGCGGCTGTTCAATGCTTTAGGAGAGAGTGCTTTAGAACTACAGTGTTTGTTGTTGAAAGAGCTGTCAAAGCTTATTGCTCAACAGAAGGTAAACTTAACAGCCAGCTACAAGTGTTCAGCGTGACTCTTGAAAAACTCTCAGCTTGAATTTATACTCTATTTCACAAGTGATCATTGTAATTCTTTTTCTCACCAAGATAGATACCTTGCTGTAAAATGAAAGTGCCTTTTGTCTAATACCAACCAATAGATTCTTGTTTTCCTTTTTTGATATAATTTACCTTTAGGTGCGTTATTAAAATGTACTTCGTATCTTTTAGCTTGCATTGCTGGCGGTCTTTTAAGCGTTCCGTTGAAAAAGCACGCAGCAAATCTCTCGCAGCTTTACAGCGCACTCAGAGCCACCTTCCATGCACTCTGTGTCTATTTACAGTTGATTAAATAGGCTGAAAACCCTGCTGCTGTTCGGATACCTCGCAATTTTTAAGAGTACTATATTCCTCATTGTTTTTAGCATCATGTCACAGACAATTCTGTTCCAATCATGAATGGAGATGCACCACAGGGAGGGTCGCCCAATGATGCAGGAAGAACTAACATCAGCCACAGGATACTTGTGTCCAGTCTTTGCTGCCTGACCCTGTCTCTCGTAAAGAGTAATCCAGACCTGTCTGAGGAAACGAAAGACAAAATCGCTTTGCAGATTCTCTCAGATGCACACCATCCAGCTATTGGTAAATCTCTGTTTCACTTCTTTTCATTGTTGCTCGTGTTGTTTGTTTATGCTTTATTTTTGGAACGTTTTGGAGTAAGGAAAAGTATAATTTTTCTGCTTAAGTCATCTAACATAAGTGATTACTCTTCAGTGTCATTTGAAAAATTATGACGGATATTATTGGCTCTGCGAGTGTTTAAGATAAAGAAAATCCCGTGTTTTGTTGAGTTTACTTGCTTTCTTTCCCTTAATGGAGAAATATAAAAGTTTTCATATCTCAAGTTTGTACGTTTATGAATGCGTATTTCGCTTTACTAAAGCCGTTTGTTGAGATATTATTTCAGTCTAAGAACGGTGCAAAGAAAAGATCTGATTGATAGCAATGTTCATACTCAATACAACAAGTAGAGGAGTTAACCTTTACACCCTAACATCAGTATCCATATCCCCCAAACTATTTTCCATACATTTCCTTTGGTACTGACAAGGAAGTCAAGGCCAGTCATTTGAGCACTGCTCAAACCAATACTACGGAACCACAGGGTACCTATGGCCAGGTGGACCATAGTGCCCTTGGGCTCCCTGAGACACTGTTTTGTCACCATATTGGCAAGATCAGTAACATTAAATTGTACTCTGCACGCTAATTTAATATGTTTTGCTTCTTGGTGAATAGTTTCATGTGAAGGTAAGTTATGGATGAGGATTGTTCACAGTCTGGGGATTGAGACACAAGGCTTTGTTGAGCGTCACTTGGATGCCATAATGGAGATGATAGTCTCAAGCAGCACGTCTCAACAGGTTTGACAGCTGTCTCTTTTTGTTACCTGTTTAGGAGTTCTTTGCAATAATTGTCATAAATACTTTCCAATTGCTTTGGTCTTGTTTTACTTTGTTCAAATTCTTTCGAGTGTGAGCTTTTCACCAATACACGATCTCTGAACTCCGAAGTCTAACTTAAGGTTGATATCTGATACGCTTTGTATCAATCAGCATAATAAACCTTTAAATGTGATTGTAATCTGCCATTTTCATCTTAAGAAGAAGACCTTTTGAACCGCAGACAGAAAAACACATTTATGCATTTTGCAGTATGACCTCTGGACGCTGTAAGTTAACAAGAGGCGCAATAAGATTTAATTTATTTTAGAATGCTTCTTTTGGGGGTGTTCTGAGACACTATCCTTAAAACAACACCAGTAACGAAGTGGAAAATTTCTTCAGTCACGTCATATCTATTCAGTGTTGATATACTTTAGGAGAAATTGTGGATCAATATCAGTATACGAGCAACGGGCGCACCTACCCCTCCCCTAACCAAAAACATTCAACTGATAACAAGTTGGGGTTAATGTTGGGTTAGGGGAGGGGTAGGTGCGCAGTTGCCAAGATACTCACATTGATCCGATATTGTCTACCTGCTAGTGGATACATCGCTACAATCTTTATTTTAGTGCTCACAGAATATGCTCCATGCCATGGCGGGACTTGCACCAAAAGTGATTTTACCGAGAGTGGTGAAGCACAGTACAGTTTGTTTAGCAAAACCAGCCTTCCAGCAAGTGACTATGGAGGAGCATGCCATACTGTACACACCAGAAGGAGAGATCCACAACACCAGTGTATTGGAAAGGTTCGATTGATAAGTGCTGTGAAAAAAGCCCTCTAGTTATTTTCTTATTCCAGGAAATGAAAAGAAAAGTTCCAAATGTTTGTGTGAAAGTGTCAATTGTTTGCTGCGAAGGTGTCGTTTTTGAGTACAGTTGAAGATTGGTACTGACTCTTGGTGTATTTCAAGAGCGTGTAGATAATTATGTTTATGATAGTGTGACTGGGCTTGTTTTTATTTCCTCAGTGTCAGGGTAGCAGAAGCAGGAAAAAAGCAAAACATGAAGAAAGAATCAAAGGCTTATTCCTATGAGGATCAACTCTGGGAGAAAGATATACGTGAGGTGTGTTTATCGTGATAAAGATGCAACCTGTTACTGCTGAGTGTTATGCTTGTACACTGTACTGTACTGAAATACGGGAAAAAAAAGAAAGAAAAACATCACTATGATGGGAGTGTTGGGGCAGATAATCTTTGTCCCACTGACGCCTATAGCCAATGAATGATTTTCGACTAGCTTTTCTCATGGACGGCAGAGCGAAAGGGGGTGCTTAGCTCCTCCTTTTGCCCACAAACCCGTGATGATGGAGAGAAATTAAACGCATTATTTTTTGCGGGATGAATGATTACGGACTGGGGTGCGTACGATACGCCCTGCCTAGTTCCAGTCCTTGCTCGTAAAGTGGTACATCTGTGGAAAAAAATGACTAAAGAAGTCAGGTTTGGACACAGACTGAAGGGATTCCCTGAGTAGAACTGGAATTAACCTGAGTCATGTCATTTCCAGTCAATCAAAAAGAAAAAGAAAGCCGAGGGAAAACTTTCAGAAAAGGATGAGATGAGCCAGAAGGAAAAAGAAATCTTTGAAGCTCAGCTGATGAAGGAAGCAGAAATAAGAGACAGATTAAAAGAGGTAAGGAGATCTGTGTTGATTGCTATTAGATTACTTAAAACTTTTAAAAATGTTGGTAAATCATAGCGTGATAACCCCTCAGAACCTCAGACTCTCTGAGAGCCGGTCAAAAATCTTAGTCCTTTTTGTTTCTTTCAGCTTCAAAGGGAAGTGGTGCAAGTAGGATCACTACTGGAGACAGCTATAACAGCAAACCCAAACGCCATGCGTATGTACACCCCCACCATCCTCACCACCCTACTGCCACTGTTGCAGTCCCCCCTGACTGCATCTGTTATGATTCCTGTTCTGGTGAAGCTTGGTAAAAGTGCATTTAACGACGATCAAGAACATCTTGGTAAGCGCAGATTGCCAGTTTCTTTTTAATGTAGTAATGTGTTATTCACCTTGTCACGAGCATGAGACACTCGTCACTCGTCATGAGTCGTCACTAAATCGATGTAGATTTCGCGTTCCGATACTCTACCGCTGACCTGCGGAGAACACAATGGTGAACTAGGCCATTACTAGAAAGTTCCTATGTGACAAGTGTCCTCTATTGTTCAATTTCTTTGTTTGTTTTTTCCGGTGGACCCGTGGGGCTTAACTTTCTTCGTTCTTTTCTTGGTTTCTACCCTGTTTATAGTCCATTCTCCGTTTCGAAATACTTCGTTACAAATGTTTTTGTCTTAATCTCCATTTCAAACAACTCACACTCATAGTCAATTTCCTCAGGGTGAAGTCTTCAACGAAAACAAGTCAGACCTTTCAGTTGTGAAAAAAAAACCTAAGAGTATTCTTCCAGGGCCAAAAAAATTACCCGAACAATTTCGAATCGCTTTCCACCAAAATCTCTACTTTCTGCACATAGTTGCACTTTTCCCCGCAGTTAGGGTTATTCATATTCCTTCTGTCGATCAGCAAATGAGTTTTTGTTCATATATCAAATTATTAATCATGAAGCGTGCCTATAATTTGATTCAAACTTCGTAGTGGCGGACTGTTCTTAAACATGGGTTATCTTGTGTCTGCAAAGTAGCTTTCAATGCAAGTTATTGCGAGTGTTAAAGTTTTAGAACCCAACTTTAACCCTAACTTGTTATTAGCTGACTGTTGTTGGGTTAGGGGAGGGGTTGGTGCACGAGATTGGCAACGTGGTAGTGAGACTATTCTTCTCCAACCTACCCCTCCCTTCTATACAACGCTGGCTGTTAGATTTTTTTCCAGTTTAAACATTGTCATTCTTCATTTTTCCACGTCAGCTGAGCTCGTTGGATACGTCACTCTGCGACTTTTAAAACCAATGTGCCGTATTGACCAAGCCTGGTGTGAAGAGGATTTGTTATCAGCGACCAAGCGAGTTATCTCTGTCCTCCACTCCACATCAGTTCCTGATCTAAATACTGTTGGATCAAGTTCATCAGACTCATTGACCGAGCTTCTGTCAGCCCCAGCGTTTGCGTTCTGTTTTCCTTTTCTAAGATGCGTGCTACGAGATGGAGGCAAGAATGTCAAGGGAAATGAAGATCTCAGACAGCAAGCGTTGCAGATTGTTGCTGAACACTGTAAATTACGAGCGAATAACGACGATGATGACGAGGAAGATGAGCAGGATGAAGTGAGTGGGATGCTCCCCCACCCGCCCTTTCTCCCCTCCCTCATTTTTATTTTGTTTTGGTTCACTCATTTACATATTTATTTTGTCAGAATGACCCGGCTTTGTTACCAAGAGAAGAAATGCTGTATTTATTGACTGAGATTATTTCCACGAGTGCGGACACCATCAAGGGTTCGAGATTACAGGTAAATTGTTTACAATGTCAATTCCCCTTCCTCTTTTTTCATTTTCTTTACTCCATGTTTATTTATCTTTGCAGCAACTGGCATCTCTCAGTCTGGTTGAGCTGTGCAAGGCGACAAGCGGCGAATATGGTTGTGCCACAGCAGCACCAGGCGAGATCTCTGTTCTGTTAAACTCCCTGGAGTCCCCCGCAGCCTCATTGCGATTTGCAACCTTGCAAGGGCTTCTGGTCCTCACCTACCTTCTTTCTACAAGGGATCATGGGACATCACAGACTGCTCGACTTGTAAGACGATTGTGGGTGGCCAAGTTTGATGTTGATGAAGAAAATGCTAAATTAGCTGAGAGGTATTCGTTTGATTCCAGCTTTGTTGATGTGTTCTTGGGAATAGGTTTGTTCATTAGGTGCTATTTTATGTTATTTTAATCCTTTCCATTTATATTCTTTATTTTAAAGCTATTTGTTGAGCGTGAGATTGAAATGACAAATTGTGTGTTAAAACTCTTCAGGTTATGGCAGGAAGTAGGTTTCACTGCCCCAGAGCCATTATGTAGTGCACTTTTGGACGATGTCGTACACGATGTAGAAATTATCAGAAAAGCCGCTGCCCCAGCGCTGGCGGCGGCCATTAACGAACACCCGGATGTTGCCTCAGCCATTCTTCAGCAGCTGGTGGATCTCTATGATGTAAAACTCAAGGTAAGGTCTGTAAAAGGTTAATGCAATAGACGACTGCGAATACTGTTACCCATTCAAAGTTAGCAGCACTTGCTTAAAAATAGGAACGTGGGTATCACCCAGTAGTTATACTTTATTTGAGGTCACCGATCCCGACCACTCATACCAGCATACCCTGTTCTTAGGTGCCTCCTCCAGTCGTGGACAGTCTGGGACGAGTTGTGCCAGCTGACAACATGGACCCTTGGGATGCAAGGTGCGGAATAGCTCTGGCTCTCGGTGAGATATCGCCCACGCTATCTGAAGAGGAGGTAATGTATACTAAAAAGGTCTCCAATCTCGCGTCGTATTAAATCTTTACCGAAGAAACTTCAATAGCTAATAATGACACATTTATTTAACTTTGATGAAATGAGAAGTCAAAATACTTCAGAGTCGTAGTTGTCAAGGGCAGGGAAACGCACGTGACGTACTCGTGATTTTTGAAAGTTTCGCATATGATTGGCTAAAACGAATCACAAAGCTAAAAGAAGCGAGACGAAACAGTTGCGGATTTGTTTGGATACCTTTATTGTTCAACTTAAAACTGAAACAAAAGGAAAAAAATTTGCTGCAGAATATTTAGAAAAATATATTTACTTATGAACTGTTTTCTCCATTGACGAGACACTGTGTAAAGAACTGTTCAATGGGTCTCTTTCGGCGAGGAAAGGACAAATTAAAAGGAACTTTTATTTTTCGTTATGTAGGTCCCTCCATTGTTCGTATTTTTCGTTCCAACTGGTCTGGGAGATCACAATCTTGAGGTCAGGAAACACATGTTGAATGCTGCTCTGAAGGCAGTAAATGATCATGGAAAGGTTTGTGAACATTTTACATTAAAATGCATTTCGATTGAGTGTCAAAAAACCATAACAAAGTATTCACAACAGCCAATCAGGAAAGGGAAAATATCACAAGGAGCCAATCAGATTCGGATGTAAAGACAAGCAAATTGCCTGAAGCGCGGGAAAACGCGGGTGACCAAGTCGTGATTGGTTTTAGTTATGAATATAATTAGATGATAAACTGCTAAACTTGCGACACTGAATTGGAAATCGCTCTATTTAACTCGGTTTTTTCATCATTATTGATGACACATTTTTGTGTTTCATAAGGCGACTTGATTTTGCATCAATCTTCTTTGCAGGCCAATATCGCGCTACTTCTTCCTGTATTTGAGCAGTTCTTGGACATGGCACCAGATACTTCTGCGCATGACACGATCCGTCAATCAGTGATTATTTTGATGGGTTGCTTGGCGCGGCATTTAGACAAAGATGATCCTAAGGTAAGGACTCCATTTAAAAACACTGTAATGTCTCAAGGTGAGGTCTTCCACTATTTGGTCAATTTTCCTCTCAGCTTCGTGAGTGCTGGTGTTTTTAAGAATGTGAAATGGATGTAAACAGCTTTATTTTCAGATCATTCCATTAACTTTTGTCATCTTTTACACTTACTCTAGGTTAGACCAATTGTTGGAAAACTCTTGAATGCTCTGTCAACACCCTCACAGCAGGTAAAAATTTTTTAAACTTTCCATGGGCTGTTAGCTAACGTATCAAAGTATTTCTGACCGTGAAGAGCTTATTGCCTGAATAAACTGAAGGAAAAAAAACTGATTAATTTCACACCCAGAACACCGCGATCTCTTGTTGAAGAAGCCGTCTTGGTCAGCGGGGTTTTGGGTTCGAGATTAATATGTGCCTGTCAGGAAAGATGCGGAAAGGAATTTAAACAAGTGATTGTTTTTTCTTCGTAGGTTCAAGAAGCTGTAGCAAACTGTCTTCCTCCACTTGTTCCAGCAATCAAGTCGGAATCTCCAGATATGGTGAAGAACCTGTTGAACCAGGTAAAAAGTTTGGTCCTGTACAATGCAAGTCGGTCTTTATTAATCCATCATGCATCACTGTCGCACGTTCCCAAGTTATACGACCACTTGGTTCTGTTCGTTTTTATTTCAGCTTCTTGATTCCACTGTGTACGGTGAGAGGAAAGGTGCAGCTTACGGACTGGCGGGACTGGTGAAGGGTTTGGGAATTTTATTCCTCAAACAGCTGAATATTATGTCCACACTACAGGAAGCTATACAAGACAAAAAGAATTACCGACATAGGGAGGGTGAGTCGCGCTTTTGTCAAACTAAAACAGGCGTTTTGAGCGATACTGAACCGTTCTCTAAATAGGTAATAGATCACAGACGACGTCAAAATATGGCTAGAACAAAAAAGTACTACACGAGGCGTAGCGGAGTATTTCACTATATAGACCCACGGCAACATAGAATCTTTTTGTCCTATATGATGAAGAAGCAAGATGTCATTAATAGTGATGTCATTTAGGCGTCTGTCCTCCAATTGATCATAAGGAAGAGCCAATCAAAATGCCATATTGCGGTAAATCTATATCTCTTTGTGGCCTGTTTTCCAGGAGCGCTGTTTGCTTATGAGATGCTTTGTACAATGCTGGGCCGTTTATTTGAGCCTTATGTTGTACATGTTCTACCAAACCTACTGCTCTGCTTTGGGGATGGAAACCAATATGTAAGAGAGGTAAGATTGATATCAAAAATTCATTTTTCTCAACAATTGCAGTCATTTCTCGAGCACACGACTAAGGAGAATCAACAATATAATGTACTTGGGGATGTTGCCTTGATGGAGCTCTCAATTCCCTGTAAAATTTAAACAGAAATCTACTGGAACAGTAGGGAGAATTACAACTTTTAGATTTTGATATGTGAGTGTCTTCTCCAGGCCACCGACGACACTGCTCGTGCAGTCATGAAGAACCTCAGCGCACATGGTGTCAAGCTTGTTTTGCCGTCCTTGCTGGCTGCGCTTGAAGAGGATTCGTGGAGAACAAAGACTGGTGTGTGTTACTGTTCTTGGGATAACGTTCAAAGTCTAAAATTTCTAGAAAGACAACGTTAGCAATAATTTATTACTGGTGTTTTCGAAGCACTCCAAAACCTACTTAAATGTAAGATGTATCTAAGTGAAATATACAGTAAGTCGCTCCGTTTGTCCGTAGTCCGTCAGTCCATCCTTTCATCAGTTGGTTAGTTAGCCTCTCCTTCACTATGTCGGTTGGGTAGCCCAAAAGTCAGTCTTGTTTTAATGATTTATTTAATCTACTATTTATTTACTATTAATCAGTTGTGTGCTCGGTTTATTTTTCAGTTGTGAATTATCAGTCAGTCAGTCAGTGTCTTATTGGGTGCTTACCGCTAGCGGATAAATCCACGAGAAAAGTGCTAAGACCTTCAACCTATCCATTGTCTTCCTTGTACATATAGGGTTATAACCAAATCTATCTTACCTACTATATTCTCTTAACATGTTGTTAATGTTGTCCTCCTCAGGTAGTGTTGAGCTCCTTGGTACTATGGCGTTCTGTGCCCCAAAGCAGTTATCGTCATGTCTTCCCAGTATTGTGCCTCGCTTGTGTGAAGTTCTCACAGATTCTCACATGAAAGTACAGAAGGCTGGAGCCCAGGCCCTCAGACAAATCGGCTCAGTGATCCGAAACCCAGAAATTCTAGGTAAACTGGTTGCAACAAAAATCTTGCTAAAGCCTTAATTTCTAACTTTCACGTCTCAAAACTTCATTGGTGTAGGATCCTTACCTAGATTAAAAAGCGTGTTAGAGCGCAGCCAATTTTCTCTCCATGACCTATTATCATCGATCTTTACCAATCAAATGGCAGGATTTTAATGCAAGATGGCCGTCAAAAATGGAAGGTTCTGATTGGTGGATTTGAACCATAGCAGGTCACGCGACAAAATTTTCCTCTGCTACTTCAACAGCGATACAAATTTACTGTAGGCTGTAGTCAAGACATTCAAAGGAACCTGCCTGTTTGTAAAAGGTGGTTGAAACTTCTAGTTTTCTCGTTAATATTTCAGCCATTTCGTCCGTTCTTCTCGAAGCCCTAATGGACCCATCTACCAAGACTGCACCATGTTTACAAGTTCTGCTCCAGACCTCTTTCGTTCATTTTATTGATGCTCCATCCCTCGCTCTCATCATGCCCGTCCTGCAACGCGCGTTAAGCGAGCGTTCAACTGAAACCAAGAAAATGGCGGCACAAATTATTGGAAATATGTGTTCTTTGACGGACAAAAAGGTAAAATGGGATCAACAAACTTAATTGTCCTCGTATTTGAACTTGGTTGCGGACCTCTCCTTGAATTCTTTTTATGTGGACAGAGGTTGTCATTATTTAATCACAAAAAGGCTAGTCAAACCCATTTGTGAGTTATCCGTATTGAAAGCAGCATCATGAACAAGATTATTACTTCAGGTACCACAGGTGGGTCAATCACTCGGGATTTGTTTGATAACACAGTCTTCCTAACAAATAATAGATTACTGGTATTGGTTTATTAGAACTACGATGCTGTCTACTGTTTTTGTCAGCGGTTTTTAAACCATGACTTCAAGTTCATTGAATTTTTTCAGGATCTCGCACCATATTTGGGTGCAGTTGTTCCAGGATTGAAACAGGCCTTACTTGATCCAGTACCAGAGGTAAGAACTTAAAACATTTTCTGATACAAATTCTGGCGCAAGTTTTCATCAGCGTGTTTTTCATTTAGGTCCGTGCAGTATCTTCCCGCGCCCTCGGTGCTTTGGTTCGCGGTATGGGCGAAGAGTGCTTTGAGGATCTGTTACCATGGTTGATGGAGACTCTGACGTCAGAGAACAGCAGTGTAGACAGATCAGGAGCAGCTCAAGGTATGATGTTTCACACCTCACACCTTGTTCTCTGGAAATATCAATTCCTCAAAATTTCTCGGGGCGGTTTACCAACCAGCCCGCCGACGCGATCTAGTAGCTCCTTTCGAAACTAATTATCTCATTGCTTTGATATAGGAAGGTTTTATGAGATCGCTTGATAAGAATTTTTCAGTTTGTTTAGTGCTCAAACATTATACACAGGAAAATTTTTGTACTATCTTTGCACTTCACAACGATTACGCGTTTCTGTTTTAGGTCTTGGTGAAGTTTTATGTGCTATGGGTACCAACAGACTCGAGAAACTTATGCCGGAAGTGATTTCAACCACAGAGCGCGTTGATTTGGCGCCACATGTACGCGAAGGATACCTGATGCTGTACATCTATCTTCCTTCAACTTTCAAAGATGACTTTATTCCATTTGTGGGACCCGTCATACCTTCTGTGCTGAAGGTAACATCAATAGTCAGCTTCTCTCTTTTCCTTTGTGTATATAGAGCTTGTGAGATGATGCTTTTAAATCAGTTTATAAAGCTAAATGATATTAGCTTTATTAAAGATAATTATAGCTAAAGTTTTATACTTGATTTATCATTTTAACTTAGCTTTTTTATTTCAAGAAATTAGATACAAATTGAACTTAACAGCACAAAGACTTTTCAGAGTTTCTGCTTGAACAAAGGAAACAAATTTTTATCAATATAAATAGATGATATCACACGCCCACGTTACGTATGATTTCTTGATGATATGCTCGGGAATAATTTCACAAGCGGGTCTATGGTCAAGTTTATTAATGAAGGCGGAGCTAAGTCTACCGTGCACAAAGAACTTCATCGATCAATCCTTTAAAAAGGGGAACTTCCCTTAAGCAGATTAAGTCATAACAGAGCTCCAACATTTATTACCGTACGTGTGTGAACTCTCGTCTTAACTGGATATATCTTCTGATCTTTGTGGTATCTAATAACTTGACCTTCGTCTGAATCTCTGCTATGAAGCTCTCAACTATACCTCACCCCATTGAGTTCTCACAACCGCACTAAGAACTGGATACAGGGAATTTGACATATTTTTCATCTTCTATCAAGGGCCTGGCAGATGAGTCCGAATATGTACGAGACACATCTCTAAAGGCTGGTCAGCGGATTGTGAACTTGTACGCCAACACAGCCATTGAACTGTTCTTACCAGAGCTGGAGAAAGGATTGTTTGACGATAATTGGAGAATACGACACAGTTCTGTCCAACTGCTGGGTGATCTGTTGTACAAGATATCTGGTGTAACTGGTAAAATGTCCACTGAAGGCAAAGAGGATGATAACTTTGGAACCAGTCAGTCCAACCAGGTAACGCACAAAGTTAAAACAGTTACATTGCATCTACTGAAACTGGATTCAGCCAGATGATAAAAACCAATCAGAGGCCAGGAGGGAAACAAATCCAGCCAATCAAATGCGTTGTTCATGCTATATCTCAAGAGCAACCAATGAGAATAGAGAGTGAAACCCAGCAAACTGCCTGATGCGCGGGAAAAACATGAATGATGAAGTTGGGATTGGTTGTCGTTCTGCGTCTGATTGGCTGAGGGGTGGTGGAAGTTTTCTGGACCACAGAGTGAAGCAAATTACAACCAATGGGATCCCAGACTGCTTTTGACACGTAACTGAAAATTGCTCTTTTGATATTTGTATTGTAGCAACGTTTTTTTTTTCTTTTTCACAGGCCATCATCGAATCCCTGGGTGCAGAGCGCCGTAATCGTGTGTTATCCGGGCTCTATATGGGCCGTTCTGACGTTTCCCTGATGGTGCGCCAGGCGGCCTTGCACGTGTGGAAGGTTGTGGTCCCTAACACGCCTCGTATCCTAAGAGAGATTCTCCCCACGCTGTTTTCTCTTCTACTTGGATGCCTAGCGAGTACCAGCTATGACAAGAGACAAGTAAGTGTTGCTTGTTATCTACCAGGTCATCGTCGAAAATGTGGTTGCTTTGATTAAATAGTTTTATACCGCATTCAATTCAACCTGATACACGCATTGGTCTTTACGGATGAGTACTAACCCTTAATACCTTAACATCAATATCCTTATTCTCTATACCCTTCTCTAAACATTTCCTTTGTTATTGACAAGGAGAATTCATTTAACAATCAAAGCTTATGAGGTTGGTGATTATTTCCTTTATTCTCAAGACGTTAATAAATGATTCAGCTGTTTTACGGTAAGGAGAAATTAGATGCTGATCACTCGTAGGGTTTAAAGGGATAAAAGAAATCCAGGCAATAAAAAGAGGCAAAAAATTAGCTTATACCCTTCTTTATCAATTTATTGAATTTGTTTCTCTGTACGTTCTTTCATTCCAGGTTGCAGCTCGCACCCTGGGAGACCTTGTTCGCAAACTTGGTGAACGAGTTCTTCCCGAGATCATTCCGATCTTGGAGCGAGGTTTGGACAGCGACAAGTCAGACGAGAGACAAGGAGTTTGTATTGGACTCAGTGAAATTGTCTCCTCAACCAGCAAGGAACAGGTAACAAAAGACACCCATTACAATAATTAGAGACTGACTGGTTTTAAGGAAGCACTGTTAAACTTATTCCTTAGATGGGGGCAGCACGTTATCCGCGCTGTGGTGAACTCGCAAACCAATTGCGGTGCAAACATACCATTAATCTACAATTTCTACTGTTATCCTCCTTGCATTCCTTTACCTCGTCCCATGTTCCCGCGTCCATTTACTTGTTACCAGACCCTCACGAGCCAGCAAGTTTATTTATTATTACTTTGGTCATTACAGGTAATACAGTATGTAGATTCCCTGGTACCCACGGTGCGTCGTGCTTTGATTGACCCGCTGCCTGAAGTTCGTGTGGCTGCAGCCAAAACATTTGATCAGCTTCATAACACCATCGGAGCGAAAGCTTTGGACGACATTCTGCCTGACTTGCTCAAGAAAATGGTACATGTTATTAATTAAAATCTTCTTCATAACTTGTTATTACCTCAGTACATAATCTGAAAGACTTCAGATTTGAGACCCGTCCAGAAAGGTTTGTATTTCTCGTGAGATATTTGGGATCCTTATGCATCACATCAGTGCGTCCCACCCTATCATGCCAGCCGTACGATTGCACCAGTTGCTATTCACTTCTTCCTGTGAAGAGCAAGATTAGCCCAAGTTGCTGTTGTCAGAAGTTATCCTTGAGTAATTTGTAATCTGAGACAATCGTTTCACTCACCATTTTGTACAGTCCTAACTGTATTCTCAAGAAGTACGAATTGTTGCCTATGGGAAAGAGTGCATTGAGAACTTATTCTAATGGAGCTCTGTGGACGTGTTTCAGGATGACCCTTCTCTGTCTGAGTACGCATTGGATGGGCTCCGTCAGGTCATGGCCGTGAAGAGCAGAGTCGTACTTCCTTTCCTTGTACCCCAGGTAAGTAAAACCAACCAGCCTAATGATTAACTAACCGTATAAAAGAACGGACCGACGGACCGCGGAAGGTAGGGAGGGTCACGAGCACGAAGGGAGTCACCGGGAGCACGGAAGGAGGGTCGGAAGGACGGGCCGACATACGGTAGGACGGAACAAGGGAAAGTCAAAAGAATGGATGGAGAAATAAAGGGAGGGAGAAGGGAAAAAAGGTTGGAAAGCTGGACAGAGGAGTAGAGGGCGGGTTGGAAGGACGGGCGGACGAACGGAATAAGGGAGGGTTGGAAAGGCGGACGAAGGGAGAGACGGACGGAGGAATGGAAGAAGGACGGATGAAGGGACAAATAGAGGGAAGGATGCATGAACAAACAGATGTGCTAAATATCCGCAGTCAGAGTTTCCATCGCTACAAACCTTTCAGAGTAAAAAGTGTGGAATCGAAAACTAAAGTTATCTATCGCACGAAGTGCAGTTTGAATATCTGAAACTATTGCACACATTTTTTTGGTTCAAACTGTAGTCTTGGTATCCGTAACTCTAGTTTGCATCGAAGGAAACCGAACTATTGGAGTGTCTGTTACGCAACACCTTTTCTTAGCTTCTGTCACAGGAAGGTCAGCAATGCTTTCGACGAAAGCGTGACGTATTCTTAAGAGCTGCATTTTGTTGATTTTTTTTTATTCAGCTCATCACTCCACCTGTTAACACTCGTGCGCTGGCCATACTGTCTGCCGTCGCAGGTGATGCACTTACCCGCCATCTGAATAGGATTCTACCGGCCATGCTTAAAGCCATACAGGACTGCTTTGGAACAGAGCATGAAAAAGAAGTTAGTTCAAAATGCTTATGTAATTTTTCCCCTCTTTTTGGTCGTGACTATATGAAATTGCCACACTTTCAGCCAATCAGTTAGTTTCCTTTGCAGTCTTTTTTGGAATGTCACGCAATGGTTATTGCGTAATAACTCAAGGGACAATTGCTAAGGAGATCACCATTTAGAATGCTAACCGTGGAGACTTTTGAAAATGCTTATTCTTCTCCCTCTAGGAGCTGGAAGGCGCATCTAGTTTAGTGTTGTCGGTTGAAGATGACGCTGGAATCAGGACCATTATGGATGAACTCATGGCAGCCTCTAAGGATCCTGTCCCCGGCATGAGAAGGGTAAAATTTCTTATTATTTTGGCTTAAACAAAATGCATCTTTCAAGTGTAGTTTGACTCAGATACGCTGTGTGTTTTCATGAGACAAATTGTTTTTACACCCTAGGCTGCAGTATCTCTCATGCACACGTTCTGTCAGGAGACTAAGGCAGACTATTCCCAGTTCATTCCGGCCCTGTTTCGTGGAATAATTAACCTGATGAACGACTCTGATGAACTGGTTGTGGAAATGAGCTGGAACGCTTTGAATGCAGTAACCAAGGTAACCACTGATACTGTCGCCTCTCCCGGGCCCTCAGCTAGTAAACGGTCGAGGTAGGAGCGTAGAGCCCGTGCGCAGATTGATAAAAGGAGAAAGGCTTGAAACGGGTTGTTACTCAACCTGACCCAGACCTCTTCCTTTTTTCGCTCTGTACCTCTGTGACCTGTTTACTAGTTTTACATCGAAATAAAGTGCGTTTTGTTTCAGTGTTATACGCCCGCGGTTTCCCCTGCAAAAGACGATTGTGATTTTCTGGTAATTTAACACGCAACTCAGCATATGTCACTGGGTTTGCTGTGATTGGCTGCAGTTGTATCGTTGGTTTTGATCTGACGACAGTAACATAACCCCCTAAAACATTTTACTGTCAGAGGGGGCTAAGCTTTGTTCGTTTGTCGTTTATTTCAGCGTCTGGAGGCCTCTGAGCAGTTACAGTATATCAGCCACGTACGGCAGGCAGTCAAGTATGTGTCAGATGAGGTCAAGGATGGAGATCTGCCAGGGTTCTGTCTTCCTAAAAAGGTACTGATCAGTTTTTAAAATCACTTCAAAATAGACTGAACGTGAAGAAAAACCAAAATTATCAGATGCTATGGACTCTGTTGTGTACCTTGTTGTCTTAAAAAGTGAATAAGCAAAATGTTTGGTCTCGCAAATTCATTAAAAAGATTCTTAGCTATGGGAGGTCCTTTTCTTGTTTTTGCCATCCATTTTGTGTTCCAAGAAGTGGCTTTTCGTAAATATGCTCTATTTGAAAAAAAAAATGTGTTCACAGTTTAAACTTATGCAGAGAGAACGAAATGAATGCAGATATTTATAAAGAAAACATCCTAAAATCTTCTAAAGCCTGGATTTGTTACTGAATACAGTGGCTTTCTGCTCGCTGCGTTAAGATTTTAAGAAGCCTGTAAAACCTTGCTTAATGCCTGTTGGGTGACTTTTAACCATTGACACACTTGAGCACCTTGTCCTCTTTACCTTCAAGAAATTGTTTGCGATTACCGATCTCTCATTTTTCTTTACTTGTCTGCTGTTGGTTGAAAACGTGACAATTTTTACCCTCTAATGTGTTGTTTTATCCACAGGGTATTGCTCCCATTCTACCGATATTCCGAGAGGGAATCTTAAATGGTACTCCAGAGTTAAAGGAGCAAGCTGCCAAGGGGCTTGGAGAAGTGATCAGTTTGACAAGCGCCGCAGCACTACGACCATTTGTAGTAAACATCACTGGGCCCCTGATTCGTATCCTTGGAGACCGATTTACGTGGAACGTCAAAGTGGCAGTCCTACAGACTCTGGGTCTTTTGTTAGGCAAAGTATGTGTGTTTACTTAGGCTTAGGACATTTTCAATTGAATTTTAAAAAAGTTTGCTGCAGTTCCTTTTACAAGATGTGATTGGTGGACAAAACATTAGTACTCATGACACCTTCTCGCCCAATCAGAAGCAAAATCAATAACTCAGCAAGATTTGTTCGCGTGCGTTTTCCCGTGCTCGTCAAGAAATACCTTGAAATTCTCATTGGTTATCATTGCTTAAACACTTCGTCTGATTGGCTGTTTTGATTGCCTCGAGTTCAATAATACTGAAGCAAGATGTAAACCAACTATATCGTCCTTGTTTTCCTTCACAGGTAGGCGCGATGTTGAAACCCTTCCTTCCTCAGCTTCAGACTACGTTCATCAAGGCCCTGAATGATCCTAACCGAGAGGTGCGCGTACGCGCGGCTTCCGCGCTTCAGAAACTGATTAAACTGCACACACGAGTGGATCCTCTGTTTACGGAACTACACAATGGAGTAAAGAACACCGAAGACAATACCATAAGGTTTGTAGGGCTACCAGCTTACTAAAGTGACTAATTATTTTTAACTAAAACCGATGCACCAGAGGGTTGATATAACACAACATTCTTGATTTTTGTAGGGAAACACTGCTACAGGCCTTAAGGGGAGTCATCGCTGGCGCAGGACAGAAGATGGGTGATCCAATAAGGAAGACGTTAACCACAACACTGCTGGATTTACTGGGACATGGAGATGTAAGACACTCTTAGATTATCATTATCTAACCCTATAACCTTCAAGACCGAATTGTAATTTCTCCTCTCTAGCCGCTACTCATTTCATTGTTAATTAGTTAAAAGCATTTGGTTTTAGATCAAAAAAGGGACTTTCACATGATAAATTGGAGTATTCTCTCTACCTGTATGCTGGATAATATATGAATATTATAAGGAGAAATTACATGTTAATTACTTCTGGGAGTTAAAGAGTTAAAGAGTTAAAAACCTTTCCTTTCAGCATTCTGTAATAGACCAGGTCTACGTTATGCATTTTTATAATTTTTTTAAACAGCGTTTGTTGTATTATCGTCTTTGTTTAAAAGTGTGATGTTTTGATTGTACAGTATGCCAGTATCCTTTGCCCTTTTGTCCGGCTCGTATTCTCTGGTTCACTGATTTGTTGCATTGATTTTCAACAGGACAACATTCGTGTAGCGGCAGGTGGCTGTATTGGATCATTAGCTCTTATTGTTCCAGACACTGAACTCGAGTATATCATCAATGATCATCTCATAGGTGCGTCAACAATCATAGTGGCTTGGGTTAAGTTCAAAACAATTACAGAATAATAATGAATATATTGGTAGGGAACCCATGGACCCCACTGATGTGCAAATGTGCAATATCGTATCCACCCTCTCACAATTATTTCACCTTTCCAGCACATCTCCAATCCACCCTTAATTAAAAATTGTATTCAGTGACTACTCAGTTTAATTACAAGGTTGCTGAACATTTAAGTTCTAATAATTTAACGCAATTCAGTACAATACCCGCCTCCCCGTATTAAATATACAATTATCAGTATGTAGTTATCGTGCGTTTTTAGTATCTTTTTCTTTTTAATTTCGTTTGCAGTGAATGACCCCACTGTTGACTGGACAGTGCGCCACGGTCACGCTATTGCTCTGTCAGCGGTATTACACGATGCTGCCGAGAGGATGGTGTCCCTGGGCCTGTTTGAAGTCGTTACTGACATGGCTGTGGCACATGCTAACACAGATAGGGTGAGTGTTACTGCGAGGGGAGGGGTGGGTTGGTACCCGTCAGTATCCGTGCAACTTTATTTGCGTTTATTCTGATAGCACAAGTTCAATTCGTAGCGCGGCATTTATAATGCAAAGAGCCATTTTTTGTTAATAGGTTTAGCATTGAAACATGGAGACGGTTTTCTTACTGTCATTTACTACATTCCAACGAAGCATCTCACAATTTTTCATAATGTATTTTTGAGATTAATGTTACTATTCATTCGCATGTTTATTTTTTTCTCTCTCTCTCTCTCTCTATTTCCAATGCTTCAGATTCCCATTTGTAGTTCCGGTGTGAGGTGTCTTGGATTCATTCTCGCTCACTCGGTTGTGCAGTGTATTCCGCCATCAACAGAGGTGCTTGAAACCCTACTCAAGGTAAAGTTAAATAATTATGTAGAGGTACGTCAGCAATAGCGGAAAATTTCAGTTTAAAAGAGCTGCTGAGTAGTTATAATTCCTTTTGATGGTTTTCTTCACAATTGTACTTTGCGCATTAAAAAAAACCTTCAATTTTTGCTGTCTGAATGGGATCTAAATGTCTTTCTTGTCTTAGCAGTAGCTATTCCTCTCTATATGTCCATTCAGAAAATTCTTGCGACTGATTTTTCAATCCCAGGTACTACAAGAAGGCGCAAACGACGTGAAAACGATCGCGGCAGCGTCTCTGCAACACGTCGCACGTAGAAGCCCAGCGTCTTTGGATAACGCTCTTCTAAAAGTCATAGTTCCAGCATTACTTGCGTCTTCCAAAGAAAAGAACACAATTGTGAAATCCTCTGCTGAATCCGCACTTCTGTATGTCCTGCGGCTTCGAGAAGGCGAGTCAGCACTTCAGGTATGAGCCATTAAAATGTCTTTATTCTCGTTCTTTGGATAAGCACGATAAGGAGAAATAACAGAGAACCTGTTAACGAGTTCCTGCAACTGGCTTCGTCATAGCCTTCGTTGCAGGAGCTAGTGGGTAGAGGTGGGAAGAGTCATAAAAGACGAATTTATGAGGAAGTGAAGGTTCTTGCCCTCTTAATTACGTCCCCTACGTTAAACATTTCGCCCTGGCCCCAGAGCGTTTGCAGGAAGAGTGCTAATGTGCGATGAGAAGCAAGCAGACTATATTATTTTTATTTATCATTACTATTATTAATATTGTTTTTATTTCAGTCCTGCTGCCGTATTTTCGACGCCACAACTGCAGAAGGTATACAGGATCTATGCCGAAAATCGTTACGTCGCTTAGCAACTCAAGAAGAAGACCCGGATGAATTAGAAACTTTTTTTTCGTCTGTCGATCAAGGATGACACCAACTAAGAAAGTGTCTGAACCATCACCAGGTACTTTTCATTGATACGAAACGCAAGAGCCTAAGGGAACTGATGCTTTGTGAATTCCTTCAGAGTTGCAAATGTAACTGCGCTATTTGAGACGCAAATAAATTGTTTCTAATATTATACAATGTGTTTACTTTTTTTCTGCGGCCACAAAAAAGAAATCTACAATTTAGACTACGTGGGTGGTAACAGATAAACAATTATTGAGAGCAAATAAATGCAAGAGAGGATGACGAATTGTCCCAAAGACTTCATTAGCAAATTTCTGTTGTCTCAATATTCCTGTCCTTACATCTCAGTCAGAGAGAGAATTTTCTTAACAGTTAATAGCGTGTTAAAAAAGCGTGGTAAGCAGTCTACTGTGCGCAAGTTTTGAAGTCCCAGTTCTTTCGTAGGCCTAGAAAATCCCCTCCGAATATTGAATATTAATTCTTTATTATATAAAACAAATAGATTCCAAGTTGCCGAACACTTTTTTGTTCTTACCACATTTTGACGTCATCTGCGATCTACATACATACATACATACATAACTTTATTTGATAACGCAGGTTAAAATTTGCGCAACTTTACAGCTGATGTGGACCTGCCTAAACTAATTAGTCTATAATTATATAAAATACAGATATGATAAAATTTATAAGTTGAATAAATCAAGTAAACCATAAAGTTTTAGTAATAGTGAAAATTTGGTTTCATGTTTTGTATAACATTACCTCCCTTTTCAAAATTAATATTCATAACAGTTTGCTTGGATTGTTTTAAGTTATATTTAAAAATAGATAAATTTGGAGAATCTTTAACATTATCGGGAAGTGCATTCAATGCTACTGCAGATCTATGAGCAAAGGACACGACCCAATTCGGTTTTGGGCCTATTAAGTACAACATTCAGTCCTTAGGTTATAACTGTTAGAGTTCTTGGTCACCAAACAATTAATTTCCCGCAACCCTAAATTATAATAAGCATTATATGTAATAGTTAAGATACGTAGCTTATAAAAATACTCTAAAGGCATCCAGCCAACCTTAGAAAGTACATCATTATCCCCAAAACTATTTGGTATCTTATGAATTAGCCTGGCAGCCCTGATGTGAATCATTTCTAGATCTTTAAGCTTGGATCCAGACCCCCAAATTACTGAATTACTATTACTGAACAGACGCACGGCAACTTGGAATCTATTTGTTAACTAGTTTCAAAGTCTAGGGTCTTTCGTAGGCCTAGAAAATCCACTCTGAATATTGGTTCAAGGTCCGAAAAAGGTCATTAACCAATTTCTATTTTTCAAATATTCATTCACACTTATGTCAGCTACAGAGGATTTTAAAGACAATTTAGAGCGTGTTAGAAAGAGCGTGATTAGCTGAGTGTTGTTATACTTTTTTGAAACCAATAGGAATTTCTGATGCCCAACCCATCCTTCCCCCCTGAGGATTTTTTCTGTTACAGACCATACCAAACTTGTCCTCTTAAACATATCACAAACTTAGATCCATTAAAAACTTTATTCTATTTGTATCTGTGGTAGCTGAAGTACAGCTTTTTCATAAGAACTGTTAGACAATTGTCAGAAAAAGTTCAGCTAATTTTAGTGCATTCCGATTGTCTGCTTTCAAGTCTGTCAGTTGGTTAAATAACAATATCAGTCTATAAGCACTTAATATGCAGTTATTTCACTATGAATCTGTGGTATCCACCAGTAAAATTCCCTGCTCTTTTGAGGAACCTTTACTGCTATGTAATAACTATTAGATTTAGGTCAATTTGTCTCTTCATCAAAATACACATGGTATGTCTAACTGAACACTGAAAAGACCTATCACAGTAATCCTGTTATCTTTCCATGTTGATTTCCTACTTGTCAACCTTCATCACTATATGACGTGAGATACGTTGCCAGCATTTCATGGCATTTAATTCACTCACACTTAACACTTGAAAGAGCTATCACAGTAATTATGTTATATCTCGTTTGTAACCCTTTAGTGCACACTATTTGACCTTCATCACTATGTAACTTGATATAATTCCCCTCCACAACATAGAGTTTAATAGTATATAATTCACCATAACCTAACAGGTACACATTGTAACAGAGTAATGAGGTTGCTATCTTTCTAGTTTATCTGCAAAATAAAAACATAAAAATAAAACACACCTAGATTTAGTCAAGGGTGACCCATGAACCTTTTTTGGAGAAACACATTCAACAAAGATGTCAGTTACCATCCATCTGTCTACTGATGTGTAATCTGTTCAGGTCACTCTACATAGCTCTTTCCTATTTTCAATTGACACTGATATTTGGCTCAGGAGACTTGAACTTGCTCTCTTACCACTAAATACAAGGATATGCTACATAACGATCATGCAATTAGAAGCCAAAACATAAACAAGAATGCAACCCAAAGGAACAGCTTGGAAAGAAACTGCTCATCCTCTGCTTGAGGTGATCCTGGTGGTGCTGTTAACAAAAGATATTGATTAATGAATCATCAAATATACATGTAAATAACATTGAAGTAGGGAAGTGGTGATCACAAGAGAGGGAAACACATGTTATTCACTTTAAGTCATCAGCTACCTTCTGATCAACAATTTGGTTCAAATTAGTGAAAGCCTTGGTTGGAATTTATGCTTTGGGCGAAAGGTAGTTAATTTTTGTGGTGTATCATTTGCCAAATTTTCTTTAGAAGAAACTTCTTTCTGCTGGGTCCAAGGTTGGTTACAACAAGCCACGTATGTTCTGATAATTTTAAAATACGCTTCTGCCTGAATTAAGATAATGCATTTTATAACAATTATACGACAACCCACCTGCAGTCTGCCCTTGGCCACCAAATGTCTGCAATGAATAATTAAATAATCAAGCAATTTTATTTGATCATTAATATTGATACAGCAAAAAGATGATAACAAGTACTGTCTCAAATTAAATGAGGTAAGGCTTACCGTTGAGAAGAAGGCAAATGGGAATGCACCAATACCAAATGAAAGTTGAAATCCATCACCAAATCCACCAAAGCCTGGGAAGCCCTGAAAAATCACATTCAACACTCAAATTTACAAATCATACATGATTTAATTCTATATTAGACACTTGCTTCCCTATTACAGATGGTACCATCTGAATTTGGGAATTTGCTTCCATTTTTGGACGGTACTGCCACACTTTGGACACAAGCAATTGTTTTTACATTCTTCTGTCTGCTTTTAGACAGTGCCTCCAACTTCAATGATTCCAATTGTTTTCTGGTACTCAAGTCTGATTTTGAAGACAAGAGTTTTGATTTTGGACAGCTGATGGTACCCTCCCGTCCCTTTTCCAACAGAAACATCCCAAAAAATGCTATCAACATGCATATTTAAAATGATCAATAACTGTGTGGGACTATAAAATTGCTCATTCTGTTTTCTCTAAATAATTTATAAATACAATTACCCACATACATGTACTATATGTGCTCTTCTTAGTCAGTGGGAGTGTTCAGAGTATACATGTATTAGATTCATACATATTTTTTGGATTTATTTTCAATTGAAAGAAAATCAATGACTTTCTTTGATTTTTTACCATGGCATTCAATTTTCAGATGATAACATACTATTTCAGACACTTGTCTCTAATAACAATACTTTTTGGGTTTACAACAGTCTCTGCTTTTGGACACCACCATCCAATTTTAGACACTACCTTCTGCTCTCAGAATGAAGACTCCCATTTTGGACTGTAGTGTCTGTTTTTGGAGAGGACTATCTGATTTTGGTCACTATTGTCCATTTTTAGACTGTACTGTGTAATTTTGGTCTCTACCATCTGTTTATGAATTGGTATCCCACCCTATTCAAGGTTTTCATCAAAACATATGGAGGGCTAGAACCTAGAAAATAAAGCTCTACTACTTGAATTCAATGTAGATGTTCTTACTCCATTATTTTCTGGTTCTGGTCTTCTTCCCTGAGGTCTTGGTGGCATTTTCTCTCTTTAAAAGGTTAAACATGGTGATGTTATTGAATGAAATTACTTAGTATAATGTTACCAAATATTGAATTGAGAGCTACACACTAAAATTTTAATGACAGTTGTTTGTAGGGCAGTCAAGTGAGCATGATGGTTCACAGCTTATGTCAAGTAACTCCACTTTGGTGTACAGAATAATAAAAAGAGGCAATAAAAAGTTAACTAATTTACGTAAAGGGTATGTTTAATGCTTTCAGTCCCTATCTCGAATGACTAAAAAGTAATTTCCCCACACAATATCAGCACAATGTCCCACAGAGATGGGATAGGAGAGAAGAGAAATATCTACAAAGGTATATTTTTTTATGTCACTAAATTCTCTGAGGCATTGTGCAGAGTCCAAGTCAATATTGTGGTTCATGGTCTGTGATGTTCAGTAATGTGATTGTTGACAAGACCTTTCCTCATCGCTCATTTGTATTCAGTCAGTCTAGTTGTGAGGTTTCTGCCAGTCGCACTGACATACTAACTTTAAAGAAAAGTATGGCAGACAGCTTGGATAATGGGGTCCAAGTTTACCTGGGGTCTTCCTGATTAGTGCTTCCTCTACCATACAGTGGAATGACTTTATCTTTGCTAATACCTGCCTTGCAAACTGGGCACACTGATTTGTTAGGCCGCGTTTCTAGCCACTGAAAAACAAAAAAGGAGCATATCACGAGATCAAGAAAAATGGTGAATTTTGAACTTGGTCATTGCTTATAAGATGAAAAGCTTGCTGTGAACTTAGTTTCAGCCAAATTCATCACCATATTCTATGAATCTCGGTAGTAGCACATTAGACTGTGAAATCTGAAGGAATATGGTTCAAATTCTCAAAAGGAAACTCAGATTTTTCCTTGTACCATATTTTAAGACACATTTTTATCATGAATTCCTCTCAGGTTGTCAAAATGTCAGTCACCACTACCGACAACAGTCCTTCTCAGGACAACACTCATCTGAATGATCAAACTACACTATCATACAAATGTTCATGATTTAGAATACCTTAAGAAGGTCAAATCCAAAGTTTCTGAGTGAAGTTGATCAAATTGACAAGAAGTAGTTAAGAACCAAGCAACTAATCCACTTCACTTTTAAAATCAATACTGGTGCTCAAACTACACAATGAAGGGGGTAAGTTTCTAAAAAAACTGTGGTTTTGGGTCGGTGGGAGACTATAACAGGGTAATTTAGTATTATCAACTGAGTTTATAGCCTAAATTGGCTACCATAAAATGTTTCAAAGTTAACGTTTTGACATTGGCCCTTTGTCATTCGCTCTGGAGAATGGCTGACGCTCAAATTGTCAGTTTTGATACCCTTTATGATGGCCAATTTACATTATCAACTTAGTCGATAACACTAAATTAACCTGCTCAGACAACAGCTGATCGGCTTAGTACCATGGCCATAGTATACTATTAGGAGACAAGCAGTTAACATTCCTTTGAAACTCACCCCAATCAGTTTGCAAATAGTGATTCCAAGGATTGTTCCTTTTCATTTTTTTCAATATCACATTCCTGAGGACATTTTTTTCTCAAGACTTAGGCTCACAAAATCAAATGAAGCAATTCTGATGTATGCTAATATCCAAAGATTGACTGTTGACTGCCAAGTTCAGTGTTATGGGTGTAAATTGAATTATACAGGAGTAACAACTATCCACATGAATAAATCAAGTTGCAACTTTTCCAATATATAATGATATGAAATGTCTATTTTAACTTGTTTGTAAGTATGGAGCGAAAGTAAAATACTATCAGCACACTGTTTTAACATGAAAAAGGCATGAAAATTTGCCTGAATCGACGTGAAGACGGCGTGATTCACAGCTCACGGAAAGTATTATTAATTACTTTTCTCCCAAAAATAACTTAATTTACACGGTTTAATTGAAAGTTATGTTACTCACCTTGTGAAGACATGGCCAGCTATAAGGGAGAAAAATAGATTTCTCAGTTTTCTACGGTGTAACAGTTAGCGAAAGGGGAATAAAAAGAGGAAAAAGAACTGAATATAAAGTACCAATACTTATTACACATCAGCAAATACACCCAAACTAAACAAAATTCTTACCAAAATAAATGTCCACAGAAACTGATAACTGCATCTTTCGCGGTGTCGAGACAAATGTTACATTCAAAATTTGCATTAGCACTTGATTGTTCGCTATTAGAGGCCCCAGCAGCAGAGGTTCTATCGTTTACATCCTCATTCGAAGTCGCCATCTTGTTTTCTGTTGCAATGTTTTCACGGGTCTCACGCTGATACGTCACGGTACACTGGGGAATAGCGCGGCGGGTTTTTTCCGCGGAGGCATCTGCTTGGGGTAGACTCCGTGTCGACCGCCATCATGGTAAGTAGAAAGAAATATTTCTCCTCGATTTGTTCGCTTAATGGAAAGCGATTCTATAGTACTAGAACCATAAGAAGTAAAATAACATCATATACTTCTAATGATGTTGATATAAGTTATAATGTTTATGATTTATAGGAGATTTTTGTGATGGTGCGTCGTGAAAAGACAACAATCTTCCTTGATTGTAAGGAAGCCACAACTGTCTACGAGCTAAAGAAAATGGTCGAAGGCATCTTAAAGAAGGCTCCAGAAGATCAGAGGCTGTACAAAGATGATCAAGTCCTGGATGATACGAAAACTCTGGAGGATTGTGGTTTTACAACCCAAACCGCGAAAGCTCAAACTCCGGCATTGATTAGCTTGTCATTCAGAGGAGAAGGTGCGTTGGTTGATAATGTACAAAATTTAGTTGTCCTGAAACTTATAGCGATATTAATGATTGATGAGTGTTAACTGTATACTAGCGTTTTAATTTGTTGCCGTTGTTCTTGTTATTCCGGGATCTGTTCGTTGACAGATTTGCATAGACATCGTGCTTATCATGTTTGTTGAAGTGATTAGTATATAGCTTTCGAGTGATCATCGTCCTTAACTTATTGTCAACTTTTAACTTCGATACATACAATGAGTCCGTTATTGACGGTCTCCTTTTCAAAATTTCGTTAATTAATTTTTAGGAGGGAAATAAAGCTTTTTGTTTTATTTTTTTGTGGACAAGGAAAATTACGAAAGGAAGTACAACTACTCACTATTATCAACAGTCCAGTATCTTTCTCTTTGACGATTCTGATGATCAGAGAAGATCTCAGAGATAACTTTAGGGACAAGGACAATTTCTACAATATTTGTTGTCATTTGACCATAGATCATTCATCTTTGTCCAACAAATATAACTGGAATCTTGCTTCTAAGCGAAATGATAGGTTGACTTTGAATTACAATATGATCTAGTGATTTTTTAACTCTTTGATTTATCCTGTAATCGAGTTATTTTTTACCTTTCCTGAAGCGTTTTCTGGTAAAAATTCAAAAAATAATTCTCTAGGCGATAAAATGTAGAATTCTTATTGCCTGGCTGCTAAGTATTGTGTTAAAATTACAAGGAAAGTTGAGATGTTGATCAGTTATGGGACTCAAAGGGTTAACAGATATTGGATTTTAGTATATGTAACTTATGTCTACATTGCTACAGTTTTTCTGAAGGTTATGAGCACTTGAAAGAGCAAATGCGGAAGATTGTAAATTACACTTAAAATTAATCACATTTTGATCTTTGGATGATGAAGAGCTGCTTAATCCATGGGGTAAACTGTGATTTAAGAAATTATAGAAAACAAATAATGAAAAAATGGGATTGAACCTGGCCTATCCCTCCCTTCCAAAAGGAATCAAACCCTAGACCTTGAGATTTCATGTTCTGATGTTCAACCACTGAGCTACAGTGAACTCTGTGTTGAGTTTTGCCATTACTAGTTCCATATGTGACATGGGTTGTGCATGCTGTTGGGATCAGCAATGTCTGAAGTGCATGTGAGTAAATAAGATAAAATAAATGAAACATCGAATATTATGAGGCTGTGGATGTTGATTAAGCTAAATACCTTGTTATCCCTGTGTTTCAGATGGAGAGTTTGAACCAGTTGTGATCGCTCCTCATTCCACCCCACCTGAATTGCCAGATGTGATGAAACCCCAGGAGACTGTTTCTAACAGTGATGGCTCATAAATTTTGTGTCCTAAAGTATGATTCTTTTTTTTGTAGATCAACTCATACTCAATCTCACAAACTAGTTGCAACTTTAGCGCCATTGTTGACAAACTTAGATTACAACAAACTGGCCAAAGCATTGTGTGGTGAAAGAATCATTACTATTATATATTTAACTTTCTGGTTTACAAATTCCCATCCATAGATTTGAAGTAATGTCGATTAAGTGACTGGTAAAGAAATGTTCTTGGATATTTAGGAAAAAAACCCTGGTTTAGTCAGTCATGGCAGTACCAGCTAACAACAGATCTTCAGTTTTATTAAAAAAAAAAGAATGTAATAATTCTACAGTCCAAATATTTTGGTAATGCAAAGACAACCTAGTGCAATTTTGGCCATAACATGGTAAAGAGCTCGCTTTTAATGTTTTGATGAATGTGTAATTTATTTGCTATTTCCCTGTTGAACTGAAAACAAGGACTACTTTCTTACTGATCTAAACTAAAATGTCTGAAAACATCATTAATCTGTAGTTCATTGTTGATTTGAAATTTAAAGTAGTGGTTTTGTGTCTAGTAAAATTTGTTCTAGCTGTGTAATAAGTGTTTGTTTGGTGATTTCATCATTTTCTTGTTTAACCCTTTGACTCCCAGAAGTGATTAACATGTAACTTCTCCCTATAACATCCACACATAATCCAACCAACATGTGATGAGAATACTCAAACTTATCAGGTAGAAGTTAGTAGTCTTGATCTAACACCAAATTCTTGTGACTTATTTACAAGGAAATGTGTAGCAGCTGGAGGGGAGAATTGACAATCAGATCTTGGGAGTTAAAGGGTGAAGGATTTATAAATCATCTATGTATGAAACTGGCAGGCATATTTTTCTAGTATCTTTCCAATATCTTCCCTATCTAAGAGTGTATTTTCAAGTCAGGATTAAGTCTGATATTTTATTTTAATTTTGAGTTGTACTGGTTTCATTATTTTGTTTGTTTTTTTGTTTGTAAATAAACATATTTCTTTTGAAGGAATGTCTTTTTATGTGGCAATCTATCATTCATGTTTGCTCCCATACCATGAAAGTCACTGGCACAGACAGGGTTTAAATGGGTCATAGAAAACCTTGAAATTCATTGAATTCAAGATAATCATTCGTAAGGGTGGAATGCCACAAAAAAAAAACAAACAAAAAAAGACTGAAAGTGATATTTCTGAGAACATAGCAAGGAATATCTTGACTAAAGGATTATTTCTCTCTTTTGAAACCACCATTTAACCCTCCAACCCCCAAGAGTGATAACCATCTGATTTCTCCCAACAAATATCACCCCTGAATCAAACATAAGTTACAATAACAAAGGAAATAATCTCAAACCTACACTTAAAAGAAGCTTTGATTGTTACACAAATTATCCTTGTCAGTACCAAGGAAATGTAAAGAGGAGTGTAAGGAGAAAATAGATGCTGCTGATAGGGTGTAAAGGCTTAGTTGTTGGCCATGCAAAAATAAAAAGTCCTGTAAAAGGTAACTGAAAGTTATACAACATTTAAAGTTTACAAGAGTACCAACTCTGAGAGGATGGCCTTCACTCACTCCATATCCACTCCTGCTAGTGGTCAGCTCTCACAATAAAGTAGGTGTAATGTGTTTGCAGGCTTTAATCTTTAGAAATTTTTCAACCTGTCCTCTATTTGCACAAACGTTTCCCCAGGAAATCATCCCTCAAGTATGAGAAGGGACTAGACAAAATAGAACCAGAGCAAGTGACACCAGAGATTTGTGTTAAATAAAAGATTTTATAGATGTAAATGATATAGTTTACAGTAAATTACAACATGAATAATTCTAAAACTCTTCTCATAATAAGGAAACTTGACAGGCCTGGCTACAGTGATGATGATCAGCACAAAATTAATGTGATTAATTAACAGTTTAGGCATGAACATTGATTCACACAATTCTCATGTAATATTTAAATCATTGCCATGCTCAGGAAGCTAAGAAGAAAACGGCCCTTGGATTAATAAACAAGAGAAAATTAGCTCAAAATTAACTGGTTTTACCATTTATCATATCCACACTACTTCCCGAGGTGTTTTCCTTGAAAAACCCTAGACAAAAATCCCCATTAAAGGACCATACACAATAGCATGAGAAAGGCCAAAAAAAGGTGTACAGCCCCATGAGATGCTGACAGAAAGAAGAAAGAGAAAGAGCAGCAGTTAATATGCTTATTGACTGAGTTATGTTTGGGGAGACAAGATTTATTTCAATCTTGGCCATGAAGTACACCCCCCTACACTTGTTTTTATATCATGACAAATTTTCTAAAAATTTAACTTCCAACCCTCCCACTCAGTCTATGAGCACACTTTATCAAAAGACTTTAACAAATTGCGCTTGTGTGACCAACATGCCCATAACACAAGTTTATTCATGTTATTCACATCAACACATTTAACTTGCTTGGACTTTCTTCATCACAAACACTTTTGGATCACATTTAAAACTTGTAATGGGAAATGGTTATTACAGAAGTTGCACTTCATTTTTCATGAAGTAAACAAAGAAGAAACTGAAGTTAAATTTTAGAGTAGTAAATAATATATTCACAGAAAGGCACCATAGTTTCACCTCCAAAGGCTGTTTCCCACCAAATAAAGGAACCATTTCCTAGAAAACCTAAATTAACAAGCTTTGAACTTGGTTTAAATATTGATCTGAAAGTTAACAGCTACATGCTGAATTCCCCACTTGACAGTTGTGGTTAAATTATTAGGTAATACCTACTCAAGTTTTCCAAAATCCCAATAACTAAGTTAAACTATTGAGGATCATACCCTAACAGTAAATTTAAGATAACTTAAGAGAACAGTGATTTTATCCCATGGTAAACTACATTAAGCTATGTTTCTACGCAGTTGAATGACACCAGTATTCTCAAAGGTCTGCTTTGATTCCTTTCTGATCTGTTCAACAGGCTCTGAGAGTTACACCCTTGCACTCCCAAGAAAAAAAAAACTGATTTGAATCTGTCCCTACATTGTAAGGACATTTTCAGGCAGAACAGTGACAAGAATTAAAGAAAAAATCAGCAACAAGGGGATGTTAGTTTATCTCACAAAGATTATAGGCAGGCAAGGTATGGCAAACAGTTTGGAGAATTGGTATATACATCTTGGGAGTGAAAGGGTTGGATTCTGTGCTCAGTTCTCCATGAGAAATACAAAGATAGCTGTCATATAATTTACTCCACATACAATTCTATGTTAACTCCAGAAGTATGAGCAAACAAAAATTGAGTAATTATTTCAATAAATTAATCCTCTAACATATGTGACTGATATACAAGACTGATATAAAATTACTGTTCCTGCCAATCATTATATATGGTGTAGTTCACAGTCGATCAGCTGTAGTAGAAACAAACAGCTTCAGAGAAAATAGTCGGGTTGAGGCTTTTTGGCAATGGTTGGCATACCTCTCACCTCCTGTGAGTAAAAAAAAAAAGGAAAATAGAAATAAAGTAATGTTTCTGCCCTAGAATGTCCATGTAGATATGCTTGAGTTTGATTTGACTAGACAGACAAAGAATTTCAATTAAATAGACACGTAAAATTTATTTAACTGTTACTCAAATGTCAAACTTTTCTACATTATCATTACACATGGCTGTTTGTTTTGTTGCTGATAATAACCATAATAAAAGGTATGATGGATTTCTTTTCCTTTTGTAAAATACTGACCTGTTCACTTTCATAATTTATGTCTAGCTGAGATAACCTTAATCATTGATCTTTTAATACTTACCTGAGGAGCTGCTTCAAATATTGTGAATTCTCTTTTTAAATGCTCATCCAGTTCTAATATTGCTGCAACATTCCCACACCTTCGAGAAAATGATAATTTTCAATTTTTCTACTGAATATACAATTACAGTTTCATTAAAAAAAAATTAGTGTCAGTAGCTGATAGGTAAGTTAATGAAACCTGTCGTGTTGGTGTGACAGCTGTCTGACCTTTTATTCCCAATCACAGTGATTGTTGTAAAATCTTCCTCCTTTTAAAAGCACTTAAAACTGATGTAGTTCACTGGTAGTAAAACATAGTCAGACCTTGAGTATTTTTCCTTTCCCTTTTCTCCCATTTACCTTCAATTATTTCACCCATTGTTTTTTACTATTGCCCATGAAAAAACTGATCATTTATTTTGAATATACTTATTTTGCTTCCAATGTGCATCAGTTGTTTTAATTCAGCTGGCATAAAGAGAGTATCCCCCACACATGGTGACTAAAAGGCACTATCTATGTCCTGTACCTGTAGCAATAGTTTGGCGCTGACCAAACAGTGAGGACTGTCTCATTAAAATGCCACTTGTATCCTTCCATCACCAGCTGATGAGCTCGACAGATCAAGTCAATGTCATTTGCTGCATTAAACTAAACAATGAGAAGTTGATTAGAAGCAAATAAAAAAGAGTCCTAACTGACTGATTAATGGTACAAATCACATCAAATTACGCTGGAGTGCAGTAGTTTGAAAGTACACAAATTAGCTCAGAAATGAAAGGAAAGTTGAAATATTTTATTTAATATCCTTATTATCCATGGTGATGCCCTTGATTGGCCAAATGCTACTGAAGGACAACCTGCAGAGATGTTTTATTTAATTTTTCCTATGGACAAAAGCTACCCAGAAATGTAAATTGTCTCTAAAACTACTATATCTTATACTTTTAAAGCCAGCATAATCCCCACATGTTAACAGATGTGCTGTAAAAATACAAAGGGATGGAAATTCACCACAACATATGCGTCACTGTTTACAGTAACTGTGGCATCTAAGAAGTAACACAAAGGCAAACATAAATAGGACTACAAATACAGGGGCTACTGTACCTGAGTGACAACATCACTGCCAAACAGATATCCAGCACCTCTAGGACTTACTCCCCAACCTTGTGTATCTAATGAAGAAACATGCAAGAAAGCAACATTAGTCAAAAAGGTAAAAATAATAATTGAAGGGATGGCTGCGTGGAGTGAAACCCTGAGGGCCATGAGTTCATCAGGTTTTTTATTGTCTATTGTCTCCCTTGTTAAATTAAGACTACTTGCTCAATTACTTGCTTACTTTGGATAAACATCTACTTCTCCTTCTATTTCACAAAGGAACACAAGGGAATTTGTAGGAAGAATCTAGGAATCTATCTATAGTCACCCCAGGTGTTACTTCATGTACCCCTACTATTATAATGACACCAACTGGGCTTTATTTTAAGGATTCAAAGTTAATACTTCTCACTCAGTGTGCTGTCTACCATCAAACAAAAAAATTCCAAAAAGAGCTAAGGTTTATACTGCCAAAACTGTGTAACAAGGTATACAAAGTAAAAGATCAGAGTGAATACCTTCTGGGTCTGACCAAAGCAAATCACACATGGGGCCATCATGTGGTACTTCCTGCTTGCGGTCAATCGCCCTTATCTAGTGAAAAACTCATACGTCACTTTTCTAAAGATAGTAAAATTTCTGAAAAACAGCTACAGTGTGTAGGTAAAACCAATTTATTTGTTACCTGATCTAAGGTAGTAATGGATGGAGAAAGACCACCATGAACACAAAAAATCTGGGAAAATTAAAAGATGACTTCTGTAAGATTATGGAAATAAACAATATATTAGTAGGTAAGGAAACTTACAATTTGTTTAACTTTGTACATTAGATCAATCAAAACAGCAAAAAGACGTTTTACATAAACAAGTCCATATGTGGCACTGAAATAAGAGACAATCTAACAACAGAACAAAAACTCAATTTTAAACTATTTCAATAAGCTACAAAGAAGCACATGCATTACAGCAAGAACACACTCACCCTATCATCAATGATTGCAGACAAACTAAGATAGTCAAATATTTCTGTGCAATATCTCCACACTGTTATTGAGCCATACTTCTTTAAGCATTCATCATAGAACCCATAAACCTAAAGATAACATAAATTGGATGAAAGGTGATGCATTTCATTAATGACTTGTTTGTTATAAGGCAAAATTACATGATAAGATTTACTAATAAACCTGAAGAAATTCTTATGAAAAGTTCATCCTGTGGTTTGATCTTAATATTAATGACCAGTGTCAACAAACCTGTGTTATCTGCCTACTCTCATGGTTTCCTCTGATTAATGTTATTCTGTCAGGATATCGTACCTTCAAGAAGGAGAAACAGAGTCAATATTCTGTAAACTGTGACATAATGACAACTTCTCTAAGAAATGAGATCAGATAATTGTTTTCAAATTTAAGCATTATTACCCACCTTTAAAGCTAAAAGTAATAGAAATGTTTCTACACTGTAAAATCCTCTGTCCACAAAGTCTCCCATAAAAAGGTAATTTGTGTCTGGCACATCACCTCCAACCTGTGAAAAGAGATTCAGATATCAATTGTAATCTGCACATTTTCTAAACAACTGACAAAATATTTTTTGGCTAACTCCTTCAAAGCATCACAGAACACAGCTTTAATATGTTATACATTGTAGTGCTCACTTAGTCACTGCATGTACCTACATGAAACCCAGGTCTAAACAGTTAACAAAAGAACTGAGGAAGATCAAATCCCACTATCTGTTACTACTGTAGTTCTTAGACTAATAATTTCAGGAAAATTATGAGTTTCAGTGGACTTTACTGGGGATTGATTCATTAAACATATGAAAAAAAAAGTACTGACAAAACAACAGCTTCAACAAAAAATAATAGGTAAAATTCAGGGAGATGTTATCTTTTTTTGTCAAAACTGTAACAATAAAAATAGAAATAGTAACAACAACAAAATAAGAAGAATAACAAATATCAATTAAATGTCACAAGGCTATTGTAGACAAAACTAGTTTGAATCATGTAGATTAGTGTGGAAAAAATAAGGAAAAAAATCAGGGTTTTCCTGACCAAGGAGATGTTGTCTAATACTTTCCTAGCTTTGATGAGCAAAACACCACATAATGCAATCAAAATTAATTGTGTACCTTAAAAAGTTCTTTTAAGTCATAAAATTGTCCATGAATGTCACCACATACCTTGGAAAAAAACAAAACACATTTTCTCAGCTATAAATTCATTGCAGTAGTATTGGTGAAAATGTATGAAGAGTGTACTTATTGTTATGATTCAATACCTCAGAATCAGTTTAAAAAGAAACTTTACTAAGCCACACAAAAGTAAGTTTAAAATAAACAACCTTTCACAGACGATGAAAACATGTAAATTATGATAAATTTTAAGAGTACTAGTACCACACTACACAAGTAAACAACCACAAGCACTTACAGTGACTGGAGAGTCCACCCTTTGGACATTCGATTCTTCAACCAGGATTTCCCTGTGATGGAAGTAAGAAATTAATCAAAGCCATACATGTACTTACTAGGTAACTCAGTAACTCTCTGTGTTGGAGATTACTTGTATTCAGTGATAAAAAAAAATATTCAAAAGCAATTTGAATAATAACAAAAGTTTGATTTTAATAACCACCTTAACCAGCCCTCAACACAACTGAATATACATGAAAATGGAGTCAATTGACAAGCAGCTACCATAATTTTCTCAGCTGGCTGTTTACCCTTTAACTTGCAAGATCTGACTGTAAATTCTCCTATCTAACACATTTTCTTGTAAATCAGTTATGAGAAGTAAGTGTTAGATCAAGATAACAACTTCAACCTGTTAAGTTGGAGTTTTCTCAATACCTATTTGCAGGATAATGTGTGGATATTATAGGAAAAAGTTCCATGTTAATCACTTTTGGGAGCTAAAGGGTTAAGGAAATTGTCCAGAGAGTAGTTCCTTGCATGAGATGTTATGATCAATTTAAGAAAAACAAATACAGCCTGTTACAGCATTTACAAACTTCTTGACATTAAATTTAAGTGTATTTGAGGGGCTGGAAGTAAGAATGGATATTCTGGCCCAGAAGGGGGGTGGTCTAGTCCTTCAACTCTTTCACTCCCCACATCTAAACATCAATTCTCAACAAGTTCACAAAACATTTCTTTCAATTCTTTATCTGAGAATTTTGTGTGAAATCCAAGGAAAACCCCTCATATACAATTTTCCTACTTTTCATCACCTCTCTGTTTAAAAGTAACTGGATATCGTGAGGAAAACATTCATTCTTACACACTAATGGACAGGAAGGTTAATTTGTAGGGAAATTAATACTTTCTGGAAGCACGCATGGACAAGTTTCATTTGCTATTTCCGTTTATTGCTCCCTCGAATCTCTTGTCTAAATTATTTCCTAAATGAGGGCAAAAGGCTACAGGATGTAGGTCTGGGAACAAGTTCCAACAGACAACCTGACTTCCAAAAACTTTCATTCTTCTTTCTACTCCAAGCGAACGAAATCATAAAATTAAGAGAAAATGAAATCACTGCAAAATATAGTATACAAACCTTGCTTTAGCACACAACTGCTTCACTTCTTTCTCTGTAATAAGTTCGCATCGCCTCAGCTTGTCAATTTGTCTGCAGCAGAAAAGGGGGTCCACGAATATTAACTCAATTGAAAGGCACTCCAAAGATTTAAATGTCTCAAGATGTGAGTGATCAAAGCGTTCTTGAAGACAGTACAAGTCGGAAAGTTACCGAAATATATACCTCATGAATATAGTGTAAACAACGTGTCATCCACAAACGAAAGCTTACCTGTCCAGATCGCTGCAATCTGTCATTTTATCTTCGCCTCTGTGTATTAGGTTCGTCAACTAACCTGACTTTGTTCTGATTTAAAGCTGCTGTATTTTAGAAAGTTCACCGATCGAGACAGTTTTCTCCGTAGCTCAGAAGAGTCTTGTGATCAGCACACTAAAATAAGGAACTTTTGGATTTTTTTCTCGAAAGGAGAAAGAAGCTGATTACATTGAAAGCTACTTAAGGTTTCTCCGTTTGACTTGGATTAATTCACCAAAATGGCATGCAAAAAAAACTGTCAAATTTGTGTTACGTAAAGGTCCAATGCTTCATGGCCGCCATGTCATACTATAAAGCCGCGCAATCTGTAAGTCACGTGGTTTATTACGAAACGGGCCATCTGTAATGACGCTTTGTTTGGCGCGAAACTGGCGTTAGAACCACCCATTCACACCACTCAAACTTGTTTTTCAACGGAATGGAAATCAGAAACAGAGAACTAAAAAACGGAATTTCCTTAGGATTTAAGTAATTGCTGACTTGAAGAAAGTCTATGAAGAAAAAGTTAGCTAAGTTTCGGCGAGGAGTTGAAGCAACATCTCGTCGATCGGCTGATATTATTATCATTAGAGAGGGTATTTAGAGAAACTGTGGTGCTACGTCGGTGGGAGAGTATTTTAGAATTATCAACTGAGTTGATAACGTAAATTGGCCACCGTAAAGAGTTTTAAAACTGACGTTTCGAGCGCCAGCCTTCGCTAAAGCGATTGACAATTCTCAGATTATTTTAGCAAAGAAAAACCTTCGACAAACGGTGGTTTTATTCTTTTAGAGGATGGCTGGTGTGATGCTTAAAAAACCCATCATCGACAGGTCAGTAACTCAAACGATTAACTTAAAAAATATGTACCTCCCGGTAGAGATTTGCAAGGTTTTATTGGCTTGGCACGACAGAAAAAATAAGTTTTACCATGGAGAGAGAATCGTGAATTTGGTTGCACTTGCGGAAATTAAAGCTTGCATGTCATCTGTCGTTTTCAGGCTGTATGATGATTGACATATATACGGTTAACTGATAGGCTAAATGTGCATGCAAAATGCAAATCAAAGTCAACACATGTTGGGTATAAGCCCTCTTAGAGCCTTAATAAAACCTCACATTTTTAACTAGTAGTGTACATCTGACCGTCATAGCTTCATGATTGTTTTGTAAACTTATATATTTGTGACCCTTATAGCTGTGGAATTTTATCTGACAGGCCTATCGCCTTGGCCTCTTAAAATAAGCGACAGAATGTTTGTCATGCACAGCGAAAATTTTTCACCTCCGGGAGCGTAGCGAGGTTCTGTATTTACTCTGTTCGTTTCGCTCTTTCCACCACTATGAACAATCCTCTGTGTTCAGTTTCTGCGCAAACACTCACTCGTGCGGTAGATAATCCTCAAACGCTTCACTTTCGAAGCCAGCGTTGGCGGAGGGGAGAAGTTTGAATTACAAGGAGAAGTTATCAGGAGATAACAGGAGATAGTTATCAGCATCTGGGTGGTGTTTTCAGCAATAGAAGAGACATTTTTAACACCAGATTTCGTTCAATTTCCTCACTTTAATTCCCGGCTATAAAACTGGCTAAAGAAAGTCCATTTCCTATCAAGAAGTGAGCCTGCCGCAAAATCTACCCACTATGACAGCGTAAATATTTTTGCCAACAGAGAAAATGTTCCGGCCATTCTCGGCAATGACTTCCAAAATTTTTTACAGTTCTTCAGCTTCATAGCATTCGTTCCTAATCCTTTTTACCATTATCATTATCGTGCACAGTTTTTAAAGTTGAGTAGATAGTACTGTCCCTGTTACTCGTTCTGAAAATTTACGAAAAATGCGAAAAATAGTAATTATTCACCTCTACCCTACAAGCCTTATTAATGTATCAATAAAACCAAGGGGTTAAATGCTATCATTAAATCTGGGTAAGTACAAGCGTAATCAAGATCTTAATAAAATTAGGCAGTTTTGTTCCAGGACCGCTAGTGCTACTTCTTCAATTTCTTTTAAAGAATCACGAAGCAGAACATATGTCGAAGCGCCAGCTATCACTGAACCCACGAACGGAATATAACGAGCGAATCCTGCGAAACCTTCTGCGGCAGCTTCCGACGCCAACTGAATAGCATTGGCAAGCTTTATGTTAAGGTCGAGAAATTTCTTTTGAGTGACAGAACTTAGCCTCCCAAACCTTTCGGATCCTTCTTCAGGAATACCAAGCTGGGCTTTGTACTTTCTAACTTCATTAAATACGAGAGCGGCATCATCGACAATAGATAGCCCAGGAACTGGAATCGCCGCGATTAGAGCAGTTGCTCCTACAACATGAATCATCCGCCTCTTGAGAACCTCAACTTTTCTCTTCAGGATACCTTTTGACAAGCTGATTAGAGCATTCAGAGACAAGATGTGAATTGCTTCGGTAAGTCGACTGAAATCCCACTTGTCTGGATCATGGTTGCTTATCAGGAAGATGTCGTCTTCACTGCTGATGGGGTTGCCGGCCTCGTCAACCAGATTTTCTTTACAGTTGCGCCGGATTTTCTGTAACACAGCAGCTTCGCTGAAAGATTTCTTTCGTATTTCTGCTCGAACATTTTCATCGATTTTTGTGCGAATGAAAAAAAAGGACTTCCCCTGTTTCTTGATCTCTCTAGCCAATATGATGTGTTTCTCGGTAAATCGGTGACTTGCCAAGATAAGGAATGTATGATACTTATCCAGCTGCACTTTTTGGCGGTACGTTTCCAGGTCAGGGTAATTTGGAGTTCCAATTCCTGGTAGATCCCAAAACTTTACATTTGGATATTTTGGGTGATCATAAGATTTGGGCTCTGTGGTGCATTCATTGACATCAACGGGGGCAGCGCCATCATCATCGTCATTAAGCCTTAAAAAGTAACCGATGATTTAATTTGTTATCCAATGAGTTGGTCGTGAAATCTTTTAATCGGGGGGAGGAGGGGAGTTTAATTGGGTAAACTTTCACCTGTTTTAGTCTATTCTGTGGCCAGTTATAGACCCCATCTCAGTCACTTCTGGTGATATGTAAACAACTTTTTAAAGTAAATTTTCGCACATGAATTAATCGTCGACGAGAGTGAAAAATACTTTCCGTCAGATCATTGACTGTTTTTGGAGAAAACATTGTCGTGACAGTCCTTGCTAAACTAGTTTGGTTGTTTTTTCAAAAGTGTACATGCCCTTTTTTTTTTTCTTACGCGCTCTTCAATTAACTTGTGTTAGATTGTGACAGATACTTATAAAAATGTTTCAAAGTTTGTTAGGAAGCCTTTTAAATCACCCTTATCTTATTCATTACGTACATGGAAATGTTTTGATGCAGCATCTCTCTTTAATTTGCATCACCTCTATTTTAACTATCATTTACCCGCTCAAATATTGCTCAATTTATGGAGGATCCTGCTGTAATTACAGCCCTAAATCATTCGGGATGTTTTGGAAGGAATTTAGTTCAGTTTCAGGAAAAAATAAAGATGTTATTCACCAGTCTAAGTCAGTCCGCCCGAGGCCGTGGGCTGGCAAATAACATATATTTATTTGATGCTACTTCAGCAACACCGAAACCAACTTAAACTGATTTGCACCATAAACTCCAGTGTGTCCGCGGACTCATTGTAGTTGTAGAAAACATAGTAATTTCTTTTGCCATCGAGTATGATCATGTTGGAATACATGTAATACATACTACTACTCTTTGTGGAAGCCACAAACAGCGCTAAAATACACAACTGAACAACAGCCATTTTCCTCATCAAAGAGGGGCCTCGCCTTCACTGAGAAACAGCAGCCTTGAATGACCGCGTATTTTCGTAATTTGCCATTTTAGAGCCTTTTTTCTAATTACTTACGTTGTCAATATCTTTCAGTGGTATATTTTGTATTTTTACCTTTGTTTTGGCTTCAAAACAAGCTAAGTGCAAAAACAGAGAACAGGAAGCAGCAACTAAAGGAAAAAAAAGATATGCGAAGAGAATATTCAAGTGGAAAGTTTTCAGTGATAACAGGATGGGAAACCAAGGAAACCAGTTGTTTATTTCCTTTTTACGGTGAATCTGAATAGATCAGAATTGAATCATGCAAAAGCTGGAAAATTTGGTAACTTGAACAGATAAGCACGGATATCTTAACCACTATTCCGATAAAGAGAAGTGATAAACTGCAAGCGAATGAAGTTAAAGAAGGGTAGAAAATACATAGGTAAAAAAGTGACATCTTAACCAGCTGAAAATTAGCCAGTGATATCTGAGAAACTTCCAAAAAGCAAAATCTATCTAAATTTAGGCAATTGGTCGGTAATTTTGGTAATTAATCAATTACCTTCGCTTTCAACCCATATTTACACAAAGTTTCCCCAATTTGAATACATATGCACTTGACTTAACGTCTAAGTATGTCAGTTGTCAATATATCTGATGACTCTTAAGTTCAGGAAATTTAATCAAGCCACGTCACTGTTTGTTTATCTTGAAAAATGCAGCCACACTTTGAAAGTTTCTCATTTTGCAATCAGTGTCACCGAGTTCTTTCGATGATATGACCCCTGCGTTAATTTCGAAATCGACTTGATTAACTCGGCATTTTTACGAGGGACTAGCGTTTGCTCAGGGCACAGCAAAAGGGCAACTAAATGTCATTTTTGAAAAATAAATTAATTACCCTGCCTTCGAGACCTAGGCAGCATGATTTTTGTTTTCGTTCAGCCGCAACGAACAAACGGTTTCTTCAGTTTTGTAATGTAGCGAAGGCAGTAACGAAAAAAATTGTTTTGTTACTGCCTTGAATTGTGAGTTTTGATTTGAGGTTACTGTCAACAAGATCTGGTCAAATTTCAAACTTCCATTTTATTTACTCTTTTTTTAGAGAAAACATTGAAATTAAATTTGCTGGGAAAAAAACAAACTTTTAAAACTTTCTTCGATACTTTATAAGCTTTTCAGTGATATACAGTTTTCCAAGTGTTTCTTTGAAAGTAGGGCGCGTAGAACAAAATGTTTTTTTCCAGAATTTTTCCTTGTTTCCTTACATTTCGATGTTTTCTGCGCATTTTTTTGCCATGATGTTTGTCGTCTTTACTTGAACTCCCTCGACTAGGCCACACAGTTCATGGTCATCAAGGCAGGCAAAAGAGTGCTAGTTCCTCTTTTTCCTCCTTCTTGTTCCTCACTGGGGAAGGGATGGAAGTCAAACCCTAGATCAAAAATTGGCACATACTTCTCCAATTCCAATATTTATCACTTACACTTGAGATTACTGTGCGAGTATTGGGAAAACTTTGAGTTTGAAATGTTTTCAAATTGCGCCGGCAAACATTAAAAGTGTGACGTCCAAACAAGCTGTGTTTACATACTCTCATCTAAACTAACTAGTTGGCCTATTGAGAGCGTGCGAACTATTCAATTATTTTATAACCATCATTAGTTATAAAAGTGTGACTTGCAAAACCGAATTACAGTCACTTGGTTTTTTTTAGTAGTTTTGGCTTCGATCATGCAAATCACACCCGCTAGAAAATGAAAAGTTCACGAAGACAATGAGTTTATTATCACGCAAAGATAGCTTAGCGTTAAAAAGAAGAGACTTAGGTTGTACTGTGATTGATCTTGTGATGAAAATCAAACCTCTCAAAGGGGTAAACACTGAAGCCTGACATTTCCTGTTGGAAAAAGAATAACACTTTTCATTTTCCATGTTCAATTACATCATGACTGATAAAAGTGTGACGTACGAAACCGAAATACTGTGTACTTATTGAGTGGTAGGGGGCGCAGCGAGGTCCTTTCTTCATGACCCTGAGCTTAATATTTTCCCCACTGGTCCCACCAAATTCTGTCAATAAGCATTTTATCATATGACCACTAACTGTTAAAAATTTTTAACCTAAATGGGAAGCGATAGACGGGCATACGGGCACACAAAAAAATATGCAATTCAAAACTTTTCCTTTTATTTCGATTAGCCCCGAGGGGGAAGGGAATATCCTGAACACACGTGATCTGGATGCATTAAACACTGTGACAGCGGAAGTTCGGAAGGTTGGGAAAAGTAATTCGTTATTTTTGTTGTTTCATTTTGAAAGCATCAGCCACATTGTCAACATCTTGGTAAGTGCGATTGAAAATCTTTTCTAGTCACTCGGTTTTTATCAGCCTTAGTCATTTAGTAACTGTAGAGAGGTAAGGCTCTTATGGCAAAGCCCAGTACCTACTTTATCCCTTTATTATTTACTTTATCCAGTACCTGATCTTTATGTTTGCAATATGTTACGTTTCGAGTGTTAGCCCTTCGTTAAAGCGGTTGATGGCGCGATTGAATCGTCACCACAGTGAAATAAATTGATTCTACGGCGACTTTTTTAAATCTCTGTGGCTTTATACCGTATAATTTATCCTCATTAACTAAAACAAGGTTATTGAGTATCGTTCAATTTGAGAAATTGATGATCATAAAACTAGACTGTCCCACGCTGACATCATAGGAAATCCGTAGTGCTTCATTACGTGGTTTTCCAGAGGCTATGATCTGCACTGGCTATTAACTTGACACTTTTTTAGGAGAGTTTAACGATCGATTCAGAGATCGCGGTAGATTCCAATTGAATTTCCGTTTTCTACTTGTACACAAACGTTTCATGGTCGAGACACCATTCACTTAAATTTTTAGATACTAGCGGCGGGTTCTACGGTACATATTTTTCTAAACGCCGTTATCCGTTTTTTGTCTGTTTAAGCGCTACAGTCTCCCATAAGAAGATAAGTTATGACGCTGCGCGCCCACGAAGAGAGATGTTTTGATTTTCTTAGAGAAACTGAAACGTTCTTAAATTCACTGTTATTGCATACATAGTATGAGCCTACTTTTGCGTTGAACGGATGCTTCATATCCTCGCTAAAATTGCTTTCTTCAAACCGTAATGATTTTCTACAATATATTTCAACCTCATTAGCAAGATTGTTAATCATTGTTTAATTTGAGAAACTGATGGTGTCCACAATCATGTGATCAGAAACTACTAGCGGCGGGTTCTACGGTACATATTTTTCTAAACGCCGTAATTTGTTTCTTTGTCTGTTAAAGCGCCAGAGTCTCGATAAGTCATGACGCTGCGCGCTCACGAAGAGAGATGTTTTAATTTTCTGAGAGAAACTAAGACTTTCTTAAATTCAATGTTACTGCATACGTAGTATAGGCGTACTTTTCCGTTGATCGGATGCTTCATATCTCCACCGTTAAATGGCTTTCTTAAAACAGTTAAGGTTTCATACAATAAATTTCAACCAGAATGTAACTAAGATTGTTCAGCATTGTTTAGTTTGAGAAACTGATGGTTCCCACAATCACGTGATCAAAAACTAAAATCAATCCTATATTAAGACATATTTGTCATGCAGAATGTCCTTTACTGATGTCAACAGAGGCGGCCCAAGCTCACACTCGAGAAAAAGCAAACGATTAATTCATGAAAGCGTCACGCGTTGTGTGACTCGGTGTTAACTTACCAGAGTTGAACACGTCATAAGGAATTGTATGGGGAACGAAAGATGGTCGATTTGAAGTTATAAAAATGTGACGTACAAAACCGAAATAGATTCACTGCGGAGTAAACTACGGATCGGTTTTCCATATCAGTTCATGAAAAGTTGATTATCGCTCACAGATAGCTTACCGTTTAAAGAAAGAAGCTTTGGTTCTGTTGGTATCGATCTTGTAATGAAATTTCAATTTTCGAAATGGATGGACACAGAAGCCTGACGTTTCCTGTTAAAAAAAGAATGAAATAATTTATTTTTACATGTTCAATTCTATCATTGGTCACAAAAGTGTGACGTACAAAACCGAAATTCATCCCCCACCTCTCCCTTCCTCAAAAGAAATATGAAGTACTATTAAGTATGACTATTGATTATTACTGAAAGTCAAGCCACCTCTTATCTCTGATGTCATTTGCTTGTTGCCATATTTCAGTCACTGGATTAACGTCTTCAAAGGTAAGACCAGTGATGTGGTTATGTTCGAGCAAATTACCGATCCACTCCGTCCGTTTTCTTTTTTTTTTTTCTTTTTTTGTTTAGTGTTGTGTTAATAAAAATAATGTTTCCCTGATAACAGGAGAGGATTGCAATGGAAACCTAACAGCAGAAGCCATGACACCTTTCATGAGCATCGCCTTACTTGTTGCCCTGTTCTTGCTCAACTCAGATCGCATTCAGAAAGCCATTGAGATATGCAGCGAATGTTTGATTTTGCTAACTTGCACCGATCAAAACAGCAAAGACCAATTTGATTCGGCACTGCTACAATTTTACAGCGACATCTATACCATTCTTTTCAGCGCGTATCGTCATATCTCTGACTACATAAGTGCGGAAAGATACGGGAGGAAACTGTTTGACTTATACAGAGAGTATGGAATTATGCTTTATAAACTTGGCAAAAGCCTAAAAGCAAAGGAATATGTTGAGAAGGCCCTTGCCATAACAACCAAAATTGGCGACAGAAGCGGAGAAGCATCATGTTATGGAAACTTAGGTACTGTGTTTGTGTCGCTTGGCCAATACGACAAGGCTGAAGAGTATCTCCAAAAAGCGCTTGTCATCACAACTGAAATTGGCGACAGAGAAGGGGAGGCAGCTAACTATGGAAACCTAGGTACTGTGTTTAAGTCGCTTGGCCAATACGACAAGGCTGAAGAGTATCTCCAAAAAGCGCTTGTCATCACAACTGAAATTGGCGACAGACAAAAGGAAGCATCATGTTATGGAAACCTAGGTACTGTGTTTATCTTTGTTGGCCAATACGACAAAGCTGAAGAGTATCTCCAAAAAGCGCTAGTCATCACAACTGAAATTGGCGACAGACAAAAGGAAGCATCATGTTATGGAAACCTAGGTACTGTGTTTAAGTTGCTTGGCCAATACGACAAGGCTGAAGAGTATCTCCAAAAAGCGCTAGTCATCACAACTGAAATTGGCGACAGAAAAGGGGAGGCAGCTAACTATGGAAACCTAGGTACTGTGTTTATGTCCGTTGGCCAATACGACAAGGCTGAAGAGTATCTCCAAAAAGCGCTTGTCATCACAACTGAAATTGGCGACAGAAAAGGGGAAGCATCATGTTATGGGAACCTAGGTACTGTGTTTGAGTCGCTTGGCCAATACGACAAGGCTGAAGAGTATCTCCAAAAAGCGCTTGTCATCACAACTGAAATTGGCGCCAGACAAAACGAAGCATCATGTTATGGAAACCTAGGTACTGTGTTTGAGTCGCTTGGCCAATACGACAAGGCTGAAGAGTATCTCCAAAAAGCGCTTGTCATCAGAACTGAAATTGGCGACAAAAAAGGGGAAGCATCATGTTATGGAAACCTAGGTACTGTGTTTATGTCCGTTGGCCAATACGACAAGGCTGAAGAGTATCTCCAAAAAGCGCTTGTCATCACAACTGAAATTGGCGACAGAGAAGGGGAGGCAGCTAACTATGGAAACCTAGGTACTGTGTTTGAGTCGCTTGGCCAATACGACAAGGCTGAAGAGTATCTCCAAAAAGCGCTAGTCATCACAACTGAAATTGGCGACAGACAAAAGGAAGCATCATGTTATGGAAACCTAGGTACTGTGTTTAAGTCGCTTGGCCAATACGACAAGGCTGAAGAGTATCTCCAAAAAGCGCTTGTCATCAGAACTGAAATTGGCGACAAAAAAGGGGAAGCATCATGTTATGGAAACCTAGGTACTGTGTTTATGTCCGTTGACCAATACGACAAGGCTGAAGAGTATCTCCAAAAAGCGCTTGTCATCACAACTGAAATTGGCGACAGAGAAGGGGAGGCAGCTAACTATGGAAACCTAGGTACTGTGTTTAAGTCGCTTGGCCAATACGACAAGGCTGAAGAGTATCTCCAAAAAGCGCTAGTCATCACAACTGAAATTGGCGACAGACAAATGGAAGCATCATGTTATGGAAACCTAGGTACTGTGTTTAGAACTGTTGGTGATTTTGAAGCTTCGGAAGTATGCTTGGAGAAAGCTTTATTCATATCCAGAGATATTGGAGATGGAAGGGGGGAGTTCGAAATCCTCGGAAGTTACGCCGTTTTGTATTTATACCAATATAAAATCAAAGACTCCCTGTCGTGTCTTCATCTGTGCATTGAAAAGTATGAGGAGCTGAGATATTTCTTGGGCGCCAATGATCAGTTCAAAACATCATTTCTGGAGGACACAGGAATATTTCCTTACAAACTGCTTTGTACTTTGCTTTGTGACATCGGAAATGCTCGGGATGCTATTTATGTTGAGGAGTTGGGTCGAGCTAGAGGCCTATCAGACTTAATGGCAGAGAAGTACTCGGTTGAAACGCACATCTCTGCTAATCCACAATCTTGGTTTGGCATTGAGAACATTTTAAGAAAGAAAAAAAACTGTACTTGTCTGTACATTTCCTATGATCAGAATCGTCTGCATTTGTGGATCTTGAAAACAAGTGGAGTCCTTCACTATAGAAGAGTATCACCAGAAGAGAATCTAGTTCAGGCTGGGTTACCCAAAGATTTGCGTTTGAGTCAATTTTTGGATGATAATTTCCGGAGTCTTGGTATTTTGCCCACTAAAGATTGTGAAGATCGGTCTTTAAATACGATTAAATTGCAACCTCTCTCCCCCGCGCAAAAGAGCTCAGCAAGATTGCGACTCGTGGAGGAGGACGAGGACGAGGACGAGGAAGAGAAAGTGATTTCAAGTCTACATTTGTGTTACAAAATGTTCATTGCGCCCGTTTATGATTTACTTGATGAGCCTGAAGTCATTATTGTTCCTGACCGCAGGTTGTACAAAGTTCCCTTTGCTGCCCTGAGTGAAAAGGAAGGAGCCGAATACTTGTCAGAGACCCATAAGATCCGTATCATTCCTTCGTTGACAACACTCAAGAACATTCAAGATAGTCCAGAGGACTATCACAGCAACACTGGTGCCCTGGTAATAGGCAATCCCAAGGTTAATTGGCTGCAACCATTGCCAGCTGCGAGAAAGGAAGCGGAGATGGTCGGACGACTGGTGGGTGTTCCGCCTCTAGTTGAAGAGAAAGCAACGAAGCAGGCGGTACTTGAGCGGATAAGTTCAGTGAGCTTGATACATTTTGCTGCCCATGGTAACGCGGAAAGAGGAGAAATTGCACTCTCCCCCATTCCTACTCCCAACAGTCAAAACGCTATCTCGAAGGAAGCTTACATGTTGACGATGGCTGATGTCTCACGAGTGAAAGTCAGAGCTAAACTGGTGGTACTTAGCTGCTGTCACAGTGGAAGTGGAGAGATAAGAGCCGAGGGAGTAATAGGAATTGCCCGTGCGTTCTTAGGATCCGGTGCTCGCTCGGTGTTGGTTGCGCTGTGGGCCATTCCAGACTCAGCAACAAAGCAGCTGATGAGTCGGTTCTACGAACACCTCATTGAAGGTGGAAGTGCCAGTGAATCCCTTCATCATGCCATGAAGTGGATGAGAAAAAACGGCTTGAACAAAATGTCTGAGTGGGCTTCGTTTACGCTGATTGGAGATGATGTGAGACTCGACTTTGACACGCAGAGGCAAGACTCGGTGAGAACAGGTATTTCATAAATTAAAGTTAAATTAGATGTGAGGATGGTTATGACTTACTGGTCGTTGACCGGATGGGGATCCTCTGTTACCTTGAACATCAAGGCTAGTTTACGCACCCTTTTTTTTCCTTTTTCAAGAGTTACTATCTCCGCTCTCTGGTTTGATTTTTTTATATAATATATATATATATATTGAAGAGTTACTATCTCCGCTCTCTGGTGTAAACGACCGCTTTCATCCCCACCAACACCACGCCGAGAGACACCGAAAACATTTCAGTATAGAATCTCATACAGTATAGATGCCTCTCTACCAATGAGATACAAGTAATAGCCAATTATTTATATATGTTGTGCTTGGTGTAATTGTGTTTGCTTTATATCCAAAATGTTAATTGAGGTAATGATAAATTGGGTTATTTCAATTTTTTTTTTCTTGCAGGAAAAAAGACCCCGATAGAGTAAATAATGACAAGTACTCGAAGGGAACAGAGTTAAAAGACTTTTAGATGGATAAATTATTAGAAATAATAGAGAAAATACTCTATCCGGTATTTCATCGACATTAAAAAAAAGAGCTATCCCAGGTTAGGGGAGAGTTATTCCAATTTTTGCTGCTTTCTTTACTAATATTCTCAGGAGGAGGTAATGGTTATGTACTCAACAATTTTTTGTTTTTCACGCAAAAATTATATTCTGATATAATAAGCACGAAACAATGTTAACCTACGTAAGCCTTTTGAATAAAACGAATTCAGTAAAGTTAAGACATTAAGCGTTGCGTATCCTAAAAATAAATCCGAAGCACTCCACATTAGAAAAAAATCCTACAGAGTTTAAAAATACGACTAAAAGAGGGAAAAGAGGATACCTGACGAAGTTCTGGAGAAATACGTGTCTGAAGTTATCTGCTCCAGTAGAGAAGTATCACTTCCGGCTTTACAAAAGCTCAAGAACACGCTGATGTGGAAATGTCACATTCAAAATCACATGGCCATAAAACATTATAATAAAGTTCGGATATAACGCGCGCTGTCATTGGTTGAAAGAGCGTGCTCTATGAGAGTATAGAGCATAGAACTGAGCTAAAGCTGTCACGCCATCTGCCAAATTGTACCATGTTCGACCTTTTCCGGGACTTCTTTTTAGCTTTTTTCCGATAATTGAAAGTGAAATTTCGGAACAAGCGAGCCGGCAAATAGTAACAGAAGAACCAAAGAAAGGTTTGTAAACATACCAGGCGCCGTTATTTACGTTATTAAAACGTGGGCAGATACGAAAATCCTCAAAGGAAAAACAAAATAGACAATCCGAGTTTTAAAGATTTTCACGCTCAGTTAGATTGCAAGCTTACGTACGGTAATGAAAATCAAACACAGCCAACACTCGTATAGTATATAAAGTTCAGAGTTCAAAAACAAAACAGAACAAAACAGAAATGATGAAAAATATAACCAAACTGGCATAACTATTAAAATTCATACTAATCATGACGGTGTCTGAGCAAATATGATCATGCTGAAGTCCATCGCAGCTCACTTATCATGGCGATCTCCGGTCATCACAGTAAAGCAAGCCTCAGAAACTACATCGGCCACCCTTCGAGTGAAAAAATAAGAGCTCGCTCTGATATCCTTTCCGATGTGTTAAGTGGAAAGTCACTTCGGTCACTGCAGCCGTGTTTTGCGGCGCTGTCATCCCGAGCGATCTTCATGTTCCGGTGAATTCGGCTGTCGTTCATTTAAAAAACACTCGCCTTGAACAGTTTGTTTTCTACCTTGTCATGTGAAAAAACCCGCGTGTTTTTATGAGCCATAATTCGGCTTTAGTTGACTGAACATTTCACTTCAAGATTCTGAATTAAAAACTTCAGGCAAAAGCGTTAAATTCGACCTCAAGAAGTGGGAAGAAACACTCGACTACGTCTCGTGTTTCTCCCTACGCTTGTTTCGTGCTCTAGCCGCTTCCCAAGTGCTTTATAACAGAACAGAGCACAGTCAAGGCTTCTCTATTTGTTAATTAAAGTATATCCTGGCCAGAACTGATCTTTGGAGACAGAAATTTAAAATCGCTTGCGGATGGCGGGAGTGTCATGCGGGCATGTCAATACTTCAATTTTTAACTGGTCACTTGCCTTTAAGTTTAAGACAGCATACGTACTCTTGTCATTAAGCAGAGACAAAGCTTTGTCGTGATATCGCTGTTTGTCCATAACCACAACACAATTACCCTTGTCAGCAGATAATACGAGCCTGTCCGGATCCTTTTTGAGAGCTATAAGCGCATTGAAAACATCCTTTTGAATGTTTTTGGGAGGAGGTTTAGATCGTGACGATGGCGGTTTGCTTCCTGTCGCCTTTTTACACCTCGTCAGAGAAAAAAAAAAAAGGCCGCTAACTAGTGATCATATAAAAGGACCTCTAGTTACAGCGTCTAGATCACCCCTGATGAAGGCACTAGACAGGAATGTCGAAAGGTTGGGTCTATGAATTGTATTTTCTTCGGTTACATTCATTAAATCTGCAAACCAGAGTAGCATCAAACTATGTCTGATTGTCCACCTGGTTGCCGTGTGAACTTTCATGTATTAGATAAGAAGGCATTTGCTTACCTTGGCTCCTTTGATCACTGAACCAGTCGGCCTACAGTTAATGAAGTTCGGGATCTTTTGGTCGGTAACGGTCCATGGAAGCGCGCTTGGCTATCATCTTCAGATCGCCGAACCATTGATTCGAAAATTCCGTATTCCCTCGCTATCTCTCGATTGTTGTTAACAGCTTCAGCTTCAATTACGATTTTCAACCTGAAGTTGAGATCATTAAAATGACGGCGAGTATTTGGCATGATTGTGCTGAATGTAGACTTCGCAAGATGATGTTCGTTATACTTTAAAACCATGTTTCCCGAGAGGGAAGGCTAAAAATTAATATGTACCGATAGGTTGTATTTAAATGTGTGACTTTTTTTTGCCTTTTGTTTATCTCATGTGACTAAATGTGTGACATTTTTTCGGCTTTTGTTAATGCGTGACATTTTGCTTTTGTTTAATCAAGGCTTTTGTTTGTGCGCGTGGTCGCGTGTGCGACAATTCTGCTTTTGTTAATTAACGGTAAACTAAAATCAATACGCGACTTTTTCGCTTTTTTGTAAGTTTATGAAAGAATTTACAATAAACTTGACCGATCTTTACTCCCCAAACAACGATGCGCCTTATAACCAAGTATTTTAGCGATATTTTTAGTTTGAAAACACGCAATAATGAAGTTGCCGAATTGGGGGTGCGTCTTATAGCTGAGTGCGCCTCATAACGGAATAACTACGGTAGTATGGAGGTAATTACCAGCACTGATCTGGTTCTTACTTGTTCTGCACTTTTCCATGCAGACCGTTTCCTGTGAAACGATCATAATCCATGTATTTTTGTTTTGAAAGGCACCAAATTTAAAACTAAAAAGTTTAGTCCAATTGCAATGTAATGAATCACTTGCTAACTTTTCTTGCTCAAATTCTACTGAGGAATATTGGCCATCCGCTGTTTTTGTAAGGAACTCAGGAAAATGTTCTCTTGTATGGCCCTCAGGCTTGGTAAGAAATTATCATTTGCAGTTATGGCTGAATTTATCTGCTGCAAATTTACATTTATAAAATGAATGAGAGACAGTTGATTTCATTTTGATTCATATTTTATATTTTTAATAAGGTTGACGTGGTGGGCATGGTCACCACATCCACCGTGTAGGAGTGGCCTCTCCCTCCTAAGTTGAAACATTTTTTATTTCTTTGATAGAAAAAAAAAAAGAAATTAAAAGTTGAGGTAAGGCAATGCACTTGCAAGGAGATGTTACCCAACTGACAACTATACTCACAAGATCTAAATAACTTACCCTTTTGCCCTAAAATCCCTATTTGTATTATCATAGATTTTTATCTTTCAATGCCTGCTTATGGCAGCTTTTGTTGAATTGGAAATAAAACAGTCTTTGTATATGTGTATGAACTGGAAACTGTTGCAATGGACCTTCAAAGGGTTTTTTATTTGATCTATATTAAATTTTAATTTCTTTGTCAACAGTCAAAAATAATCATATAGTATCACCTTTTTTTTTCCTTCTCACCTTTAAATCTTTGAAAAATTATTTAATCTTCTATTTGAGAATTGTTAAGAAATGGAATTTATTTTAATACAAATAGGGATTTACACTGTTTAGTAGTATCATTTGTGGCTCTAATGAAACAAACAATGTATTTTCACAGTTGTTAGCTTCCAATCTTTGTTGGACAGTTAGAAAAAAACTTAGTATGTATGAAATGGAAGCATCATACCATGGAAAATGCTTGAACAATTTTTATCCACTTGTCGCGTTGATCAAAAAAATTCACTAGTTCACTAGGCTCACATGTTAATTTTTGTTTGATGCAATAAATCTCATTTGTGCACACTTTCCATGAAAAAATCCCTATTTGTTACAGATTGAAAAATATTTCTTGGGCCCCATACTGTTTCTAAAATTTAATTTCTTTTCGTATGAGCATGGTAAATTAAAGATTTTCTGAATACTGTGGAAAATGGCATCTAAAACAAATGTTAGCCTAGTTTATTGTAATGTCAGTTGTTGTTAGGTTACTATTTACTTTACTTCACCATTCCACTTCTTTCACACCTTCTCTTTATTATCATTTTTCTTGTCCACATCTATTTTATGAAAAAACAATACTTGGCTTGAACAAATTTATTAAAAATACTGCATAAGTTCTATAATTGTATTAGAAAAGGTCTCTTTGAAGTGACAATACTGAACCAAGTCATACTCACATTGCAAAATTATGAACTTCTACTTTACTGGAAATGGTCAAAGGAAAAACAGTTTGCTAACCAGACATCATTTCATATTGCTTAGACTTTAACAGGAAAGTTGTATTTCAAAGAAGCTATGGTGTCACTTTTCCAACTTCCTGCCAAGGCGAAAGACTATTGACTGTTTACACGTGCATGAAATTTTGTGGAATCATAGCATTATAGAAGAAAAGAAAATATTACCGTTGACACTTACCTAAATCACTACCCAAATATTTTACCCACTGACCCCACCAAATTCGGTCATAAGCAGTTTATCATGACTACTAACTATTGAAAATTTCAACCTAAATGAGACGCGATGGACAGGCTAACAGGCACACAAAAATTATGCAATTTAGAACTTTTCCTTTTTATTTCGATAAGCCTAGAGGGGGGAAGGGAATAACCTAAACACACGTGATCTGGATACCTAAAACACTGTGACAGCAGAAGTTCGGAAGGTTGGGAAAAGTAATTCATTATTTTGGTTGTTTTATCACTTTAAAAGCATCAGCCTCACTGAAAAGGAAATTTGTTTTGAGTGGCAGTATTCTCAAAGGTTAAAGCAAGGTTGAATTGTCTTTGCTGTAATAGAACTTGTGCCTTAAAGTGTAACTCTGTACTTTATAGGTGATAACTTTCCTTTACTGTTATTTTTAGGTTAATTCCAGT